TTGGAAGCTCCCATGAGATTCGTCCAAACGCAGCTTGGGCTGAAACTCAGCGGGCTTCGGATACCCATCAAGTCAAAAGTGGGCCTCCAAGACCTCCTATCCGTTGAGAGTTGCATGGGGCATTCTGGAAGGCCCGTGCCATCTTTTCTGCGCATTCAGAGCATCGATAACTCCTTCGAAAATGTGTGGGAGAAGTTGCTGTTGCCGGCCTTGAACCGTGCGGAATCACCGTGGTGTTGTTTGCCACTTTCACAGGTTAGAAAGAATCTTCTGGAACTCCAATAGGAGATGCACACACTGGCTGAGGGAACCCTGCAAAGCTATCATTGCACTCACGTGGCACATCACTCTCAAGCACGAGTCCATCTGGAGGAAGGAATTGCGAGAACGTCTTGTCAAAGTTTTGGACGATACCGCTGGCAAGGCAGCGAAGGTTGCGAATAGCAACCAGCACATCATTCAAGAGAAGACAACGACCTTTACAGAACAAAATCCCATCACCTAAGGCTGAAATGTCCTTGTCAAACGAGTCTGCCACAACAACGGAGGAAGAGGAAGCCAAGAACGTCTGCTCGTCTTTGACCAACTCAAACTCAGGAGCCTGTTGGTTGGGACGGAGAAACGTGACCAACGAAAGCTGTTTCTTGGCTGCACTGCCGCCCTTGACCAAAGAGAGACTGAGCCAGTTGAAGCCACGGAGAGCCTTCGTAAAACCGGAGTTGATCACCTGGGAACTCCAGAATACACTTCGGTCGCGGTAGTTCACGCTCTGGCGAGACTCTGTAATGAGAGACTCGACCCACGAACTCACGGCTTGCTGGGCAGGGGAAGGCTGTGTGGGAACCAGAACTGCCTCGAAGTCAGGCTTGAGTACGGCTGGGGTAAAGACACCATCATCGTAATGACCGAAGAAGATCTGGTAACAGGTTTTGGTCCGGAGCATCTGGGTAGCATGCTGCCGTTCCGATCCGGATCTGGTGCTGGTGTTGGCTCTGATCATGGACTCGGTCATGGTAGTGCCAAATTCCCTGAACATATCGGGGAGATCCGATGGCATTCCACCGGGAGCACCAGGGGCTGGACCAGGCGGAGTCACAGGGACTGGGGCCTCCATTGTCGCACCAAGCTCTTTCCAGAGAGCATTCGAACTGAACTGGATAGTGGCCTTGACTAGGGCCGAATCGAGGTCGTTGAAAGTCATCTGGATGGCCGAAGCCTGAATGGACCTAGGGTCCACGAGTGTGCGCTTGTCAGTCCACGAGGTAATGTCAACGGAATCCATCTGGAAGAGAGTTCCAGTGCCTGTGACAGAACGACTGTCACAACGCTTGGCCAAGTACTGCTGGGCACGGAACCATTCTTGGGCGTAAGGCCAGTTCGACACCGTTGCTGGATCGGAATCGATGGTGGCCGCAAAGTCGAACTGAACTCCCCTCGGGAGGGGTAAGATCAGTGGCAGCAGCACCAGCCAAGGCTGGGTTTTCGCATCGGCAGTGGCACCCTCGAACTGGAGGGCTTCCATGCCAACCACGACTGGGGTCTCCTCCGTACTGGCAGAAGCAGCCAGCTCCGAGGCCGGATTGGCTTCAAAGTGGACCAGTTTCAGATCGTCAACCACCTGCTTGGAGGCCAAAGAGGTGACGAAACCAGTAAATGCATCATGGGGGACACGGACAGGAATACTCTCACCGATGGTGTCACTGATGCTGGCAATGACAGAGACGACATTGTCCTTCTCTGCCAAAGTCGGTGCAGTCAAGGGCTGGACCTTGCCGTCGATGATACACACCGATTGGAGGGAAAACGACTGGTTGAGCCGTGCTGCATCAAGACTCTGACCGCTGAATCCCATGGGATCAAACAGGTCCTGGAGCTTGGTGGTAACAAACTGGCGGGTGGCTTCATCAGTCAGCTCCAAGATAGCCTTGGAGACGGACTTGATCTCATGGGCCTTGCCACGAACTAGAAGATCAGCAGACATGGCTGGGGATGGCGCTGGAAGGAGTGTTGAAGTGTCGTTGGTGGGACAATCCAATGACTCAATGAACTGGCGGCAACAATGCTATTGGGAGCGGCAACAACAGTCAGGAACTGGATAAAGGCAGGACCAAAGCAGAAGCACCAGGCAAACAGAACTGGGGCTGGAGCTGGACAAAGCAAGGACTCACAACAAGAGGAAAGCAACTGGAAGGGAGGCAACAACTTGCAGGCAGGCAACTGGGAGGCAACAAGAGGCAGGATGCAGTGGTCCAAATCAGGAAGGCTTGGTTGGAAGCTTTCAGGATTGGGATTATGACCTCATAGTGTTGCACTGCATAGCCTGGAATGGGAGGAACCAGGGCCACCACCACAGTAGCTCAGACTGGTACTGTTGCTGTAGGATTGCACAGGGCTTGAACCCAATCCAAGAATCCAAAGGGCTACCAGCCAGGTAGCTTTTGAACTGGGGATCCAATGCAATGAGTCAACCTCAATCTCTGACACAGGTGCCTGGTCAGGTACCATGCTGTCAGGATATCAATGCAAGGGTGTGGTGTGGCTTGGTAGTGTGTGGTGTAGCACTGAACAGTCAGTGGTAGTGTGTGGGGTAGCACTGGACAGTCAGTGGCGGTGACCAGACAAAACTCTCGCGGCGCACCCAGTCATCGGTGGTTGGAAGACTTAAGGGGCGGGGGCAGAGACTTAGAGGGCAGAGTCAAAGACTTAGAGGCCCCCATGTTCTTTTCAAGCATCGTCTTCGCGCGAAGGACTTTTCATGCATCGACTTAAAATATTTCGAAAGCATGGATGAAAACACGTCACGGAACGTGACATCATCAGATCCGGTCACAACTGACGTCATCGGGTCGGATTCTCGAAATGACATCATCAACGAATGACGTCAGTCGGATTATGGATTTTTAAAGCGGGGGTGAAATCCAATTGGGTCAAGAGTCCGAGACATAGAGGACCACCAATCTTGCCAGGAGTGCAAGACTTAGGGGCCGATCAGTCAAAGACTTAGGTGCCGATCCAACTTTTGTTGTTGTTGTTGTGAAAAATCGCGACCATGGCCCTGGAGTCGGGACGCACGGCAACAGCGGCAGTTTATACTCGTAGAGGAGTGGGAGCACCAGTTGGTGAACTCCAGGTGCGAGTCGGAGCACCAGATGGTGTCGCTCAACGAGGTGGGGTGGGAGCACCAGTCGGTGACTCGCCGTTTGTGGCTAGCGAATCACAAGGCGGTGAACGCATCAAGGCCGGAAGCCATTGCTAGCGAGGCACCAGGTGGTGAACGCATCAAGGCAATGGGGGGTGTGGCTAGCGAAGCACCAGGTGGTGAACGCATCATGGCCAGAGATCGGTCATCGTGAAAAGCACACGAAAGACCAGTCGATCGATCGATCGATCAATCAATCCGAAGAACAAGGCTCCTGCTACAGGACCAATGGCCGATAGCAGTAGCAGTGGTAACAGTAGTAGCCATAGCTAGTAGCTGGAACTAGTCATCGCGGTAGCGCCGTAACAAAAAGAAAAGGACGCCATTGTCCTCTTCGATTGGTGGCTACTAGCAATGTGTGGCTTGGATTGGCTCCTGCTGCGACTGTTCTCCAGATAACCCTAACCCTATCTACGGTGATGTACCAGTCCAGCCAGGAGCAAGTGTGCTTCCACATTGCTCTGCTTAGAGTCAGATCAAATTGTGTGTCCACGATGAAAGGGTGGCGTGGAAACCAGGAGCAAGGAAAAGGGTGAAAAGCTGCAGTCATGAGTGTCAAGGTTAGTCACGAGAACCGAGAATGCAAAAGAATTCAAAAGAGGAAGAAGGTCGCATCATGACGAGCTTGCCTCTTGCTTGATGCCAACCAAGATGACCAAAAACAACGGCAAATACTTCATCATCACATCAATCACATCCTTCACAGCACTACATAACTGTTACAGATACTCGAGGGTCTGCAATCCATTATCTACATTTATTGACTGTGATATACCTTAGCTACTAACTAGCAATCAAGCTCCTACCTATCATGTCCTCCTCGGCCATCTTTCAACCAGCTGTCCGAACGCGGATTACCTCGTTACTCCAATGCAAATATCCCTTGCTCCTTCCTGGAATGAGTTGGATCTCCACGCCTCGATTGGTCGCGGCGGTATCCAATGCGGGTGGATGTGGCATTCTGGCGACGGGTCCTCTGAGTCCAGACGAAACGCGGGAATCCATTCGGGAAATTCGTTCGTTGACCGATCAACCCTTTGGCATTGGCGCCACCTTGCTCATGCCGGGAGCGACGGAAAATGCACAAGTGGCACTGGAAGAACAAGTTCCACTCATCAATGTCAGTTTGGGAAAACCCGATTGGATTGCTCAAGAGGCACATGCGTATGGAGGCAAGGTCCTGGCAACCGTCACAAATGCCAAGCACGCGACGATTGCCTTGGAGGCGGGTGCCGATGCTCTCATGGTCACGGGACACGAAGCGGCGGCGCATGGTGGAGATGTCACTTCGCTCGTACTCATTGCCGCCATGGCACAACAATTTCCAAATGTCCCGTTAGTCGCTGCCGGTGGATTTGCCAATGGGCGAGGATTGGCCGCGGCATTGGCATTGGGAGCCGATGCTGTTGCCATGGGATCTCGCTTGGCCGTGACACAAGACAGTCCACTGGCGGAATCCGTCAAGGAAGCAGTTTCGGACCATGCAGTGACCGAAGCCGACACGTTGTACGGCAAAAATTTTGATGGCATTCCGGCGCGTGTATTAAAGACACCCATGGCCTCACGCCGCATGAAAAATCGTCCCAATCCACTGTCGGTGCTTGCACGAGCCTTTCAAGCCGCCGGGGACATGAAGGTACCGCTCTGGAAAATTTTACCCGGCATGTTGGTGGAATACGACAAAATCTACGCCTTGGCACAATTTGGGGCCGCCACCCAAGATATTCAAGCGGCCACCGTCGACGGATCCTTGGACAAGGGAGTGCAATTCATTGGACAATCCTGTGGATTGATACAAGATATTCCCACGGTGCACGAATTGATTCAACAAATTATTGCCGAGGCTAGACAGACGTCTCTCCAGAATGTGGCTCGTTTTGAGGAACCAGGTGATGCGAGTATTATTAATAGTAGTACAGAGGAGTTGGCATCGTAGAAAGTCAGTCAGTCAACAATCATAAACTAGATTCTTTTGCTTTGCCATCGTCTCTTTCGGGACGCCAAGCTCTCCCCTCATATACTTGCTTGCAGGCGCAGTGATGGGATTCTCCCCAGGCAAACCAGTCAGCTGTATAGCACGGTACTTAAGCCCAATCAAGCGGACCAAACATAGCCTCGACAACCGAGTAGGTATGAGGAGTCAACCGAATGAACCAAGCAAGCAAGGTCTACTACCTACTATCTAGTTAGCCAGGTAATCTGACCTGAATCTTTAGGCTTGGTTGCCACCACGAAGCAAGATCCAGGTATCCACCACTGAATATATTGCTCCATCCGCTTCATTTTTCTGTGTTTGCCCCCCAAAAGAAAACCAAACACACTTTGGATCCTTGTAGTACCTGCAGTGGTCGCTGTTCAAATTACCAGTACATCCCGCCGTGGTACTCTGTTTAGCCTGCACTTACTTGTAGGCGTCAAGCTGGCTATGCATGCAAGCCGACTGGGATAAATACACGCTTGGTTGCTTTTGAAAGGAGACCGTAGGCTTTCGGTCATACATACATGTTGGGCTGCGGGTGTTGAGTCCAGTAGTCTGCTCGTCTCCGGAGCAACCATAGTTGCAATTCCTTAAATTATTACTGGTTGCCTCACAATGGAGATTGGCGTGCTTGGCTCCAAAGTGAGAAACATCAGCCAGCCAGTGACAAGTCGAGTCCGAGTCACCACTTGCGCATGTGCCCCACCTGTGCTTCTTGCTTAGTTGCATCGGTTGTTTGCTCCGTGTAGTTGGATTGGGGTAGATCAAGCAACTGCAAACCAATGTTACCAAGCAAGCCAAGCAGGCCGTAAAGGGGTAGATCAAGCAACTGCAAACCAATGTTACCAAGCAAACCAAGCAGGCCGTAAATCACACTGTGCATTCAACGAGCGTCTCTTTTTTCAGTAGGTTTCTATGCCCAAGCTTTCAGTACGCCATCAAGAGGTTGCCCAAGGCCAACCAGGTTCATGGACAACAAGCAAGCCCTCGGTAGGACGTTTCGGCGTTTGAGTAATTAATTGTTCCTTAGCCGCCAAGTTGCTACCGGTACCCGCAGGAGTCGAAGATGGGCATGCAAAGTAGTGTGCGGCCGATCAGATGGACGACGAGGTTCGGCTTCAACTACAGCAGGATAAGCCGCCGTACAGCACTGGTTGGAGGAGGCAAGGAGATGCAGCGGAAGCAACCAGCATGGTTTTTACCCCAGCCTTTGACATGGCATGTATCGTTGCAGGTTGATCTGGGACGATACATTCAGCAATCGAAGGGGTGGGACAGCATGCACGATCGATCCTTGAGCCAAAGCTGACATCAGTCAACGCGTGACTAGTCAAAGGATGTATCCTCTCTCTCAACTGCCAGTGCTGTGGGCTAAAAGATACCGACCGGCAACTAAAACGAAAAGATCGCACCTTTGCTAGCAATGCTAATTTAGACAAGATCGACTAAACCGTCCCGTACTACCACTTGGTTCCCTACTAGCTAGAGATGGCTGGTTGCGCTCAATTTTCCACCCCACTGCAAATGTGAAGGCATCGCCGCACGACTAGAGTCCAAAGAACCGGGAGATGCTCTGGTCGCGGTGGGCTTACTATAGTAGACCGCTACACAAATGGCCACTAGATCTTGTCAATTCTATGGAAGTGATAATGAAACGATGTTTTCCCGCATCATTTGACATTCCGTGCCATTTTCATCGCTGGAATTCAATAGTTGTCAACCATAGCATCTAGCTAGCTAGCTAGTAGCTAGTGTAACGTGGCTCACTAGCTAGCTAGCCAGTCAGGAACGAAGAGGAATGTCAACAACCTTCCTTCCTGCCTGTTGATACTGACTTGTGCTTCTTTGAGTCACGATTTTGAGTTGGCCTTGTCAACAACCGAATCAACCATCCGAAAGCAAACGCAGCCCCGAAGCACCTCACAAAATCAATCTTAGACAATTTACGCCTTTCGAAACCATCCTATGCAGTCTGGTTCTTGAGTGCATTCCATTCCTTCAAACTTTCATCACAAACTCAATATGCTCACTACAATGATTGTCACACCACCTCGAATGGCTGATACGTTCCCAGTGGAACGGCCCGAGATGTACGTTCAACACATGAAACAAGGACAACTCAATTACTTCCCAATGGTCGCATCTACTTGTTTGGACATGCCAGTCCATGTCCAAAAGAAACAGAGATCCTCCTCGAAGAAGGTGAGGTTTGCAGCTACTGTTACCTATCATGAAGCTGCTTCAGAACCGAACGAAGCTTGTTGGTACCAACGGGAGGATATGGACAGGATCAAGGTTGATAGCAAGATGTGCCTTCTCGCCTATCACAAGGTGGGACGCAAGGCATCGCGTCTTGCCCGGGATCGTTACTGTATTCGAGGGCTGGAAAACTACCTATCCAAGTCAACCAACATGCTAGGCCGCTATTCGAGGAAGGAAACGATCAACTCAGTCCTCCTGGCCCAAAAGCTGAAGGGATGCCCTGACCCGGATCACTTGCGCGTGATCTCCGAGTTCAAGTCGAGGGACAAGGTCAAGGATGCCTACAGGATGGCCGCCAAGGACTCAAGGATCTGGTTGGAGGAGTATCAGGACCTACAGCGCTAAGCAGCCACCAAACAGATCTACCCTCCCAGCCAGATTGCTGACTGTTGCCTACACTGCACAAGATTATATCACCATCCATCCATCCATCACAGAAGCCCCCCAAGGACTCCAGGCATCCTTGTCCCAACCCCTTCAGTGCCCAGCACCGCGATGGTCATACCTCCAGCAAGCTCCAAGGCTTAGACCCATCAAGCTATTCAAACATCGCTTTTCAAGAGACTACGCCAGATTGCTGGCTGTACCCGTGCACATACAAAAGATACATCATCATAATCATTCAAATAGATAAGAATACATGTCTAAATCAACTTTGTCTACACGAACAGTTCCTCCGCGTGTCCTTTCCAGTCGAGCCTGAAGTCGGGTTGATGTAGCCGTTAGCAGAGGTGATCTCGTACGGTACATGTACCGAGTGCGAGTTCGTGTCGTCGAGTCGAGTGACAGTCAACTCAGTCTCCCAGCCAGAGTAACCAAATTGACCGTTGCCAGAGAGGAGGCACGACACCTTGCTGTTGATACATGTACCGGTGTAGAACCTGCCTATTTCTGTTCTTGGACGTACCGGTACATACAGCAGTAGTTTACCACCGGGCACATTGATTTTACGAAAGTCAAGGCCAGTGTCAGAACGTTCCGCATGTGAGCGCTGCTAAAGCAGGCTTCATTGTGACCTTTGGTTGCTTCAGGTCGCGGCTTTACCTGATGGTTGGCCCCCCTCTTGTCGTGGAATGCACCTACAGTAGTCAGTGCGAGTAGCTAGGGGCAAACTCTTGGCCCAGCCCATAGGTGGCAAAGATTGTTACCACCGAACCCCAGCCATGAGAACAAAGTTGAGCCTTTCAGAACCCAGCCCGTCCACTTGCAAACAACTCACCCAAATCTTGCTTGGCGGGCAGGCTTAGCTACGTCTCAATACAATGGGGCAAAGTCGAGTGGCAGTCAGTCTGGCATGATGATCAGAGGGCTTTGTTTCGTGCGCCCTTTGGTAATCAGATTCGATTCTTGGACTTGTAAGAGTGTCTTTCTCTGTACCAGTTCTGGTACCGGTATGAGTACGTGTACCGATCTGTTCCATGCCAACAAACGCGATCAAGGTCTTTGTGCCCGAGCTCCATTGCAACAAGAAGTCAAGTCGCGCCGTGCTTGTTTTCCACGATGCATCCCACTCTGTGGAAACCACGGTCTGAAGAATTGATAGCGGTAGGGTTCAACATGCAACTCAAAAGGATTTAATCACTTTGTGGACTTTAACTCTTACGAGCCTCTTGCTTGCTCTCCCTCTCACAATTTTGAAATCATCCACTACCGTCGCAACGACAAATCACACTTCCGACAGAAACAAACTGGAAGAGACTTTAGAAGAGCGGACCATGGCCACTTCCACCGCTGGAACCAACACCGATCAGTCTTCTCCTTCTTCTCTTTCACAGAATCCAAAGTCAGTGTTTTGGCGGATCAAAAGCGCCCAGAGCAGGACCTTTGAACGATACTGTCCGACCAATGACAAAACTTGCCGCCGCAAAATGTCAATCATAAAGGCCGCCAAGCAAAAAAAAGACGACAGCAAAGACATGATTACTCGGCAAGAAGAGGATGGCCAATGGTTGGTTTACTTTGATTGTTTGAAGAAATGGCTTCTTTCATCCAAAAAAGAGCGCAACAAGAACAACAACAAGGAGTTGGATCCCTTGTCGGCATTGGTGCTTGCTTCTAGTAACGACACCACAGCCAAGGAATTGTACGAGTGGCTGATTGTTCAGTTGCAAGCAGCCCAAAATGGGGTCTTGTGTGTCTTTTGCGTGAAGTACTTGGTCGAAATTGGAGTGGGGTGGAACGAGATTGAGTCCGTGTGGGTGGCTAACTATCAGCGGCTCCAGAGCAATCATCGCATTCTCAAAGATGGGAGCGGCAACACCAATGCGATCATGGAGAAGAACAAACTAGACGAATCTCCTGCGTTCCAAAATTGGATCATGGTTCAGAAAGTGCTCAGTGACAAGGGGATCTTGTTGCCAGGACGAAAAGGAAAACTAGTGGCGTTGGCAGTGAATGTCATACGAAATAATGGTCACAGTACCAACACGACCAAACCTGCTCCTAGATCCGACAGTCCTGTGGTCTATAACAGCAGCAGCAACAACAGCAAGGTCGGCAATAGCAGCAATGCGACGACTGACCAACAGGGGACCAATGACAAAGTTTGTGCCAAATTGAAGAGACTTGCCAGGGGATCGCTGCCTCCCAAGAAACGCAAATTTTTTGCTCTGGTTTCCTCCGAGGTGGAAGAGGAGGGGAAAACGCCCAAAGCCATACATCATCACAAGAGAAGCAAGAGTCCGAATGACGTGATGGACTTTGGCAATGCTTCCACTATTACTACCAGTACTTCTGCGGATGGCCCCGTTGGTCCCGCGAGCACCGAGTCGTCCACCAACCAGCAGTGCTGGCAGCCCCCAGTCATATTCCACAAGCAAACTCTTGCGCCTGCCTTGGAGGAATTCCACAAGGACCTGCCGCCAAACGATGTCACGACACCAATGATGCGAGGACGAAGCGGTGATTCGGTCCCGGAACGGAGCATTGAGACCGCGAACAAGAAGGTTCCGTTGACACAAGACGTTTGGGATGAAGGTATACAGGCGGCCCATGACTTTGTGAATTGGTATCTCTGAGGAAACATCAAATGTTTCGTCCACTAATAGAAGGTCTATAGAGGAAGAGAGGACGGAAACCGTAGCTAGAATGCAGGCGCCTAGACCAAGGCGTGTTCCGTGACAAAAGCACGAAAGTTGACCCAATCTCGTTTACACTTGCACGCCACAGCTTCACAACCGTGACGACTTCTAGAGCCACCATGGGACATTCGTTGTTGTATAAGTTGCAACTGGCAAGCTACTCTCTACCGTACCGGTATAGATAGCTTCATGTTCCGTCGTTTTCTTCTCCCTGCCAAAGACGAGGCAGATTTCAAGATCCTTCGCAGATTACGAACACAAAGGAAGGCAAGAGCCTCTTAAATATCTTTTCGGATCATAAATCTTTGTGTGCTTCCTCGCCCGGCGACCGCGGGAGTTGCACGTTGCCACATTATCTGCCACCAGAGAGAATGAATGTACGGAGTAAGGCAGGAGAGGACCTCATCATCTTCACTCAAAAGCTTCTAGCTGACAAGCGGCAACAGAGTGAGTAGACTGATCCAGAGACTGAAAGTAGAAGGTGAAGTTTCAGTTACCAGTGAATGAGAAAGAAGAGACCAAAAGAGAGACGATAAGAAAGGCGAAAAGACAGGAAACAAAATAAATAGCGACGACAATGACAGTGTCACAGCCGCACAAGCCTTGGCATTCTCCATCCAAGACAGGTTGGATCCAAGAGCTATTGACTAACAGTGATATGATTGAGAAAGACGACATTGGTCAAGTGCCAGATGTGTTCTTGGTTGCCATGGCGCAACTAGTCCGTGTGATAACAACAACAACAACAACAACATCGTCCAACAGCAGTAGCGGCCACAACCAGACGACGGTGGGTTTGTGCTGCAGTCATTGTCACGAGGACTTTACCCATCAACTACAGCAACGCCAACCACAAGCCATTCAGCGTGGCATGATGGCAATGGTCCATCATTTTACTGGACCAGTCTACTGTCACGCTTGTCCTTCCTGGATCCGCGAAGCCTTGGAGACCTTGGAGGCACGAAACAAGAACAACAATCATAATCGGCACTTGACGGAACGATTCTGCAACCTCTTCTTTGGAAAATTCAGAAAGAAACTACAGCAGAAAAGCACAGCATTGCTACTCTCTTCTCGTCATGATGATGTGGACAAGACTCTCATTAAGAGTAGCCTCGGCAAGGGCGAGAGCAGGAACAATAACCAGAACAATGACAATCAACAGCGGCATGACAGTGTTGGGGTTATCAGGACCAATTCTGAGAATGATAATCATCGCAACAATGGAGGCGACATAAACAAGATGACCAAGCCAACTGAGTCCATCACAGCAGAGGCAGCACACGCCAAGAGTCCCGTCATGTCGACCTGGCCAGCCGCAACAAACATTTTCCCGCGGCAGACGGAGAATGGCGGCACTTGTCGTCGGGCATTATTTAGCACTCCACAGAAGCGGAAACCCAACCTGATTACTCCAGAGTTGCCCGCAAAGAAAGCAGCTGTGGAGGAGGTTATTGTGAATGATAACGGATCAAGCAAGGACGATACACACGAGTTGTTTCCCGCCGTCCAACCCCCACCACTCTTGGGGCCTCACCATCAATCCCCTCTAGCAGTTACCAACCAGATCAAGGGGGCGCACAGTAGTAGCACTTTGAAAAAGAAGAACAGATCCCCGAGCTTTGCCGACTGGAAGAAAAGCCGAGCCAAGTACAGCCTGGAGGAGCGTTCCAAAAAGCGCAGCATCGCTGTCGGGCCAACTGCTGCCAAGGCCAAGAGAAACCCTTGTATTGTCGGTCATGATGTCGGGATGGAAGAGGTTAAAGAGCAGAGTACCAATGCTATCGAGCACACTGTGGGCGGGTTTCGGATCACGATCGCAACGGCTAACCACCTATCCAAAACAAATGACATTCAGGCGGACAAGGGAGCCAAGAGGGTGACAATCGCTCCACTGGAGAGCGGTACCGCGACAACGCATCCAACTGAGAGCTTTGAGGGCGGAAAGGACTTTTTCCCACCAGACATGACCATGGACAACAAGGATAGCGACGTTGCCAACCAGTCAGTAACACGTGCTGACTCCCATTCCAACTCCCAAGCAAACGCCAACGAAGACCAACGGGAGGACCGACACATGAGCGAGCAAAGCAGTCCCAACAAACAAGAAGACCAAGAGCCATCCGAGGACGGGACACTCTACAGCACCGGTTGTCTGGGGACAGCAGAAGAGACAAGGCGTGACCATTCCGAAGCGCGGGCTGTGACGAGTCCGGCTCTGGACCACCAGCCCTGTAATGCTTCCAACGGCAAAGATAGCTTGATGAAGGACGACACCATGAACCATCGAGTAAGTCATCTGGAAGCCATGGATGCCAATGCTGCGAATGGCGGAGGGGAGCATGAGGCTGCCCTCGCCATACATGGACGGAGGCTCCGCCAAGATGCCGCGCTTGAGCAAATCAGCAACCGAGTTGACAAGCCAGACGCGTCCTGGCTCGATCACTACTGCGCCTTGCTGATCTACCACAGGGAGTTTGAAACGTTCACAGTAAAAAGCGACCACAGTCAGCGTCTCAACCTGTGGGCTTGGGAGCAACGAGCCAACAAGTCAGAGCTATCGGGCCTCTATCGTGCCACGTTGCAGTCCATCGGCTTCTTCAAAGGCTACGACACGGACGAAGCGGAAGCCCTCTCAGGTACAATCTACAAGATTCAGAAGAAGTTGGGAGAAAAGGCACCGACATCTGAAGCGGTTGCGACGTTGGAGCCAGGGGAGATCGCAGAGGAAATACCAACTCAGTCGGAGCCCATTGTGCTCCATGAGACGAAGGAGAAGTCACCAGCAGAAGTCCAACAAGAACCGACCCCGAAGAAACTGAAAGTGGTAAATCAGCCAGCAAAAATATCAAAAGGCAATCGTTCAAAACCAGCCGCGCCAAAGAAGCCCCACGCAGTCGTTGCGAACCCATCAGAACAAGTACCGAAGCAAAAACCTGCACCACTCGACGCTTCAGGGGACGTTCAAACACGAACATGCCCGCAACAGGAATCACAGCACAAGGTAGCACGGACTACCGGGACGAACAAGATCGTGCAGTATCGGCCTCAATCCCAGCCATTGAGGCAGCAACAGCCAGCATTTCTTCAGGCGGCGGCACCATATTTGTGGGCGCCAATGATGCAGCCTCAAACAACGCCTTTTCATCAATTGATGACGTCAACGGGAACATCCACGATGGACCTGCCCCTACCAATGTCGCGGCCTCTGCCGGTACCACCACTACCACAAATACCCATGACGCAAGCTCCACCAGCAAGGATGCACTTGCCAACACCAATGATGCAGCCTCAAGTAAATGCTGCGCCTCAGCAACGTGACCGCATGTTGGCAGCTGTGTTGCAACCACCTGCACCTCTACCGGTACTACGTCCCTCAATGCCAAGACAGAAGACACAGGGACAACAAGACTTAGAAGAGCTGGAAGGGCGTCGAAATCAGAAACACCAACAGAGACAGTCAACGTTAGAGGTTGGAACGCCGACGATTGTGCAGAAAACAGCTCAGACCAGTGATACGACGGCAGCCGAAATCGAGCGCAAATTCGGCAAGGCCGTAGCGCAAGCAATCAGCCAAGGAACTCTTCTATATGACGAAGCAAAACGGCTTTTGTCGCTCGGTGTTCGGTGGACCGAACCCGAAACAAGCTGGAACGATAACTATTTGGAGGTGCTTAGCATTCGAAGTGCTGTCGAGAACCAGCTGGCTAAAAAACAAGCCGTACAGCTTCCCGAGTCAGTGTTTGGTAAAGCCTGGAATTGGATGACTGTGAACGCTCACTTGGGCGAAAAGAACCTGCTCTCCCCTGAACGACGAGAAAAGATCCGCATAGCATGGTCAATGCTATCGGAACTTCGCAACAAGGTCCAACACAAACGTCCTCTTCGTCCTTTGCTTCCAGTGCCGGCTCAAGTTGTCAAACCAACTACACGCGCCGCCTCGGCTACAACCTTAGAAACCCACGGTCATACAAAACCGTTTGCAACGGGAAAGCGCCAGAACAGCGACGAGGGCAACGTGATAAGACCCCCTGCTTTGAATACGGGGAGAAACAGCACAGACCTACGAGACGATGGAATCTGTGCCCCAAAATCCAAGCAGCGCCGATTAGAACCAGGGATAGCGTGTCTCACCCCCTATCAAATGGCCCTAGCCGTGGAGGGCAAGCTCCCTTATGATGTGGCTAAACACCTCATCGAACAAGGTGGGCGGTGGAAGGAGACCGATCAAGCCTGGCAACGCAACTTTGATTCGTGTGTGAAGCTGTGCACCCTACTCGACGACGTTGCAAGAAACGGCGAACAAATGGAAGAAAGGTTCCCCGCATCGATTTTCAACGAGTGGTTTAGTTGGATGAAGGTACAGCAACTCCTGCAAACGGCAGATCTCCTCTGCCCAAAGCGCTGTAAGAAGGTAGTCACTGTCTTCAACAAAATCCGGTTTGCATTACAACAATTTCACTCCACCGCCGAACGGGCAACAACGAACGCAGCGACAACCAACCCGACTCTAGAGGCAGCACCTGTGGCAGAGTCAACCCCGCTCCCAGAGAAACCAACAGGGACCATCTCACAACGTCAAGACAAGAAACCAGCACCCTTTGCAGATTCTAGTCACGCCCTTGCCGCTCATGCCGTCCGTCGTGCCTCCTCGACCGTCGCTTCTGCTTCTGTCATGGAAACCGCTTCTCAAGTTGCCGCTGAAAAAGATGACCAGCTTGACAAAGAAGATCAGATGGGAGACGAAGAGTACTTCAAGGCCTTTGCTCTCAAGGAAGGAAAGTCCGAAGACGAGAGCTTCCCCCACAAGCTCTACCGCATGCTCTATGAAGCTGAGCAGGATGGTCATGCCAGGATTGTCTCCTTCCTACCTTCAGGATGCAGCTTTACCATCCACAATCCCAAGGAATTCGTCTGCTCCATCATGCCTCGGTACTTCACCACTCGTCGCGTCGACTCCTTTCTACGTCAGTTGCATCTGTACGGCTTTCGCCGCATTCCGAAAGGCAAGGAGAAGGGCGCCTACTTTCACAAGGACTTTGTCACGGGCAAACGCTATCGCATCCAAGGAATCAAGCGAAAGTCCGTGTCCACAGCTTCTCCTGATTCCGGTCAGAAGCCAAAGCAATACAGCGTTATGGATCACACGGAACCATCCAATGCAAAGGAGAAGAAGTACATTGACAAACACGGCGCAGCAAGCATTTGCTGTCCTAGCCTTCCGGGTCGAAAGCAAGACAGTGTTGCGGACGCGGTCTATGCAACGGAGAGCAATGATATCAGCACAGTTGAAACTGGTCCCAAGGCCGCCCCGCCCGAACCAGTGAAGAAAAAAATTGCTGGCAGCAAGCGGAAGCGAATCATTGATAATCAACAAGATCGACGTGCATCCAAGGACGAGCCACGAGAAAAGGCGCCCTGCACCAGCGGACAACCACAGGTGGATGCACCCAAAACCAAACGCCAAGAGAAGAGCAGCAACTCGGACGAAGCCGCAGCAAGTGCCAAAGAGGATGATTCTTCCACCAAGGAAACCAAGAGAACCCTCGAAAGCTGGAGAGACCATGTCCTCGTTCTCGTTGATCGCATCGACTTTTCCGATGATGAGGACGAGCAAAAGGACACTGAAGAACTGGGCACAGCAGCTGAACCTGAGGAAGATGACGAGGAATGGCAACGTAGAGCCGATGCCGACATTGCAGACTTTCGTTGGATGAGACGACGGGAACTTCTTTACCGCCAGAAAGGCCTTTATCCCAGCTTGTTTGGTTAGCTTAACTCGCTCATCTGTTCGCTGGCCCTCTCTCGAAGGAGTACCGGTACGGTACGGCAACAGTCCGAGGAAATGAAGGTAGGAAGTTGTGTTTTGGTGTTGTGTTGTGGTTGGACAAGGCTGTCCTTAAATCTTCGTGTGCCCCTGAAGCCAAACCCTGTTATTTAATATTATCGCTACCAAACCTGTTATTTTCCCACGCTAGCTGAAAGCACCGAGCAGCCTCATCGCGGTCCCAATCGAAATCCCCACCATCCATCGACCCCACTAAACTAACTACTGTACCGGTAGCTTGCTTGCGGCTGCGGAGAAGAAAAACTAATAGCCATCCCCTGTCTCATTATTCTAAACTGCAAGTGCTAGCTAGTAGACGCTAAATTCTAGAGGCTATCTCCCTCCGTTTGGGAAATCTATAGCTGCTCTGCTGGGCGATTGTTCAGGGTCGAATCTTCTTGTGGTGTTGGCACGGTGCTCGGTGCGGGTTTTGGTTGGGGCGAAGACAACTGCAGGTGGCTGCCATGGCAAAAACAAGAAAGAAATCGCGAGTAGCAGAGCAGGTTCCCGACAAGTGGTTCATGGACCAGCTCGAGCACTTGAAGACGTTCCTGCAAGACAACCATGGAAAGAAGCCTACCATCGATACAGATCCAGCCTTGTGTCAATGGCTCATGAAGCAGAAGGTGTCCAGCAAATTGTCAACTTACCCATCCTGGAAGGTCTCCCTCTTGGCAAAGCTGAACGTGGGAATAGCGGCTCCAAAAGAGTCGACTACAAGTCAGAACAAGGTTCCAAAGTCGCCACCAAAAGAAAAAGAGCAAGATCAGGAACCTCCGCCAAAGAAGGACAAGGAGGAACTTTCCCAAACTCGATTTCAGCAGAAACAGAAAGAAAAAAAGAAAAAGGAGCTTCAAGAGCAGAAAGGACAGCAGGAGCTCCAAAAGGAGCAGAAAAAGCGACAACAACAGGAGAATAAGCAAGAAGATCCACCAAAGAAACAAAAGGAGGAACTTTCACAAACTCGATTTCAGCAGAAGCAGAAAGAAAAACAGAAGCAAGAGCTTCTAAGGAAAGAGAAAGAGGCACAGGAGCTCCAGAAAGAGCAGGAGAAAGATGCACTGAGCAAACCAAAACCACTTGATGATAATCCCCTCCCTGGTCTAGCAAGAGCACGGCTTCTTGCAAAAATCACCACTGGAAAAGACGACAGAGCGTGGGAGGAAAATTATTTCGCTCTGCAGGACTTTCTGTTGAATCATGGAATTGCTCCTAGCATAGGGTCCAACAAGAAATTGACATCTTGGATTGAGCGACAACGCTATGGATACAAGAAGTATCCAGATGACGTACGATGGCCTCGCAGGATTGATATGATGTCCAAGCTTGGTTTTAATATCACAAAGAAGGGAACAGAACCGGGTGCCTCCTCCTGGAACAAACGAGACGGAAAATGGTTCTCCACCTATGTAGAGTTCAAGAGCTTTATGGAGGCCAACAGTGGCGCAATGCCAACCGAGAAGTCGAATGCCAAACTAGCTGGATGGATAGCACAACAACACACAAAGTATCTGCAAAATCGCGAGGATCCCATCTGGGAACACAGGGTAGACCTGTTGGGCAAGCTTGGTTTCAGTATTACACGACAAGCAGCTGCGTTGGAGAGCATACCCACAGTGGCGCCTTCACCTCCATCATCACCAAAACCGGAAGCAATGCCGGCTCCAGGGAAAAAGCGAAAAGCAGCATCCAAATCCAAGGACTCTGCTGGTAGCGCACCAAAAAAGAAGTCATCCGCAGACACGCAAGCCTCGGAAGCAGAAGCAAAGGCAAAACCGGAAACAAAGGAAGCCAAAGCAGAAAAGGCCAAGGTGAAGAAAGCAAAACACACCACAGCCCAGGAATCAAAACCTACTGCAGCCAAGAAGAGAAAAATACCTCCAGCTAAAGACCCACAATCTCCTCTGGCCAAAAAGGCGAAAACAGCGCCGTCCAACGAAACCAAATCGGCTTCAGAGAAGAAACCAAAGTCAGCTCCTGCAAAGAAGCCAAAATCTTCATCAACCACGGATTCCACTATTAGCGCGACAACGCCATCAGAGACAGATACAGAAGACGAGAAAGCACAGAAACAAACTGAAAGCGCAAAACCGAAAGCAAAGAAGGCGTTGGCCAAGAAGGCAGATAGAGACGCCACAGAAACGAAGGCGAAAGCACAGAAGCAAACTGAAACTTCGAAAGCAAAAACCAAAAAGGCCCAGGGGAAGAAGGAGGTTACTGACTCCGCAGATGCGAAAGCACAGAAGCAGACGGAAGGTACAAAAGCCAAAAAGGCAGATGCCGATTCCAAAGCTAAATCACAGACACAGACACACGCAAAGGATAAGGCACAGGGAAAGAAAACAGGCGTCGCATTGGATTACGGTACGAAGGATTCAACACCCGATAGTACGAGTAAAGCAGCAAACCACTCCGAAGCACAAACTGCAACGGGCCAAAACCAGGATGCCCACGACATCAAATGGGCTGAGAATTTCGCTGCTTTCGAGGCCTTTTTGAAGGCAAACAAAGGGAACAGGCCGACTCAGAAGACAAACAAAAAGTTGTCTGCGTGGCTACAGAACCAAAGGACGCTGTACCATATAAATGCGGGCACTCCCCGATGGGTTAGCAGAGCGAAGATGATGAGTACACTTGGCATTGACATTACAACGAAAGGGGGCTTCACCTTCGCAGCATCGTTGACAACATCTACGAAATCTGATGTATCGGAACACAAGGCTGCAACAAAAGTGTCAACCGCGTCGGCGACGAAACCAGCAGCAACGACAGCACCGGCCACGGCCAAGACCAAAAAACTGGATGATAGTAAATGGGAGGGCCGGTTCGAGGCTTTCAAAGCTTTCATGCTGGCCAACAACGGAGCACGGCCAACCAAGAAGACGGATCCCAAAATGTGCAAATGGCTTGAGAACCAAAGAATATCGTACCGACTGCACCCAGACAGCCCATTGTGGGCTCCCAGACGCGAGATGATGAGCTCACTGGGTATTGACTTGACACTCACTCGAGGCCATCCCTCCCGTTCTCCATCCACATGGTCCGAGGACTTCACGGAGTTGAAAGCCTTCGTTAAAAGTCATCGTGGGAATCTGCCCAACAAGGAAACGAATGCTAAGTTGGCCAACTGGGTAACGATTCAAAGGCAGAGTTATCTTAAGACCCCGAATGATGGCGACTGGAACTGGAAGATTAAAAAGCTCTTCAAACTGGGCATAGACGTGACGGAAGGCGCACCTCATCCACTTGTCGAACAGGGCACGAAGACCGACCAGCGGCCTTCGCGAAAGAAGCGTGCTGCTGTCAAACTAAAGGCAGCTGAAAAACACCAGCAGGGGAGTAACAATTACGCTGTGGAAGATCGCGAATCTGAACAAGAGAAAGCAGCCAGTTACGCAGCTTGGGTAGGCGAGCTGACGGCTCTTCAAATGTTTATGGGAGAGAGCCGAGGGGCCCTGCCGACTGTTCAAGCGAATCCAAGGCTGGCCAGTTGGATCCAAGCTCAGCATGACAACTATCAAAGAGCACCAGACGATCTCAGTTGGGCTTGGAAAAAGCCATTGTTGGCCAACTTGGGCATCGACATCACACTTGATTTCTTGCCGGCCAATCTTGGTGATCGTCCGCAGGAGTCTCATCAATGCGCGCCGCAAAACGAAACGAATGAGGCGCACGAGCCCTTTGAGAATACCCACTTCCAACAGGAGGATGCTGGAGCGCAGCTGCCCAATGATCCCACAATGAACGCTTCGCTGACAGACGACCTTTTGGAGGGAGCACCTGAGTTGCCTTCTGTCGAAGACGATGGACAGCTTTTCGGCATTATGGAGCACGGACAACCGGATGTTTTTGATGAGGAGGGACACACTGATGCGCCTATTCAGATGGGAGGAGACCATTCGCAATCTTGTGAGATTCCAACGGATATCCTCGATGAGATTCTGGAAGAGTCACCGGACGGTTTCATTGCTCGCGACATATTCCCCACCGATTCGTCGGAATATGCCGATATAACCGCCGAAAAGCCAATTGCAGAGCCCGCAGCGAACCCATGCGGACAGGGACAAGACCAAGCTCTACAAAACGTGCAAACGTTACCTGCCACCAAGGCGGTGGCTTTCACGACACTTCCTCCACTGACGGCAGTTGTGACTCCTCCTATTACACCAGGTCCTGTGGAACAGATGGCCCCGTGTACGACTGGCAAATTGCTCGGAAAGAGACGGGCATCGGATTCAGACAAAATGCAGGCCTCCAGGGGGGGCATGGTCCAAGTATTGCCTGCACAGAAGACCTCAAAGAGTGCCTTCGAGAGTGCCACCTGCAGCATGAGCATGAAGGCACCAACACCAGGAATGACAATGAGTTCGAAGAGGAGGAGAATGTACAGAATCCTTCGTCGATCAGCTCATCTCCACTAGTCAGTGTGTTTCGACTACAGATCTAGTCCTGTACTTTGAACAACTTTCTATGGTTACAGGCTGACCGTTCAGTGAGAGCCTTTGCATTGCGTGCTTGGTGTCACTGGCATTTTCTATGGTTTCTCGGAATAGGCACGGAAGACACCTGATTTGATTCACCTATTTGGAACCACCTGGGGGTAATAGTAGGTTCCAAAGATCTTATCAGTCATCTTGAAGATGTTCGCATAGTTGTAGTGATGTCGTGAGTGATGTATGGCATGGTCTGCGGGGCTAATGAAAATGGGCCACTGAATGTCTTTTCCACAGTGAATGGCCAATTGCAAACTGAAGAAGAGCAAATGAAAGACGATGGCGCCAGTTCGAGGGATCGGAAGTATGCGGCCAACCACAACAACGGGAGAAAACCAGACAAAGAACTCCAACGTATCAAGTTCCAGGCACTGTAGAGCGTTCTTGGCAGGTTTGTGATGGATTTGCCAGTGAGCCTTGACGCGATGACAAAAGCGATGTACCCAGTACAGAATAGCATCCAATACAACCAGAAAAATTGGAAGGAACCACCAATTCGGCTCTGTGATTTGGAAGCTGTCAGAGAAGATTATGGGTGAGAGCAGAAGGCTCAGACCAAAATTTGCGAGGGATATTGAGTTGAATGCAACATTGTCGGTCATGAAAGGAATGGAGAGCACGAGGACTACCGCGACCCCTGACGACGCAAAGCTCTCCATACTGAGCAGGTCGTTTTTGATTGTAAACCAGCCCATCATGTTTCGATTTGATTAATGAGCACCGGAAAAATGAACTTGTTCTTTGTGGAGAAAGGGATGCCGGTATCGATGGATGGCTGCCCCAAGACTATTGATGGTCGCATCCGACCTATCACTTTAGCTCCACTTTCGACTTGGAGGTGCCATACAATGTACCGGTATGGGCGTCAAATGACCAAAGTGGTACCACACTACTGTCGGTACTTGGTACCGGTATCTGGCTGGTCATACGGTTTCAGCAAAAAGTGACTGAATTACTGGTACCAGTATGGGTACTAGAGTACATGTACCCTACCGGTACCGGTACACACCGGTACCGGTAGGGAACGTGATTCTACCAGTCACGTTCCCTGTAAACTCACCGGTCACGCTCAAAGCGTCAAACTCACTGGTCACGGTGAAAAGCGCTGTGGCGATGCAACAGATCCTGAAGACGAGGACGCCACAATTGAGTGCTTGTTTATGAGACGGTCACACTTATCTCAGTTTGCTTCATCAAAGAAAAAAGACTGTTGGTCAAACCATTCTTGTCCGTTGCTTCGGTGCACCAGCTAGTGAAGTCAATCCATGCTACCAGTACCGGTGAACCAATCCGAGATTTGCAGCAAGTTTTCTCATGGCTGCTGCAAGTACATGTAGTATGGTCTTAAGGCACTTACATAGTTCCCATGGAAGTTGCTTTTGATCACGATTTGCAGTGTTTCTGGTATGCATCTTTTTGGCCCCTCGGCAACTTTTTTAAAAAAAAGAAGGTATCCAAATGAAGGATCACAAATTCCCACCGAGACGCTTCATTCCTCTCCTGGTGACCGATTAGACCTAAATAATTTGAACAACGAACTAGTGGCTCTCTGGCTGTAGAGACCTTGTTGGCTCCATGTAGTTTGTTCATAGCGTGTGATGCTTCCTAGTCTGGAATCTTCAATCAGATTGCACATTATGTATTGAGCATGCAAGGCTGGGATAGTTTCCGTCCAGCCTTTGATTGTACTGGTCTAGTAGCTACCGGTATCTGCAGATGCATTGCCGAAGCAATCGGACGGACCTTTGAACTCAATTGAGGCTCGAACTGTGACAATAGCTACATGTACACTTCTACCTCACCAATAAGATAACTCTATTCTTGATCCACTACTGGAGGTATCTTAACCAATTCAGCCACAGGAACACTGAGTTATTATCTTACAAGCAGCCCAATCTCAGTATCTTTCATATCTTATTGCCACTAGAAGCTATTGTCACATACCCCTACTACTAAACATACCCTCAGACAGTGAGGAGCCAGGACCAAAGCTCAAGAAGGCAAAAGTGCAAAGCTAAAATTGATGAAACCAAAGAGTTGTGGTAGAAAGGCACCCTAAATGCGGATTTGGAGTACTTGGATGTAGATAGTGATGTGGAAGATAGTGGGTACTAGCTGCATTCAAACCCCACATAGTATTAGTACTAGCTTAGGATTCGACACCTCAGTACTCGTTGCTTATCTTACAGATGTACTGGTTTGGGAAATCTGAGTGTCTGGGTTATCTAAACATTTCTGAAAAGTTGAGTACTCGGTATCTTAAACCCACTTATCTTAAGTGTGAGTGAGGAGTGTAGCACTATCATTCGAAGTTTTAAACTAGCTCCGGCAATTTTAACGGAAGCCAAAGGGCTTATTCTCGCTTTTTTGAATTAGCAACAAAATAATTTTGCCATCGCCTGGAGAGGAGCGGAAGAGCCACCATTCACCGCAACAGCAAGTCCAACTTTTGGTTGTCACATCTTGTCATTATTTGAAGTTCTTTTCCTCCACACCGTCTCTCTTCTGCTCTCGTTTACCAGTGTCTATCGTAGCCAGGTTTGCGCCGTCTTGATTGTTTCGCGTACAAGCCGCCCTTTGATTCGTTTGGGGAAGTGTTGAAATCTGATTGCTAAGTTTGAAGACGTCATCATCCGAAATGGATGATCAAGAGGATGAGGCGTTTGTGGTGCCCACCAAGAACGATGTGATTCGGTGGAAACAGCACCCAGGAACAAAGTTCTACATTGACCTCTTGGAACGCCACGCCAAAAAGCTGCCTCCGCAAGGGTCAGTCCATCACGAAGGCCAAATGAACGAGAAGGCCAAGCAGATTGTCAGAACCGTCACCATGTGCAAAGGTCGTTTCTTGAAGAGTGTTGAAGGGAACAGGTACCGAGTGATGAATGACAATGAAGCACTGCAGAAAGCAGTCAGAGGATTGAGAAACAAGCAAAAAGCCATGTTGGGTGGTGGTGCAAGCGTGGTAGTGGGGCATCGCATGGAAACCACCAAATCAGATCTGAAGCAAGCTCCCAAAAAGGATCCAGATGGAGCGCATTTCGCTCGCGACGCTTCCACCACAGAAGAATCCTTCGCCGTGCAGAAGAACCCTCCGCCACCAAAAAAGCCAGCGGCGAAACCTCCAAGGGTCGACACGAGTGGTGAAGACAAAGTAATTCCTTTCTTCCCGTCGGATAGAGATGTTATCTCTACTGTTAATGTTCATTACATTCTCAATCACAAAGGCACAGTGGCTTATGGAAATCTACTAGAGAAATTCTCTCTGAAGCTTCCACCAACGGGCCATGTGGATTTCCAAGCCCGCCTGGAGGAATTCTCTCAAAAGATTGTGGATACGGTGACCAAACGAGGGCGCTTCTTGAAGATTGAGGGTGAAATGAATCCATCCCATTGCATTCTTATGGATCGAAAATCCGCGCTGCTAAAAGTAAAATACGGTCTCCAGAGCAAGCAGAAACGACAACTGGAGACGAAAAAGCCACCAGCAACGGAAAGCACTGCAAGGGGATCCCGAGACCGCGGTGCCACCAGCAACGAGGGATCCAAACGAACTCGAAGGGGCGAAAGGACAGCAGACAGTCAGCCTTCGCATGAAACAGTAGCCAGTGAAGCAAAAACGTCCGCCAAGATGGAGGCCGAACTTAAAAGACTTGCTGCTACAATGGGGACTGTGATTCCTTTTGAACCCACAGACTATGATGTAGTCTCTACGAGAAATCGGCACTGGCTTTTGAATCACAAGGGAACAATCGCATATGGAAAGTTGATTGAGGAATATTGCGCGGAGCTACCACCATCGAATCATCATCCTGACTTTTCGGCTCGGATCAGTGAAGTTGCCAATACAGTTGTCGATCAAATCATGGAAAAAGGTCGCTTCTTGAGAATTATCGAAGGCTTCCAAAACCCAACGCACTGCCTTGAACTAAACCGACAGGCGGCATTGCGTAAAGTTGATATTGGTTTCAGGAATAAGATTGCTCGCAATCCAAAACTCAACAGGAAATTCGCCAGCTCTGAAAAGACAACACGGAGAGCCACCAGATTGGAAGAGTCTGAGAAAGCAGTGACATCCAACACATTGGAAGAGTCTCCACCAGCAACAGCGAAGGAAAGTTCCACGGACTCGTTGGAATTGCCAAGAAAAGTATCAGCAAGAAAGACATTGACACCCAGCAAACCAGCACGGCCTACAGTGGAAGAGAAACCTGCAACAGAAGGGGAAAAGGAAACCCTGACTATGATTCCATTTGAACCCACTGACACGGATGTGATCTCATCGAGAAATACGCAATGGAACGAAGAACACAAAGGGACAACTGCCTATCTCCAGCTTCTGGACCTATTTTCTCCCCAGCTTCCACCACATGGTGACGAAGACTTTGCATCGCGTCTCAGGGAATTTGCAATAACAATTTACAACCAAATCACGATTGAGCAACGAGGGCGCTTCTTGAAGATTGATGACAATGGTGTCAAACAAGCCACTTTCTGTTACATAATGGATCGTGAGTCCTGCCTGGCCAAAGTGGAGCTTGGCCTCAGGAAGAAGCACAAGAACACAGAGAAGGAGGAGTCTGAGGAGCCATCTCTGAATGATTCAATGGCAGCTATGGCGCTGCAAGGAATGTCAGTGGACACAAGAGATTCAGACACAGCAGAAGACTCACAACCACCAGAAGATTCAGAACCACCAGAAGAGTCAGAACCACCAGAAGCCCCAGCAAGGGCTGGACGTGTACCTATCGCAGAACGAGAGGGTGTGTTTCCATTTGTCCCCACTGACAGAGATGTGATAGCTTCCCAATGTCCAAAGTGGAACCATCAGCATGAAGGTGCTACTGCTTACAGCAAGCTTATAGATCAGTACGTTCTCAAGCTTCCAAAGATGGGTTCTCAAAACTTCATATCCACCCTTAAGGACTTTTGTGGAGCAATTTATGACCACATCACCCTGGAGAGGAAAGGGCGCTTCTTGAAACTTGCCAATGATGGCTTGAATCCAACACACTGCTACATCATGAGCCGTGAAGCGTGCATGTACAAAATTGAGCATGGCCTCAGGAAGAGATACAAAAAGCGGGATGTTGTCCAGAAGAGAGTCAAGGAGTCTATGATGTTGGAAGCAGGAGTGCCGCCAGAGAGAGCACCAGAGATGGCAGAGGACACCCAAGAGAATGAAGTGCCTGCTACTAGATCTGGGCAGAACCCCGTAGCAGAGCCAGGTGCGGTGATCCCCTTTGTCCCCACTGACAGAGATGTGATCTCGTCACAGTATACTCGTTGGAACATCCAACACAATGGTGCAATTGCTTACAGCAAACTGTTGCAGGAGTATGCTGCCAAGCTTCCAAAACTCTCTGATGACAAGTTTAATTCCCACCTCAAGGACTATGCCAACGCAATCTACAAAATCATCACAGAAGAGAGACAAGGGCGCTTCTTGAGGTTGGTTGATGATGGTATCAATGCAACATGTTGTTATGTAATGGATCGGGAATCTATCCAGGGCAAAGTTGAGCACGGTCTCAGAAATCGACAAAAGAGACTCCAAAAGCATGCAACGAGCGCTGGTCACACAGAATTGGTAGATCCCAAGCCCCAAGACCTTCCTCCTAGGCCTCGGACTGTGGCAGCAACAACAGCAGCAGCAAGCAAGAATGTGACCATACCGCCAAAGGCGTCCAAATCCAAACCATCAGACTTTTATTCGTTCCCATCCTACGTCAAAGATACGCGGCATCCAGAACGGGATATCTTGGCATTTGTGGGGCTTTCCAATCCGATCAAAAGCTGTTGCCGCAACAAGTGGTGTGATGCGTCACGCAACCGTTTGGCTTCTGTCAAGGATCGGGATCAGTTGGTTCGATTGGTTGTGGCCTTCCACTGCGAAGAACACGACGAATCAGAAGAAGACAGCTGGCTTTCTCAGTGGCAGGTTTCGGAAGATCAACACGAGCTGGAATTGGGGGAGTTGGGGGCCAAATTCATTGTTTGCAAGACCGGTCTTTCGAAGCTGTTTGGATTGGACTACGAGGATGGTTTAACACTTCGCCGAGCTTCAGAAGCGGAGGAGAGCAGCCAGGACGAAGAAAGTGTCGTCGAAGTCCGAGCCTCCAGCAGAAGCAGTATCAAGCGGCGCCGGGGGTTCTCGAACGAGCCAGATGGCAGCCAGGACTTGCATTACGCTCAAATCTATCAGCACAACACGCGAAAGAGGAGCCGGGATGCCCCCATCATTGTGCAGACGTACGCTGATTATCCGGACTCTGTGGTCTATTCCTGCGGCATGGTCTCGCTGCCGCAGCGGGCTTTGATAGCTGCCCGCAGAAAGAATCGGGTGCTACGTCGGAAAGTTCGTTGAACCGAAACATGAATGGAAATGCGCTGTTATTCGAGAGGTAGAGTAGCAAAGAAGTATGCCTATCTAGTAACTAACGCCAATGCATGAATATGTGCTGTAGTTCTCAGTGAGAAGCTTCTACGCTGTACTAGCTAGAAAAGGAGTCAGTTCATTTTTAACTAGCTGAACTTGACCAGACACTTTTGACTCAGTTCTGGTCCTGCTTCCTTTACAAAATCTTCCAAAAGTGGCCGAACAGTTTCTCTGCCTCTTTCATGCAACATTGACAACGTGACCGGAACACCAACACCCACATCCATCTTGACTTGCTCCACGTACGGATTGGGTGGAAACGGAGATGGATTCGGCTTTTTCAGGATGGATTTCGTGGTTGTCGTCGAGGTGGAAGGCTGCGCAGTGGAGGTGGAATTGGCGTTATCCAACGATGCTTGTTTCGAACTGTTTGCGAAGCCATTGCCTTGCTGCGATGACGATGGCGAAGGATGATTGCCAACCAACATTGGATCGTCCATGCTCATATCGTCGGTGCCATCGTCGTCGTCCTCGTGAACATTGTGCTTGCCATTTTCCTGTTTGGTTTGCTTCTTATTGCGTTGTTGTTGTTGCTGCGCATGCCGTTGCAGATCCAATTCTAGCTGTTCCTGATCTTCATAGTACAACGTACAGCAATGTTGGACCGGACTGTACGTTTGAATGATCCGCTGTGCCAACATGGCATCGACCCATTTGTAGGTGGTCGGACACAACAATTCCGAGGGTCGATATTCGGCCTTGTACCGCATTTTGGTACAGGATTCAATGTAGTATCCGAGATAATAATAAGGCAACTGCAGCGCCCGTGCAAATTCAATTTCCTGCAAAATGGCGTACTTTCCCAGCGGCACCAAATCTCGCGCGAATTGTGGATGATAAAAGAGATAGACCGAACTCAATCCGTGCGGCAACAGATCGACCACTCCAACGGCAATCAACATGCCCGCGACTCGGTATTGTTGATGGTAGGTTCCAGACGGTAACTGAATGTGTTGACTGTTTTTTGTGTTATTGTTGGCGGACGAGGGAGGTGTTTCCGTCACAGTAGCTCGAGGCCGCCCTCCCGCCGGTATGGTAAAGGGTGATTCGACCAAGAATTGATAAAAGGATCCGTACGATTTGGTAATCTGTTTGAGTCGATCCCGTGGGACATGCGAGTATTCTCGTTGAAGCATGCGTTTGGCCGTGTCGACAAATCCAGGAGGATTGCGCGCGGCATCATTACTGTTGGAAGGTGGTAGTGGTGGTGGTGGCGGCGAGAGTTTTCCGCCATTTGGTTGCTGATACACATTGTTGCCATCGCTGGTGGCAGGAGTGGACCATTCGTCATCTTCCATGCCATTGGCATCATCAGTATTGGTGTTGCCAGTCATGCTGCTGTTGCTATTGTTGAGATTGTTGGAATTGCTGTTGTTGTTGTTTGGTTTGTTGAGATCGCACGTGAATGGATCGGCATCTTGATGTACTTTTGTTTGGTATAGAAAGTACAACTTGTGCACTTGTGGATCGAGTGCACTTTCATGAGCCGGTACCGTGTGAACGGCAAAAGAGTAGGGTGTCAATTGGGAAAAGTCGGTAGGATGAGACGCCGACGAAAAGTCCGCCATGGTGGATCCATGTTCATCCATCCATTCTTGTAGTTTGTCTCGCGCCATTGTGGTGGTGTTGGGTCCCCCGGTGGTGCTGGCAGCATCCTTCATGGAAGCATCATCGCTACTGTGGTTGCCATTATTAGTATTATGGTTGTTGTTGTTGCTGTTGTTTGGTTGTTGTTCCGAAGAAGAAGGAGTCACTTGTTGTCGTGCCAGTGTACAAAAGACTTGTCCACTCTTGGCATGCCGTTGTACATCCACTAGTTTCCAGGCGACAGAAGTACTAGTAGTAGTAGCTATGGATTTCCCCGCATGAGTCTCTTTGAATTGTTGTGCCAGTCGTTCGGATAGACCATCCCGGTCAATGGCTCCTTTGGATTTTCCGGCAATGGCGGCACAAATGGTAGTGCAAAGCGTCAGATTGGAATTTGGCTCTTGATCTTGTTGCTGTTTCTTCTTTTTGCCCTGTGGAGGTTTGACTTTGAAGGTTGGTACTGAATTCTGTATACTACTGCTAGCATCCAAAGAAGAAGTTCTTGTAGTAGTAGTAGTATTGCTGTTGACGTATTCTTGTAATATGGATTGCAGAATGGGTTGAGACCACTGTTGCAGTTGTTCGGAGACTTGCTTGAGTTCCACATCACCATCCTTATCTCCTCCAGCTCCTGCACCACCTTTAGATGTTCCAGTAGCCACAACATCTTGATGATGTACCAACTTCCTCTTGTTGCCTCGCTTGTTGTAGTTGTTGGCTGAATTTTTGGCCGTGGCGAGTTGTTGTTGAGTGCTGTGGTTGTTGTGGTTGTGCTTTCGTTGTTGACTGCTACTACTAGTGTTGTTGCTATTGCTACTGTTGTTGGTGTGTTGTTGTGGTTGCAACAAATGGTCCATTTTCTTGACGACTTTTCGTTGACTCTTGGTGGGTGTAAATTGTTGAACGGGCAGTCGAATGGTCAATGCGGGACAACAGGATTGCCAATTGTTGGGTTTGTACAGGTACGTCCCGGATCGACGCCATCCTCGATAGAGATATCCTTCGTAAGTCTCGGGCGTCATGGAGTCTCCCAAGAGACTGTATGCTTTGGAGGAAGTACTGGCGTCGGCGAGACTGGCCGCGCGGCCTCCTTTGCAATACCCGCATTCGGCGGGTGAGGTTCCACAGATCCGAACCACACCCGCAGATGACGCCGCTTTCATGGCATTGGCCGCGGCCAATGCGGCTGCGGCGGCTGCGGCGTTGGCATCATGACTAGCACTACCAGTATTACTACTGGTGGGACTGTTGTTGTTGCTGGGACGTGCTTGTCGTTGTTGGGGTGGATGAGACGGACTGCTCATGATACGAGGAGGATGATGATAGATGGTGTCAACAGGTCAGGTTCTCTTCACAAGGAGTTGAGTCACACTCTCTTCTCCTTGACACTTCTTCTTCTTCACGTGGGTCTGCTTGGCTTGGTCAGATACGGTAGGGTTGCACACAGCCAGGTCGTCTTCTACAAGCTATTGGCAATGCCACAACAAGAGCACCGGCAACAGCAAGCTGGTTTGTGCCAGTCCTTCGCTTTTTCCGACGACTCGACTCTTGTCCGTGTCTTGTGGCCGTTGTTTTGTCACATGACTTCATCAGCGGTCACAAATTAGTTGGAGCCATTGTGCGTCTCTTTTAGGGAAAGATCGCGGATTTTGCGCCCTCGAACCTTTTCCTCTCCAAGTTGTTGCGTCGTTGCGTCACAAAATAAATCTTGTCCCCGGCCAACCTTTCTATAAAGAAACCGACGAAGAATCTCTTTGCCCATCTTTCTCTCCTCGTCCAAGCTTTGCAACCCAACAACAACGACAACAACACCATGCCAGCTCCACAGAGAGCAGCTCCAGCCGTAAGTTGTATAGCATGCATTGCTGCTGACAACATGAATTTGTCTTTTTCCTGTCTCGAATTCTATCTGAGGTTTTCCCTGAATTATCATTTTGATTCTTCTTTTTCCTGACCTTTTCCTCATGCATTCATGCACATCACTACTACTCATTGATCAGACCAAACCATCCGCCACAACCTATGTGAGCATTGTGGGATTCTACGTACTCTACGCTTTGGGAGGTGGATACATGGTGGCCACACAACCATCCGGTGGCTGGCAACAACCGTTTTCGTGGCATCCACTCCTCATGACGATTGGAATGGTCGCATTCATGGGCATTGGAGCCATGACCAAAAAATTGGGTGGATACGACAATACCAAGTTGCATGCCATTTTCTCATGGTCTGGCATCTTTTGCACGTTGGGAGGACTCTACGCCATTTATACCAACAAGGAACAAATGGGCCGCCCGCATTTGACCAGTTGGCATTCGTGGATTGGGATTGCTGCTGCCGTCAATGCACTCTGTCTGGGGCTGGTCGGGTCTATTGTATTGCATCCCGATTTTGGAGTGGATAAAACCAACAAGACAATCCGCTTTGCCCACAAGACGGGAGCACGGCTCGTGCTTGCATTGGCGTGGGGAGCCGCCTTTGTCGGACTCTACAAAATGACACAAGAACCAACCATGCTCATCCTGTATGGAGCTCCATTGGTCATTTTTGCTCCATTTACGTTGATTTAGATTATATTTTGATTAGGAAGGATCAAAGTGGAAACTACAAGAGTGTGGAAGAAGAAGCAGAACGACAATATTCATCAGTGCAACTACGGTACCGAAACGAATGATTTGCTGGAATTTGATACATGTAGATTGATCCAGTTTTTTATTTTTAGAAGGAAGAATCAAACAGAAAACTGCAACAACTTTTTGAGTGTCTACAAGCACGGAATGGAAAAGAGTAGTAGTATTTTCAGATCTATTTGTGTTTGTCCCTTGTAGAAAAACCATTGGCTCCGACCATTCATCATGCTAACTTTAAAGTGGTTGGCTAACGGTAGCTATTGGTCATTGACCTTGTCGTCGTCTTGGGGTATTCTCCATTGACGAATTATCTCATAGAGTACAACTGCAGCAGAGAGCGGAATGTAATGAAGCAAAGGAAAATGGAATGAGTTAGTAGAACGTTCAGTCGATGCAGGTGTTGCATAGCCAAGGTGCTTGTACATGCCTCAGCAAGAGGAAGAGCGAAAACCAATCTCACCTGGAGCACATGCTGCCACATTGAGACTATTCTTGGCTCCAAACATGGGAATTTGACAAATGATCATGTTGCTGTTGGAATTGGTGGTAGTTTCCATAAGCACTTGTGGATCAATACCCGTTACTTCGTTCCCAAACAAGAGGATGCAACCCGTGTCTCGATCGTAATTTACTTGCGTATAGTCCACGCTGTTTTCAGTGGTTTCCATGCCAATAATGGCCCAGTCCTCATACTCCTCTTCCAGCCAATTCAGGGCGTTTCGGGTCGTGTCAAAGTGACGGGTGGATACCAGCCGATCGGCACCCAGAGCCGACTTGGCCAGTTTCTCCGAACCCGATCCACTGGGATGAGCCGTGATCCCCGTCTGTTTTATGGATAGTTGAGTATGGCACAAGGTACATTGCAGTGCAGTGTATTGAATTGAATGGTGAGGTGATGAGTGAACTTGGGGGTCAACTAACTACAACAATGATGGCGCACCGTAATCACTTGTTGAACCCCACAGGCTTCTGCCGTTCGAAAGATGGACCCCACATTGAAGGCACTTCGTATATTGTCAAGTACTACAATGATTGGAAAACGTTTGGTTGCTTGTTGTTGCTCTTCTTGTTGATCTATAGACATTTTTTCTTTGCTGTCCGTATTGCGGATCCATTGCAGTTGCTGCGCCAAATGTCGTTTTTGCAAATGGTCAATTTGACGAGCACATCGATCGGCTGCCACTGCCAGGTGTCTCTGATCCAATCCAGTTGGGTCGATGTTCTTGGGAAAGAGAAAGGAACGATAACATCGAATGGCAGGTCGACCAAAGCTGACATCATATCCTGTGGTGGGATCCAGCATGTTCTGGGAGTTGGCTTCCGCCATCTTGGAAGAATCAATGTGCAGCTTTCCAAGACTCTTGTGAAGCAAAGACTGACGCAGAGAGGAAACCACGCTTTCTTCGGTATCGCTTTGTGCTGCCATGTGCAAAGCCAAACTTGGGGCTACCACCATGGATCGGATGGGGACCGATCTTGTCACTGTAAACGCATAGGCCATACATCGAGGGGAGATTGACCATCGCAGGAATACCATTATCATTGAAACTGAAACTGTGAATCTCAAGCGAAACATGCTCCTTCAAAGACTAGTCTTCTCCTAAACTATAATAGATCCAGGTAGCTGGATGCAAGGAATGGTCCACGGTTTCCTTCTTTTGTTGGGTTGGAGGGTGGTGATGGTGCATGGGGCAAATGAAATTCTCAAAACGATGCCATCAGATAAAAGCCAATAGAGCTGCTCATGTTCCGGTGGTTATCGAGAGGATCAACAGCAACCGCACCGAAGGCGATCTTTATGGCACATCACCAAGCCACCAAGCCATCAAGCCATCTCCACCCCATCATCATCCTCACTCCACGATTCCACGAAGAAAGACACAAAGAGTCGAGTGACCTTCAACCAAACAAATGAGAAACGATTCCGTGGTACTGGTACTGAACAATCTCACTGGCCATTCGTAGAACGGATGTATTGAAGCCTCCAAAACATACCTACACAGTCCAGTTCATCAGATTCTCATACTAGGGTAGCCAGCCAATGATGATGCTGCCGAGCCTGTTGACAGGAGCATTGATAGGATGCTGGATGCAAACCATGACAGTAGTGGAAGGAACATCAGCATCGGAAGCAGCATCCAGCAGTCCCAGGTCCTCTTCTACCTTGTCTATTCGTTTACCAGGTCGTCCTTTTGAAGGAGATGACGACGATGTCTATCCAGTACAGAGAGGGTGGAAAACATCAGGCTTGGGGCGAGAGTATGATTTATTTGATACTAGAGGCGGTCAAAACAGAGATGACTCATCTTTCGAGAATAGTGGAGACGATGATGTCAGTGCCGACGAAACAAGCAACCCGCCCAACGCACCTGCATCGCAACGGCAGCAAGTGCCATTCTCAGCAACAAGATCGCCTCTCAAAAGAAGATTCTATCCCAGTAGTGGAAGAGGAGGAGGCAGCAACACTTTACCGGGGTCTCCTGGTGGCAGCTCTACTGGGGGACCACGATACCGCAAACTCAACACATCATTGAGACCGATTCAATCCGTCCAGGGATGGTGGAATTGTAATATTGCACCTGCTGTCAAGAACCTGCCACGGATCAAGTGTCGTGTGGAGCCATCCACAACCATCAAGATTCGCAAGCAATTCAAACCATTCAAAACTGTAGTGCGGCTTGGAGCTGACTTTAATACACAGCTGGGTGTTTGGCAATTCAAGAGCAGTTGGGAAGATGCCATCATTGGAGGCAAGATTACTCTCGCAGGAAAAGAACTTCAACTCAGCAAATCATGGCAATTGAGCGTTGGTGCCGTGGAAGATCTTGTGACGCGCTTGCGATTTCGGGCGGCAGTGGATTTGTCAACATGGAAGGCATATGCCCGCATTGGTTTCCGAACCGAGAGATTGTCACCAATCAACATTATGGAAGGTTTTACCCTGCAGAAGCAACTGCCACTCGATGGCAACAAGGGAAATGTCAAGCTAGAGGTCAAGGCTAATTTTGCTTTGCCGGAACCAGAGATTGAATACTCAACAGAGAGTCATCGTTCATTGGTTGGAATGGGGGACATTGAGGTCAATATTGATGAGCTAAATCTTGTGCTAGATTATTGAAAGGTTCTAATCAGCCTACATGATAATAATGAAATCTGTTTCGAACATGGTGCTATTGTCTGTGAATCCTTTAGTTCTTCTGTTGTTCAAACTGAACCACCACTCTCGCTATCCAGGGCACCACCATGCCCGCTGGTCAACCCTCGTCTCCATAGTACCCCTGCCACCAAAAAATTGTGTTGTGATCTTTCCATTTGTGGTTTGTTCGAACGAGGTACTACTGCTAGCCATTCATTAACGTATCCATAGATCCCACAAACTCAAGCACTTTGGCCCTCGTAGCTAGCTAGGAGAGCCCTTGCAACAACAAAAAACGAAACGGATTGCCGCTCACCAACTGAACTACGAACGCGCAATTTGCTGCTATTGGGAGCAATCTCAGCTAGCGTACAGAACACGTCCTTAAAAACCAGTGTAGTCTATCGCTTCCCTGACTTAAACACAGTGTCTTACCGCCAACGACACGACTTTTACCTTGTTGCCCTTCCGATCGTCCTTTTTGGGATGGGTTTGAACGTTCACTTGACAGTTGCCGGTGCACCTGACTCCGATTCCATCCTGCAGAAGTTGGATGTCGACAGGCACCGAAATCTTTGGTTTCCAGAGCCCATCCCCTTCCACCGTCGCTACCTCTTTGGTCACTTTATCCGTCACAGTGACAGTGAAGGTTCCCATGCCTTCATACGACTTTAGCACCGACAACACTGGAATGTAGCACCCACCTGCAGGTTGTTGGATATCAAACTGAATGGACTCTCCTCCTTGTTCGTTGGTTGCAATCCATCCGAACCGTCCAAACTTGTCGTCAAAATAAGAAAAGCCATCTGTATGCGTGGCTGCTTCCAACTTGCGTTTCTTGACAAAGACTTCGTACGTGTCGTTGACCATGACAAACGCGTTTTGTCGGTCCAACAAATCCGGAGAACTCACCATCCATCCATTTCGGGGAATCGCAGCGGCAAGTTCAAATCTTTCTCGATTGCAAACGTCTCTGGCCGTACTGGCAATGGCATCGATGATGAGATCCGAAGCAATTTGGTGCCCAATGCCACTGGGGTGAACTTCGTCATGAGCAAAGAAGGGAACATAGCAAGGTTCTCGGCCCTGTGCTAGTTGGCAATGTAAGGGTCCTTCGGTGGGATTGAACTTCATAATGGTACAGACGTCGGCACATCCATTCGCCCGGAATCCTGGGACAATGTGCTCTTTGACACATGGATGGCAGCCGTGAGGATACGGCAACACGGTATCACCAATAGCGGTCGAATAGTTGAAGGGTTTGAGCAACTGCAGTAAGAATTGATAGTCCGGGAACATTGCCTCGCTGTAGTCGATGACAGGAATCTGATAATGCTGAGCCGCTCCCATGTGCAACAAGGAAGCAGTTTTGCGTCCGAGAATGGCCGTTCGCATTTCCAGAAAGAGAATTGTTGCCCTTGGATACTGACGCAAGAGTTTGTAAATCACAGTTTCGGCGCAAGTGGCAATCCTGTCAAACCCATCATAAAAGACGTCCATCTTGAAATCAATTTGCCTTTCATGGTCCTGTCCTTGGTAGTCATTGACAGCAAACTCCAAAACAAACAGATCAATGTCGGGTGGTAAATCTTCAAAGAGAAGATTCAATCGTTTGGCCATGGCACATATCTACACCAACAAGATTTCAATAAAAGCAAGGTCAGAGCAAATCAAGTGATCCAAAACTCCCAAACCTATGCAAAGTTTGCTCACATCTGCTCCATGAGATCCCTTATTCAAGATTTGATGTCTGCCTTCGCCTTCTGGGATGGGATACTTGTCATTGAACCATTTTTCCAGACGATCGGAATATCGCAATCCAGCTTCTGCTCCGTGTCCGAGCGAGATGGAACCTCCACTGACAACTCCTTTGATGGGACGTGGTTTTCGTTTCATGGCATTCAACGTTTCTCCCAACTGGGCAAGACGTTGACGATTGCCCGTGTTGGTCCAGGATCGCTTCAAATCTTCCTTGGTTAATCCTTGGGTACGATCGGCCGTAACTCGTTTGTATTCCACATCACAGGGATCTTCTAGTGGAGGCGCTGGTGCCGGAACTACGACTTCACGTCGCAGAGCGGGTGGGGACGTCTCGGCCGCTTTGTGCGTCATGAGCGCTATGGATTCACAGCGAGGAGGTCCTGCTACCTGGATCCATACATTGATAATGGTGGCGCCGACAATCAGAAGAGTCCATGTCCTCTTGGAGTTGGGGTTCAAGGTCCCCTGGAAATTGTACATGATGGCGCCAAAAGCCGTCTGGCCACGGGGTCTCTTGAAACCTTCTCGGACCATTTTTGCTCCCTCCTTCTTCCCTCTCTTGGTTGGATCAACTTAAAACTGGGCTTTGCTAACTGCTAGCGAGTTATCAAACAATTACTAAGCAACGAACCGAACAATTAATCAAGGTCCGATAATACATGGAAAATGCGCATTGCTATTTGGGTGCTGCATGGCTGCCTCCAAGCCCGAGACCTGGCATCGATTGTTGTTGTGGTGGGGGAGAAAGAGACGAGGAACTGGCAAAGATGAACCGCGAAGAGGAGGGAAGGCCGAGCGAGCGAATGCGTATACCGGTACGTATTGGATCTTTCTTCATTCGTGATTGGCGGTCACGTGCAAAAAAGATCTAACAGGCGGTCAGCCTGCGGAACCAATGACATCAACCTTTGACAACAAAGGCCAGAGACCAGCATTGTCTGGTCTGTATCTCTAGCTAGAGTTTCATGCATTATTCTTGAACAGCGTGAAGCTTTCAACGTTGGCATGTTCTGCTGAGACGTGTCTTCTGTCTGCGCAGTGGGGGGGGGGGGGCAGGCAATGAAATCTCGGAAGCACAGGCACTGGTAGTGTGGCTTCTGGCTAGCTAGAGGTGACACTAGAAGACACACGCACTTACAAAACCGGACCATCTACCAAAGTCTACTTCCATTAATCAATCCAATGCACGAGGGGGTACAAAAGCACGGCTACCGCGAAGAAATGCCGTGTAAGCCCCCACTGCAAAGTTCCCCTGCCGACCCTCATTTTCTTCCTTGGGAATCCGATGCAGAAACGTACTGATGAACACTGCAGGGTTGGATACTGAATAATCCTCCGAAAGCCCACCATTTGTTTGTAGATACTTCAAACAGGCAGCAGCTCCCTGCAGATGATGTTCCATTCCGTCATTCCCCTTGTTGTTGTTGTTGTTGTTGTTGTTGTTGTTGTTGTTGTTGTTGTTGTTGTTGTTGTCGTTGTCATCAATCGTCATTACAGGAATCGGCAATCCATTGGGAGTCTTGTTGTAGCTCCCTACAGCCACGGGGATACTCCGGTAGGGGATCTCCAGTGAGCACAGTAGCTCTCGGACCAGTCGAGATTCCGGACATCCTTCGGATTGATACAGCATGATTTTCTCTGCCGTGGTGGTGGATGTTTTTGGTAGTCGGAACAGTCCACAATGGGGCCATGGACGAACATAAGAGGGAGCAGCCAATGACAAGAACCGAAGAGGAAAAGAGCGGCTGGAGGAATTGACCACTTGATCTTGTCGTCGATTGTTGCTCGTGGATTGTTGATGTTCGTTGTGTGCCGATGATAATGATGGCACCACGGATTGTCCGTAGTGTTCCCACAAGTGTTCCAAAATGGAATAGCTCTGTTGCAACACAAGCATGGATTGTTGACTGTCGCTATAGGTGGAATCACTACTTTGACTCTCATCATTACTACTGTGCATGTAGGTTCGATCCACCAAAATGGGAAACATGAGGTCGTCCGTATGGCAATGCTGTTTTATTAGCTCCATCGCCTCTGGTCGAAACCTCGACTCTTGCGAAAAGGCTCCTTCTTGGAACAGTGTCTGTCTTGGACAAGGCTTTATGTGGAGTTTCAAGTCCAAGATTGTTGCGTATTCTCGTACCAAGCGACACCATGGCGACCCCTCATAGTCGTACAACTCGAGAAGATGGTGCGGTGGAGGCTCGGTTCGTGGTGCCGCGCAGCGAGCTGGATTACCTCGCAGTCGAGCGGCCAGAGCTGACGACCAAAGTCCTCTTGCTGTTGCCATGATAACCTTCTAACTTCGACAGCTCTAGTAGGCATGAAGTTATTGTAGTGGTTACTATCCCTTAGTGCAACTCTTTGCTGCTTCTGTCTCGCTTATCTTGATTGCATCGGTTGCTTCGGGTACGTCAGTGATGTCATTCGTGGATACATACTTTTGCAACCTGTTCCCACTGACCCCTTCTTGGGAGATCATTGCCCTCAACTACCAGCTAGCAAGCTGAGGGCCTTTTGAACTTTATCTTGTGTGTGTGTGTGTGTGTGTGTGTGTGTCGCGTACATATGGTGCTGTTTCCCTTGCAAGGTTAAGGCTACCGGTAGTGTCGCATACATATGGTGCGGTTTCCCTTACGTACATAAGGTATGGTTTCCCTTGCAAGGTTAAGGCTACCGGTCCAGCACCCTTCCTTGGTCTTTAGAAAAATGCAAGTTGAGGGCACTAGCCTCCGGCTGGCTGTCCTTTGCCATCACCAAAAGAACCTCCCCATCACTTCATGTATCTCCACCACGACTTGGAAGGGAGCAAGAGGCAAGAAGAAGGAGCACGTGCAGCAAGGAGGTTCCTCATTATTCAATTGTGAGCCCCCAAGATACCTCAGCCGCAAACGTTGGCTCCCACTAAATATGAAGAAGCATCCACCGATCAACTCATTAAAAGGTTCTTCCCATGAATCTTCGGATCGATCCAACCACAGCAATACTCGAGGGTCCAACTACTGAAAAATAAATGTCAACGCTAAATATCGTTACCGCAGCGGCAATCCCAATTGCGTATCTTGCCAGTCGCAAGGCCAAGAATCAACCATGGTTGCAACAGGCAACAGTCGTCGGGTTGTGGGCTGCCTATTTAAGCAGTATCCAACGTGACGAGGAGGCCTTCTACTTGAACGACAAGATGATTGAAAGCGTCTTGACTTTTATCATGCCACTCAAATTGACTCAGCTTATTTTGTACGACAATCGCCAAGAAGAAATTGAGAGTCATGAACAAGATCAACAGCCTTGGTGGAAAGACTTTCTCAGCTTTGTCGGTTCCTTCTTCTACTACGCCCTGCCCATTTCCAAATCCAAACTCAAGGAACCACCCACCTTCCCGAGCCTGCTACTGCGAAATGCTGAATATCTCTTGGGAATCTGCATCAAACTCATGGCTCTGCCCATCCTCGAGGCCTCCTCTCGCAAGCTCATGGCCGAAAACCCGGAGGCGCATCTACTACCAAATAATGGGGTCTATTGGCTGCTGTTGGCTCATTTTTGCGTGTCGGCTGCCATGGGAACTTGGATGCTGGACGCACAGGCCATTGTCGTCAATCTAGTGACGCTCGGTCGCTACGAAATGCTACCCATGAACAATTATCCGCTCCAATCCAGATCGGTCAAGGAATTCTGGTCCACACGGTACAATCAACTCATTCATTCGCTCCTCAAGGAAACGGTGTTTACGCCACTTCGAAATGCAGACGGCCAGCTTGGCGGCATTTGCAGTCAGTGGAATTCTGCATTCCTGGGTGGCCTATTTCATGTTTGGACGGGGCCTCATTCGGGCATGTGTGTACTTTGTGATTCAAAATCCGTGGATTACCTTCGAACGATCCGACACGTACAAGAACTTGCCTCGGTTTGTCGGTGGATTCCTGTCGTTGCTCTTTTTCATTGGGACCATGCCCATCTATGGGGGTCTCTTTGTGGAAGGGTATCCCACCATGTTTGAGAAAAATGATGAATCCGTTCCCCGAGACCTGCCGTTTCTGTCCAATGTCTCGCAGTGGTGCTTGGAAAATCTCCTTCACGTGCAACCCGAGTATTGGTACAAATCGTAGATGAACATCAACCGAATATATATATTCTATAAATTGTAAAGGGCATTGCAACAATCAAAACCATAAATGACACGGTCAAACCGTCGTGGTGAAGGAAACCCACAGTACCACCCTGCAGTAGGCTATCGAAGGTTCTTTGGCTTCTTTGCACTCAACTTGCAATCATGGCCAGCCTTTCTCTTCTGGTTAGAGTGGTCCTCTTCTGTGCCAAAGCCAGCCACGCGGAGGAAAATGTCAGGATAGTTGCGGATCCACGAGTACACAACAGGGTGATTGTTGATATTCTTTGTGAGTGAGGACAACCAGAACTCTTCAATACTTGCATCGCCAGGACGTTGAATGGACTCTTGCAGGAAACGGCGGCCTGCTCGGTTCATTATGATTGAGTGGACAACTTTTTCCATGCAATTCTTCTCCGTTTCTCCTCCGCTATTCTTTCCGGAAATTGTTGCTTCTTTCAAGCAATGATTCTGTTCAATTGAATGTGTCATTATGGGCAATGCATCATCATCTAAACCATCAAAGCCGACACGTCTCAGCTTGGTGTTTGTGGCAATAGCATGTGCGAACATGGATGCAGGTTTCTTGCCCAGCCCATCTTTGTATTTAAAGACAAATTTTTTCAATGAGGAATTCTTTGCCAGAGCACATGCAATACGGCATTTGTCATCCCCTTCAAAAACACAGTCTTCGAACATCAAACGAGAAACTGCCTTCATTTGAGTGGACTCAAGGTATCCTGCAATCAGAGCATCCACACTTGCCTTGGAGAACCTGCAGAAAAGGAAGCTAACTGAGGATAGTTTGCAAGTTGGCGACTCCTTCCAGGCCTCAACAAAGCTGGTGACAGAAGTGGCAGGTAGATTAGACAAGAGTACACGTTCGAGAGATGTGCTTGAACGAACTCCCTGCCACAATTTTTGGAGTTTGCATTCATTGTCAGGGACATCAGAAAAAAGATGAAATGAAAAAGTCGCTATGCTCCTGTTGGTTCGAAAAATGTTTCCCAATGTGTGAGCCTCAGCTGGTTCTAGCTCTCCTCTCAAAGCAAACGCCAATTCTTGTGTGGTAGTGTTGACACCCAAGGAGGCAGTCAAAAGTGCCAAATTATCGTAATGGTATCGTTCAGAATTCAGTATCACCGAGAGGCATTTCATCTCTTCAGCATCTTGGCGAATCTGTTCACATTGTCTATGGAATTTGTGGCTGGGATCCACGACTATTCTAGTTCGCTTGGGGGTACTCATTCTTAGAAACAAAGTGTGGGTAGACTACGGTAGAGGACGAAGTTGATAGTTGATAGGCCTCCCTTTGTTGAGTGCTTTGGTGAGGTCCGTCACCTGCTGAATCGAATCTCTCAAAATTGGAAATGTGGCACGATGGTGATCCCCTACGCCAGCGTGCCAGCGGCGTGCAAGTTGCCCTCGACAGATTTCAAAGCGGCTTCATCGGAAGCACACTTGCACGTCTAATCCTTCTTCGGCGTTCTGGAAGTGTGGCCTCTTCCCTTCCTCGAACGTTTTGGGTGTTGGAAGTTGGAAGAGCTGCTGGATGCTTCCTCCGCGGCAATGGGGGTACAGAGCTGCTCACAATCTCCTGTTCTCAACGACGACGAAGAAAGAATGCAACTGGGTCGCAGCGCAGTAGCAGCCATGGTAGCATCCACCGGCAATTGCAGTGCCTATCAACATCGCATTTCGTCTCTTGCAGCGAAAATCCGGATTATCTATAGTTGGGGTGAGCCATTTTCGACTTCGTGCCAAAATAAAGAGAGGGGTGGCTGGCGAAGAAGTCACTACTGGCTAGAAACGGGCACCCTAGATAAGCATAGCACATATAGAGACGAGATTAATCCACATGCAACGACTAGTCGGGATAGAAATGCGTGGACGTCAAAAACCTAACTGTGACTAACTTCCTTAAATCCGCTAATTCTCTTTTTTCCTAAACTTCAATCACACTACCCACCGACTTCTCACTCTCCATTGACAGCATAGCCATCGAAGTTGAGGATGGCGTTGAGGCTACTGTCATCCAATCCGTCATTGCTGCCAAGCTTTGTGAGGATGTAGCGGCCTAATGCCTCGATAGTGCCATTCATCTGACCCAACTTCTCCACAACAAACTGCTGGAACCTCCTGTCCTGGGTACGGTTGTTGTCGTACTCCATCCTGAACTGGACTGTCTTCGAAACAGCATCCTGGGCGTGAGAATTTACCACATTCAGCTTCGGCAACACATCAGTACGGAATCTTTCGAGCCCCTCTTTTTGGGCTTTGGTGATGGGGTCTCTAATGGACTTAACGAACTTGTTTCTAGTGTAAGCCTGCAAATCACCTCCAATCTTGTCGTCGATAATGTTCTTTACCTTTTCCTCAAAGAAGTCGCCACTTCCACCACTGATGTCGTCATCGTCAGGCTTCTCGGTGTCATTGCTGTTTTGCTGCTGCAGATGGATGTTCTGCGGGATCGATCCTCTACCGGTTTTCTGTACTTTACCAGAACGTCCAGTCACACTTGACGTGACTGTTGGTCGTCTTTTCACATTGCACCGGTTCTTGGAAGCTCCAGTGTCGAACAGCTGGTTGAAGTCAAAATTCTCTGTATTGTCCATCACTTCTGGGTGTGGCATTGTGGCTGAATTCTGCATTACCGGTTGTTGGTCGGGCCTCTTCTTGAAGTACGACTTTCCCGTGTAGGGATTGGTGAACACGTAGTAGCCTTCCTGTGGGTCTGCAGACATTTGTAGTCGTGGAGACCTTCGATTTATGACAACAATATAGTGAGAGGCAGTGTACCAACAGGTTTGAATGAATGTACGGAAGCCACAGATTCGAATTTTTGAACAGCTGTAACAGCAACAACGACCATACTCAATGCCTGCATGGCGGTCGTGGTCTCTAATCATGAAAATTCTTACTTATGAGTTACCGGTACTGTGGACGTCCCGCGCAACATTCAAATGGCTGGGACTTCCACGAAAGAGGAACGTACACTACCGCATGGCAGAAGTCTATCGTTCTCACAATTTCATTCCAGTTGGATCATGGCAGCAGTCAACCTGAATGAGGATGCGAGGGGCATCCCTCCCCTGAGGACCATCAACTGGGTCTTCTCTAACAATGAAGATGCCATAGAGTATCTAGTCGATGAGGGATGCCTCAACATTCCTGACGTTTGCGGTCAGTGCAATGGTCCTGTCACCTATCGTCCTAACCGTAAGAACCTCATTTTTTGCAATAGTCGTCAGTGCAGAGCCGCACATGGAAAACGGTGGACGCAATCCATCATGGCCGGCACCTTCTTCAACACGTGTAGGGTGCCAATCAAGGACGTCATGTACTTCCTTTATCTGTTCATCTGTGGGACCACTTACACGGCGATTCGTAGCATGTTTCAGTGGTCGCCCAACACTGTCACCGACTGGTTCCGATTCGCACAGCAGTTAATCGGTGAGATGGTCTTGGAGACGATGGAGAACTATCAAATTGGTGGGCCTGGTGTGGAGGTGGAGATAGACGAGTCCAAATTCGGTAAGAGGAAGTATCATCGTGGTCACAGAGTAGAAGGCGTCTGGGTTTTTGGTGGAGTTGAAAGAACCCCGGAACGCAAGTGCTTCCTCGTGGCTGTACCAGATAGAAAGAAACCTACTTTAGAGGCCCTTGTTAAAGACTTCATTCTACCGGGGTCTATCATTGTAAGTGACAAGTTCCCCTCCTATGAGGACCTCGAAGGAAAGGAGGACTTCTGGTACCAGCATGAAGTCGGTAAGTCAACTTGAAGTGCAGTCGCGCGATTGGAAATGCAACCAACTGTGACTAACACTCTACTGTTTTTTTTACAGTGAATCACTCCGAAAATTACAAGGACCCCATCGCTGGTGCTTGCACCAACACGATCGAGGGCACCTGGAATGGTGTGAAGAAGCTTGTGCCAGCTCGTAAGAGGACTGAGGAGGGTGTTAAGCCCTGCCTATTCGAATTTATGTGGCGCCGAATGAACCAAGGGCGTCTGTGGAGAGCCCTTTTAGAGGCTCTTGCAAGAGTCCGTTATGTGTAGTCAATAAAGTAGTTAGTCAATCACACTTGTTTTTTCTCACTTATAGACTTCGACTTCCCCATTTGGTTCTGTATTGACTTCCGTGGTTTTTGTTGTCTTCTAATTTCTGCCCCGGTGACTGTTTGCGATTTGGTAATTACAACTAAGTATTGTTATTCTATATACAGATCTCTATATTTTGAAGTCGTTTGCCTTGCCGGTGCGCCTCACCCCAACTATAGAAAATCCGAAAATCCGGCCAAAGGTCTTAGTTTCGACCAGAGGATCCGGCAACTTTGGCGAATCGGGAGCTGCCGCTTTCTACACGATCGATCACGCCACCATGCCGTCGGCTCTGCAAGAAATGTCCTCGAAACCCAGTGACAAACTGGAGCGCATAGATATCGATTTGGGTCCTAACCGATTAGCCTTTTACATAGACAACCTCCTGACCCACGATGAAGCCGATGCTTTTGCGGCCTGTGCTGAAGCTGTCCTGGAAGAGAATGGCCACTCCAGGATGGCTCCAGGAATTAATACTCCACCCGGTATGAGAGTCAATGAAGCGGCTCATTGGTATCCAACACACGCGACAGCCCCCAAGGTGCTTGGTCCAATCTTGGACCGTATGCGCCATCTTGTCCCTGAGCAACTTTCAGGAGGTTTGACAAGGCATCCAAGACTTTCCGAGAAAGTTGCCCAGTTCAAGTATTTGCCCGGAGACAGGTTCAACATGCATGTGGATGGTCTCTTTCCAGGCCAGGGTGCCAACAAGGAAGGTACTGGAGTGGAAGAATGGGACGGTGTTGTTTCTGGAATGTCCATGCTTTTCTTTCTCAATGACGGCCCCAATGACGGTTTGGTGGGTGGCGAAACTAGACTCTGGTCTGCAGATAGGCAGAAGTTCTTCGATGTCATTCCAAACAAAGGCCGTGCGCTTTTCTTCCGTAGGGGCAGTCACGATGCAGTGCTGCATGCCGGTCTTGAGGTGAAAGGTGACCAAGATGCGGTTCCGAAGTACATGGCCCTTATCAACTTGGCGTATGACGAACAAGGCATTCACTAGTTATAGACCGCACCATTAAATTAGAAAAGTAATCCACTTCTTGGCCTTAGAGTGTAGGGTCGTTTGAGCTACCTAGATCCTTGGGCAGCTTTTGATCAGATAGATTTCGGAAGAAACCTTAGATTGTAGAGTCCAAAACCCGCCCCCTTGACAATTCACCAGTTGCTCAAGGGAGTGATTCGCGCAGCGATTCAATTTCATCTGCCAGCCCACCTCCCGTGATAGAAAGACAGTTGCAATTGCAACCATCACTCCTGGGGCAGGATACCTTGTCACAGTCAATCAACACATCATTCAACACTCCATGTTCAGTGAGCAAGCAGACATCTTTCGGTACTCGTCCCGATAGTTCCAGGTTGCCATGCAAACTCAATCTTTCCAACTGCGTCAGTAGGCCAAGTTCAGTGGGAATGGTCGATGTCAAATCATTGCCCCAAAGCGACAGCGCCGTCAAAGCAGTGAGCAGCCCGAGCTCGGAAGGAATGCTGCCACTGAAAAAGTTGGAATTGAGCGACAACCAGGTTAAGCGGGTCAAAGCCCCCAACAACTGAGTAGCGGGTATTGGGCCCAGTAAGTTGTTGTTGGCAAAGGAAAGCTGTTCCAAGTTCTTGCCCCATTCGGACGATGAAGGCGGAAGAAGATTCTCCAGTTGCCCACTCCATTCCGAATTTCGGACGGTCAAAGTTTGTAATTTCGACAAGAGTTCAATTTCTTGTGGAAGCTTCCCCTGCAATGCAAAGTCCTCCTCTGGTTGTTGCGGACGATAGTTTTGGGACAAAAAGCTCAATCGCAGAGCCGTGACGTGTTGGTCGGTGCATTCAATAGTATACACGTCGTGTTCCTCCACCACATTTGTGGGTAGCTGTATTGGAAACGGCGTCCAATCACATTCGGAACGCGACGCATCGAGCCAATGCGTCTCGTTGATATGATCCGATGGCCATTCATCAAACGAGTAGTAGATGGTGCCGAGTGCCATCAGTTGGTGAATCCTCCATGTTGGCATGGCTTGCAAGACGGAGCTGTTGAAGCTGTTGGAGAGCCAATGAAAGGCTCTGGCTTGTGGGGATTGTGCATCTCGGTCGATAGCTTCAAGTGTGTAGTCTGGAAAATCTTGGCGAATGTCGTAGGTGTCTGATATAGTTGGAGTCATGACGGCGGTACTTGGACTAGTAGTGGTTGTGCTGGTTGTGGAGATGGAACCATACGATGTTGGTGACGATGATGGCGTGGACTCATTGGTATCGGCAGAACTACAGGACCCAGTCCCGCAGACAATCCCCATGACAGCAACCACTGCCAGGAGGGCCGATATCCAGCAGCACAACCATTTGGCTCCTTTCGATGACAAACAAGACTTGTCATCATTGGTTTGTTCATGTGAATTGCCTTGGACAACTTCTGCCCTTGGAATGTCCTGGTTGATTGCAGAGTTGGTGGCATCTTCGTCGTCATGTTCTTTGCTGTCTTGTGTCACGAGTGTGGCTTCAATGAGGTGGGCTGGATTGGCCATATCCAGAAAATTCGAACTGTTGTTGTCACTTTTGTCACTCTCATCCATGGTGGATCTGCTCTCAGATTGTCCCGGTGGTGTATTGTTGGCTTCAATATCGCCATCATCATTGTTGTTGCTAATAGAATAAAACGTATCAATATCCAAATCCCCATCTTGATTGCTTCTGACCGAGTGCGCCATCATGCCGACCCCAAACTTCGGGGACGGCAATGACTGTCGCTCTCGCACTGTAGCAGGGGCCTTGGCAGCACTATTTGCAGGTTCCAAAAGATGGTAATTGGCGCCTGGCGCCCCTGAATACGCACCAGGAGGCGCGGACCCGGCTTGCATGTCATGCATTGGTGGCCCAGGTTGGTTGTTGCTATACTCCGTCATCTCGTGATGATGATTATTTGGCGTGGAACTATTAATAGTAGTTTCGTCAGCAGAAATTGCAAGATTATGCTCCTGGAGCCCATTGTCGGTTGGTCTTTTGTTTTTGTTGTTTGGCAAGAAGTCCAAGGTGTTTCTTGGCCTGTGCTCCAGTCTAGCTTGTTGTAATAGAAGAAGCTCCTTGGTTTCTGCCGGTGACCGAAAGTCAACTCCAGTGGCACATTGGTCTGTGGCGGCATCGCTTTGCTGCTGAATTATGGCGGAAATAAGATTGTCATCATCATCTTCCTGTTCAGCAGCAGAAGACTTTTGGCTGTGTCCAGAGGCCATGATCCAAAGTGCCACAAGAGCCAGAGGTGGTGGTGATACCGTACTTTCTCGATAGATGAGCTTATGGATTGATTCGAGGTTACTTCATAGGAGCCTCTTCTCCTGAAGAAGCAGTGTGTGATCGTGTCATCCTGTCTCTGAGCTCTTGATTTGGGCTTCGCTTTGCCATGAACTTCTGTGAAAGTTCTGGAATGATCTCTCCATGCGTGATCCATTCTTTTACAAGACTGACAAAGATACAAAGATACAGTACAGTACACTTTGATGGCACGATGCCACCACTGCCGTCAAAGGATCTGAGATCTTTCTTTACTGCAGCAATCGAGAGGGTATTCTCCTCATAGTTAGTTGACACCATGACGACTTCGACGACAGAGAAGAAGGACAAGTCCTATCTGGACCTGGTAGGTCAGACTCCCATGGTTCGAGTGGAGCGTGTCTTGCCAGACCAAGTCAAGAAGAATAAGGTCCGCATGTTGCTCAAGCTCGAAATGCAAAATCCCGGTGGATCCGTCAAAGATCGCATCGCCAAGCGCATCATTGAAGACGCGGAAAAGAGTGGTGCATTAAAGCCGGGCATGACGGTCGTCGAATACACTTCAGGCAACACAGGGATTGGATTGGCCATGGTGTGTGCCAACAAGGGATACAAATTCATTTGCTGCATGCCACAGGCTCCCACCTTTCACGAACGTTACGCGACCTGTCGACAATTTGGAGCTCATGTGCACTTGACGGCACCTGCCAAGGGAATGCCGGGATTGAAGGAATATGCCGAGCAGCTGAAACAGAATCATCCCGAAGGAACCTTTTTCTTTGCCAATCAATTCACCAACGAATCCAATCCGACCGTTCACTACGAAACGACAGGACCCGAAATTTGGGAACAGGCTCATCACACAGTCGACTACTTTGTCACGGGAGTGGGAACGGGTGGCACGGCCACGGGTGCCGGAAGATTCTTGACGGAACAAAATCCCAATTGTCAAGTCATTTGTGTGGAACCCACCGAATCGAGGGTCCATGTCGGACAAGCGCATACATCGCATGGTATTTTGGGGATTGGGGCCGGTGTCCCAACCAACTTTTTGACCCAGCTCGAACCGGACAAACCCTTCCAAGAAGGACCACGAGGACACGTGGCAGAGTTTTGTCACTGTTCCACACAACAAGCCATTGATTGGGCCACCAAGGTGACGCAGACGGAAGGAATCATGCTGGGACCCACTGCCGGTGCTGCCGTCAAAGTGGCCATGGAAGTTGCTGCTCGACCGGAAGCGCAAGGCAAGACCATTGTCGTCTTGTGTGCCTCTCATGCCATTCGATACACGCAACATCCGCAGCTATGGGGAGAGACCATGAAGGAAGCCAAAGAGGCATTGCCCAATCCACCCAATCCAAGTAAAGATATTGACACGTTGCAGTGGAAATCAGAAGATTATGTGGAAGGAAAAAGCAAGGCTGGTACTTGTAGTGACAAGGACGACGATAATTCGCGAGAGCATGCCAACAAGAAGCAAAAGACGAGCGAGTAGGACAAGTAGTACCACTTCGGGCTCTCCTTTATCACGAGAACGAGCTACCTGCAATCACAGCAAAATGTTATAATGAACCAAGCTCTTAGTTTTCTCTCCTACGGCAATTGTCTACTATAGCAGCATTGCTTTGTTCACACACAACACAAAAGATAACTACCCTCGAACAAAGACTTCCTTTCTCCAACAATGAAACTTTCACAGACTACTTCAGTCTCATGGGTTTTCGGGACCAATCCCAGTGAAGGAAGGAGGAACGTAGGTCTCAGACCTCTTCTTCAACTGCAATTTGATGTCACGGTTCACCGTGTCGATATGCATGAACACTGGGAAAATCGGTTCATGGCCAGCTTCGAGGCTGATCTGGAATCTCTGCAACAGGCTAATGATTGTCAAGAACGTCATGGCTTCCGAATAGATCCGGCCTGGGCATGCTCGAGCTCCCACCCCAAACGCCATGAACGAACAATTGTTGGTTGTGTTGGGTGTCATTGCCGACAAGGCCCCATCCTTGGTCGTCACGAGCCATCGACGAGGACAAAACTCGGATGGTTGCTCCCCCTTGGGTCCAATCGGAACCATCTTCGACGGGTTGACCTTGTTGATGCTTGGATACCGCATCAAAATCAGAAAAGGCGTGTACGCTGGGATGGTTTTGCCACCCAACACAATCTCATCAATGGCCTCCAAGATTTGAACGGGGAAACCAGAGTAGTAACGATGGACCTCGTGCATAAACGACTTGAGCTTGGGTAAGCGGGTGGTGAGGTCTTCATGGGTACAACTGGCAACGTCAAAGTCCCTAACCTCGTCGAAAAGCTCCTGCTGAAGTCCCGTTTCATCGGCAGCGAGCTTCCAAATACAAAACAAAATCGCCTGAGTGTTGGTGTCCGTGCCGGCCATGAACATTGTCATCAGATTCCCAACCATCAGCTCTCGTGTGATCTTGGATTTCGTGTCTTTCATGCTCTCAAAGAGCTTTCCAAGGAATGTTCGGCGTTGTGTCTCATCCAAGGACTCCTGATTCCCGGTATACTCGTCCACATAGGAACCAATCAACTTCATGATGCGGTCTTTTCGGAAGCCAGCGCCATCGAGATATTGGCCAACGAGAGGAATACGCCAGTAGGGAAATGGAGCCATGAGACGGAAGACGCTCGCTGTAAGCAAGTGAAGCACGTCTTGTCCCAGAACACTGTCAGACTTGTTGATAAAATCCAAGTCCATGCCATATCCTAGGACGGCAACGAAGAGAGCAGAAGAGAGTGAGACTTCGGCAGAAGCATTGGCCAGAACAAAAGGAATTCACTCCTCCTTCGTCCACCTAAAGACCCAAAAGCGAAAATGACGCGTTACTGTATGGATGACACACACTCACCAGCAATGGAGAGAATATCTGCCATCATTGCGAACACTCCGTCATTGATGATTACTGATGAACCGTCTTCGGTCCTCCTGTCCCAATTATCAATCAACCTGGTGGCAATCATCTTCATGTTTCGCAGATAGTCTTCGACGTTCTTCTTGTTCATTGTGGGGGCAATGATGCGTCGTTGGTTCCCCCAGCAATGGCCTTCTGCAGTCACTAGTCCCTCTGCTCCGATGCTACGGAACGATTCGCTAAAGTGAGGATCCCTGCGAACCTTGAAGGGACGATATTTGCTCAGCTCGAGGAACCTGTCTTCGCTGCAAACTACCGGCACACGGCCCAAGTGAACATGGAACTCGTAGCCTCCATCCTCCTGACCATACTTGTCTGCCCATTCGTAAAGCTTGGGAAGGATCTTTCCCAGGTCCAAGCCAAGAAGGTGCATGTGGCCAATGAAAGGAACCCTCCCAGGAACTGTCCTCCAAAACTTCTTCTTGTTGGTACCATAGAACAGGTCGTAGACATAGCAGCAAACCAAGAACAGGGCGGTGCCTGCGCCCAAAACAACCGAAGTGGACGGCTCCGATCCAAAGAAATCAGAAATCGTTGTCATGGTGCCAACTGGGTGAAGAGCAGATCGTGAGTAGTCAAGCAAAATAGTCAAGGAAATCCTTGCCTACACTCTGGGATCTTGAATTGTGACCACGTCGGTTTACGCTCTCTCCCAGTCAGCTGCCGACACATCATTTTCTACTTCAGCACCCACCCACACAAAGCTGTGTCTCCCTCAGCCAGGGTGACTATCTCATTCAGCCTTGACCTGACCGCTGGCCACCCGCGAGGCTCACAGGACCAATGAAGTCTATAGCTATCCAGTCCACGAGAACACTTTGAATCATCCTTCATGTGCTACGAACTAGCTAGAATAGGAGGTAGTCGCTCAGAGATTCCTTCGCCTACCGTTGCTAGCTAGCGTACTGCGTATGGTATCGGCGTTTCAAAAGGCTCCGTTCTTGGGCTTTGGTCAAGGAAAGATAGATGAAAAGATCCAAAGATTTCGAATCTTGGGACTATTTAATAGTCTAATTAGACTATTTCAGTATTTTCAATCTTGCGACGTTTGCTTTCCTTCCACGGTTAAAAGGATTTATGGACAACCATTCGAAGATATATGGCATATACGGTAGAGTCATTGCATTCCTGTGGGATGTCGAAACCACATCAGGTTGCCTTTACGGCTCTGGTACGGACCAGTCTCCGCAACTGCAAGTATCGTCACAGGGATAAGTTCGAGAAGGATAGCAGTACCAACTGGTATCAGCCATCGAGGACCGAGGCAAGCAAGCAAATAGTTGCGAACACGATAAGTCAATCAAACCTCTAGATTTTTTAGGTGATTCCTCACCCGAGATGAGAATCGAGAGCCTTACGTGTTGAACGAAAATGGGTCGGAACAAGATTTGCAAACAAGGAAGGTCCACCCTTTTGGATACTGGATAGTGATGTTGTTCTGCAATAGCAATGCCGATAATCGTGCTATAGTTCCTCTCGAAAGATCCGATACCGGGTCGGAGAAAAATGTTGGTTGCCGACCTTGGCTGAAGCCGCGGTCTCCAGTCGACCTATTCTGCCAGTCTCGTCCTGTCCACTGCTTCAGGTAGCTACGGTACAGTACTTGCTAACTTGAACTTGAAAGCACGATGGCCAATCTCTGGCTGGACAGCTTTTGTCTTCTCGTTTATGCTGCTCGATTGTATGTTACAGGTACGGTAGGGCTCCAATGCCAGGAAGGAGGGCAAATCGATGCAATCGAACAACCAGAGAGTAGTGTTGCCAATGGATGCAATCTGGTAAGATATTTGTATCGGTACGGTAACGTCCACCCTCTTTCCATTTGTTTGAGCCCTGTGTGGCCCGCCAGAAAGCAAATCTTTTAAACAATCCCGTTCGCGACTGAATGCAAGTCGCAACGGCTGACGCCATGGCGCTGCTGCCAGAACAACCGCATTCAAGAGCCTCCTCCCTCCTCATTTATTTCGGCACTGGGCACGAAAGCCGTCAAACCTCCTCAGCTACAGAAGATGGCCGACAAGAACGCCAAAATCAACGCCAAAATGGCACGAGTGTGCCCCGAACTGGCTTCAGAGTATGCCAGATACCCGCTGCAAATGAAGTCTTGGGTGAGCCCGGATGCCATGGGTCCCAACAAAAATCCGTGTTGGATCTCGGCTCCTCGAGGCACCACAGAACGAAAGGACGACTATGCCTTTGGAGCGGGCAAGAAGGGTTGGGGCTATTACCACTTGCTGACACGAGATTCCTACACGATACTCTATGCTCGGTTGACCAATGAAATGCCGGGTTGTTGCTGTGCCTTCTCGGCGGAAGCAAGACGACAAATGTCAGATTGGGACGATGTCAAGACCATTGTGTACAACCGAAGTGTAGCCACTATCCCGGACGATGCACAAGCCAAGAAGGATGCCATTCGACTTGCTCAAGGTGTGGCACAGGCGCATTATCACGAAGGGCAAAACTTTCAGCTGGCCGTGGGAGTCGCTACTACTGCCGCCACTGGGTTTTGAATTCTGAGACAGTTTTGGCAGTTTTGGCGTTTTTGTAAAAGCTGGGTTGGAAGTGGATGTAACAGTTTCTTGGCTAGTTGCAACAATCTACATTTTTATAGCCACTCTTCTTGTCATATCTCGCCAACAATCCACGGTATCATCCTGTTTGAAAACAAACTCACCGTCAGATTGGGTCTCCACGGATATGGTGGCACGGGAGAATCGAATCCACAATATTTTGCAAGTTATGTCAAGCTTTGATTTTTAATGAGTTTATGTAAATTTTTGTGTTTACCATGGTTGTGTGAGTCCAATTGCAAAACTTTTACCTTCATCCTTGTGCTGAGCATTCGGGCGACTTGCACTATGGTCAGTGCCGCAGCAATGTATTGGATATCACAAAGACACATTCAATGAACTATATAGGGGCTTAATACTTCTGTGTCACTCATGGAGTTGACTGTGACAAGGTTCCATCTGGGAGCATGACGGTTCCTTGGTCCTTGCTCCCAGCCAGGTATCTTACAATTCGCTTGACTGCTGTGGCGTGGCTTTGCCTGGGTTCATGGGTGAACCTGGCAACTTGACTGACTGTGAATGTGATGTCTGGTCTTGTGTTGGTACATGTAGACAAGTACATCAGTATGCCATCCTTGAGGCCAACCCAGAGTTGGTCGTTTGCGGTAGATGATTCACCAATGCTTGGTCTGGTGAAGGTATCCTTCACCAGCTGGGTTCGGGTCTGATCCATACTCGCATTGGTGATCCTTGGGCATGTTTTGATGGTACTGCTTTGCCATAATTTCCTGGGGTCCCTATTAGAATGTCCTTACCCGCCGGAATATCTTTGCTATCTTGTTTCTTTCTGGCTGGGCTTTGTGCTGCTTGCTCTGAGAGGGCTGCCACTGCTGCTGTGAGTTGGGCGATCTGATTCTGCATGGTTTCTAGAGTGCGGCTCAGAGCTTCTTTGTCATTTGTCAAGTTGTCAACTTTTGATTTTGAGTAGCTCATTTTCCTCTTCTAGTTGCTCTTCTCGTTGCAACTTGACTGTGTTCCCAGGTGAACTGAGCTGGGGTGTAATAACACAAACAAGGTTTTCAATGAACACATGCATCTTACCCTTGCTGCATCCTGGCACAATACCTCCATCTATTTCTGTCTTCAGAGGAAACATGCTCATAGTGCATACTGGTACTGGTTCTCCGAACCTTCCAGTGTCCCAGAACCGACTGATCTTGTCTGCCGAATGATTGCTATTGCCTTGCAAAGAGGAGGAGAGGTGTGGGTCCTGAGACATGCAGAGACGGAGAGCCAGTTGTGACTGCTGTCCTTTGCTGCTGCTAGTATATGTTATCCCAGAGAGAGCTGAGCCATTGTCGCAGCAGACTGCCATACTTGCACTCTGGAGATTCACCAGCTGCTCCAAAAGCAGTGACTGCTGGAGGATTCCTGCCATTTCCAAGGCACACAGGTGTGCCATGGATGCCATCTATGTGGTCTACAGGTACAGGCCGGTGCCTTATTCTTCCTAGCTAGCTAGCAGACAAGCCAACTAGCTAGCTAACTCCCAATTTTGCCATCCCAGGACACCACAGGGTGCATGCCAAGGGTGCCTGGAGACAGGAGCAATGAGGGCGAATAGGACCTGGCAGAAATTGGAAGGAGCGTAGCGTACCATACCGGTACCGGTACCGGTACCGGTCAGTGTGCGTCTAGATTAATGTACCGCGGAACCGAAGAGAACTGGCACCATTCAGCTTTCAGAACACCCGGCCACAATTTCCACACTTCATCCAAGATACACCAATTCGATTCAGATTCAGATCCATCACTTGTGTCGACAGCCTACCTTGATAGCAATAGAACAATGTGAGTTCCTCCTTTCGCTGCTGCCTGTCTCAATGGCAATCCCAACGACGACGTCCTTCCTTCCATTCTCACTTGACTCTCTTCAACACATTTCAGGAGCAAGCTAATTCGACGCATTGGTGTGGACGACCCGCGTATGGCAAAGATTGTAATACATTCGGGCGTCGTTTACCTGAGCGGACTCACAGATACGACGGCAGAAGATGGTACGTGGGTTTTCAGGCATCTGTTCGAGCAATAATGGTACCGTTCGAGCGAAGCAACAGGTGATTTCGAGGAAACCGAAGGATACCAAAAACACACACTCACTTGACCAACCATCTGTTCTTCTCATTCGTGAATCGAATCATACAGCCGCTGGACAAACCCAGAACATCTTGAAGAAGACGGACGACCTACTAGCTCAAGCGGGTACATCCAAGTCCAACTTGTTGACGGCGAATATTTGGGTCAAGGACATTGGCCGCGACTTTCAAGACATGAACAAGGTATGGAATGAATGGTTGGACCCCGAGAACAAACCGGTCCGTGCCACGGTCGAAGCCAACATGGCTCGACCAGCAATCTTGGTAGAGATTCAGGTGACGGCCGCACTGCCTGAGGAATGAAAGCTGCCAAGACACACTGGAAAGATACGACTACATGACTATCCGAGGGATGCAACGCTAATAAGAGTCTAGTTTCGCGTCTTATAATTTTATCAAGTGCCACTGCATGTATCTATACCGGTATCTGTCTTTGTAGTACTCATGGTTTCAAATGTTCCTTGAGGAACTCCAACGATAAGGAGAGCGCCTTTTCCACCTGTTCTTTTATCTTTGGATCCGAAAGATCACTTCGCGTGGTCCATCCATGTACCATGTCTTCAAACGGGATGGATTTGCCTCCTTTAGCCTCGATCGTCTTCACATGTTCACCACCTGGCTTGACACTATCGGGATCATTCCCTGCCGGAAGAAGTAAAAACGGCATTTGAATCTTGTCCACCATTTCGGTTTCGGATCCTCCAAACACTTTGGATTCAACCACGAGACTCGGATGAGGGGACACTGCGACTTTCCATGGGAATCCGGCTGCGGCGGACTTGGCAATGGCCCAACCACCCCAACAAAAACCTAGCGCTCCCCACTGGGTAATGCCATGTTTGATTTGCAAATAGTCGTGACAGAGCTTAATGTCGCCGGCAATTTCGGGTTCGTAGGGATGCGATTTCATCCATGCGACCATGTCCGTCACGTCGTCTTTGGTTTTGCCTCGGAATGAGTCGGGAGCTATCACGTGACAATGCAGCTCTTCCGCCAGGACATCGCAAATACTCAACAGCCGCGGAAGAAGACCCCAGACATCGTGGAAGACGATAATGCCAATAGTCGTTTCCTTCCCATCGGAAGGACCAATGTGATACGCCTTCAAGTCCGAATTGGGAAATGTAAAGGTCACGCCTTTGGGATTAGATGGACCGTGAGTGTTCAGGGGTCCTTCCCAGGAACCAGGAGGACAGCAAGGAGAAGAAGAAGAGCTCATGGTTGTCATCAGTTTGTTTTATTCAGGTTTCGGATGTTGCGGCTGTAGCGAGGGCAAAAAGATCCAAAGATACGCTGACGTCAGCAACAAAACCAGAACCCCGCCCAAAACGACCAAGGACGAGCCGACACCACAGCCAAACATAGCCCACCCCTCGAAACAAGACAAGGAGCTTCTTGTCTCACGGCTCTCCAGAGCTCTCATGTCTACCATCCCTACTAGTGCCAGTGCGGCCAAGAGTTCCAAAAGGCAGAAGCTGGCGCCTTCGGATGACGCATTGTTATTTGATCGAAAGGACGTGGACAAGCTATTATGCTGCTGAGGGCGGGCAATTGGAAGTTCTAAAATGGTTGCATGAGAATGGCTGCCCATTGAGTTCCAGGACATGTTATGCTGCTGCTAGGAATGGTCATCTGGGATGTCTCAAGTGGGCACACCAGGTTGGATGCCCATTGGATGAAGCAACTTCTAAGTTTTCTGCCAGGAATGGACATCTAGAATGTCTCAAGTGGGCTCTCCAGAATGAGTGCCCATGGGATCCACTGGGAAGCGCCTTTGCTGCTGAAATGGGTCGCTTTGAAATCCTAAAATGGATTCATGAAAATGGGCTCTCGTGGAATGAGGGGACATGTGCTTCTGCTGCTGAAGGTGGCCATTTTGAAATTCTGAAATGGGCCCGTGAGCATGGATGTCCATGGTCTAGTTCTACCTGCTCCGGGGCTGCTGAAGGGGGCAATTTTGAAATTCTGCAATGGGCCAGAGAGAATGGTTGCCCGTGGGATGAAGCAACTTGTGCCCGTGCTGCCTGTCATGGGCATATTGAGATTTTGAGGTGGGCTCTTGAGAATGGATGCCCATGGGATTGCAGAACATGCAGCAGTGCTGCTGAAAACGGACGATTGGAAATCCTGAAATGGGCTCGAGAGAATGGGTGCCCGTGGGACAAAGGCACTTGCATCCTTGCCGCTCGGGGTGGAAATTTTGACATTTTAAAATGGGCATGTGAGAATGGATGCCCTGATTCGGATTTAGAAGATTAAGACACGGATGATGACTAGCTTATACGTGTAGTAGAATCTGCATTGAGATGACGTTCATTCTAGCTAGGTGTGTATACTAGTTAGGCGTGTACAGGTCTACCGGCTGTTCTCAGCCTGCCCCAATAATTTCAACATAATGTGCCAACCAGTGAGATCAAGTTGTCTTTTGAAAGAAGAGAACACCCCAGCATTGTCCAGGTATTTGGGGGCTGTGGATTCCATCAGCTGAAACTTTGCGTTCCACTTTGACACCATGCTTGGTACAGCCGTACACAAGAACACTGCCGACAGAGTTTGCAGGACTGCCGACAGAGTTTGGAGCACTGCCACCAAAGAGCAAAGCAAAAAGACCAAGCTGACAATTTTGGCAGTATCAGGCAACGTCTCAATTTGCACCTGAGTGTTTTTTGTTGACGTTGGCATGGCCCCAGCAATTTGATGGGAAGCCAAAAGTATCATACAGGACTGTCTTGGCATTTCCCAAAGGTATATCCAAGTAGGTCAATGTAGGATGCTGCAATGCAAATGCCTCGACAAGATCGTTGTGGTGATTGTAGAAATTCTCCCAATCTGACTTACTGGAACCTGGCAGGGGAAAGACACCTTGGCACAAGGACGTGCTTCCAGCAGACCAGCGATCCAGAAGACGATTCCATCGATTTGAGCTGTCATACCAGCTATTGAAGTTTCGACGGATGTGCAGGATGGTGCCATAGGGATATGCCTTTGCAAAGTCTTCCAATCCACCATGAAGAGTCGGGTAGTAGCAGGCTTTCTCTTTTCTTTTATAGACCCCAATGTCAGAATACATTCTGGAATTCCCACACTTGTGCAAAAATGGCCACCCGTTGCCAATATTTGTCATCATGCACTGTCCAATGGTGGTGAAATTGAAGGTTGTGAGGTTGAGTGCCCCTTGGTGAGCTGCTGTCCACTTCCCAAGGCCACATCGAAAGTACTCATAGATGGTAGTGGTTCCACTCTTTGGCAGCGCAGTCACCAGTATTGGGAATCTCAACTCATTAAACAGCGAACCAGTTGTCGTCTTTACCCTGTAAAAGCCACCATTCGATTCCTCCTCACCGTCAAAGGCATCGTCATCGCCCTCATCTGGAATCTCTGGAACCTTGGCACTAAACGAATCTGCCCAACAGTGTCCGGGAATTCCCAGCTCCTTGTGCAGTCGAGTCGCAATGGATTCTTGATTTTCTCTCAAATCCAGTTCAATGTATGTCCACGAGGGATGCCGTTGGACAAAGGATCGCAGCTTGTTTTGATAATTGTTGTAGAATTGTACATAATTTGCTTCCGTGTCCATTGTCGGAAACGAATTGTTGTGAGTTGGGTTGCACCACTCGACCCAGTGCCAATGGAAATCCCTCGAAAGTGTTGTATACCATTCTTGGGGGTCTTGTACAATATTGAGAATGGTAGCTTTGGGATGCGCTTGGTAGAGCTGGTCCAATGAATCAGGGTACAAGACGGGATCAAAACAATTCCCACGAGGTCTCGTTCGGTGCACAGGATCGTAAGGACCGGACAAATGATGCAGGTCCATCCACACATCAAAATCCCCACAGCCATCCGTGATATTCTTCTTTCCTTTCAGCCCTAAATTCGATCTGAAGCATGCGCCGATGGGTTGTTGGCCTTGTCCATTGCTCCCAGCTGGACGTTTCCAATATCGACCGATTTTCTCGGTTGGGATTCCAGAACATCGAAAATATCGTGGCAGCACCAGCTCGGCATGGTTGGGGAGACTCAGTACAAAAAGAGGTTCTCTAGTAGGAGAAGCGATGCTAGTTTTCTCGGTCGCAGTTACTGGCGGATGATATTTTCTACGTTCGATGGACTTTATTGATTGCTTGTGTTCTTGGCCGACCAACGCCACATCATGCTCAATCCCATTGTGAACGTAACCTGCCAGTAGCAACACAGATACAACGACAGTAGCGGCGACTGTGAATTTCGCAGCACTAACGGGGTTCTTCATGTTCTGCGTAGACTAACAGCACTGACAATTCCATTTGGTAGATGATTATCAATTTGATGCAGGCACCGTGCTGTAGCCGCCTTTTATGCATGTTGCCTTGCATCTTGGCGATAAGTGTGGATGGAGGTCGGCGGTTGGCGGCCGTGGAAGTTGAAGGTTGTGGAAGAAAAGATCTGTTCGAAGCGTTACTTCTTTGACACCTCCACGCCCACGTTATGGGGCACGCAACCGAGGGGCTCCACGAGCTTCAGAGGCTAACCGTACCTAGTGGAACGGCTACATGCAGTTAGCAAGCAACTGAGCTCTGAGGATACATGGCAAGGAGCTGAGCTTTTAGGATGATTATTCGTTTGGTTTTGTACAATTGGGGAACTTGCAACTTTTGCGTGACATTACGCCTGTCTTTGGTCCATCCAGTTTAGCTAGCCATCAGCTACCTACATCTACTTGCCAATCATTGAAAGAACTGCTTCCTCCTTGAGGATTTCCACGCCATTGGCCTTTGCCTTTTTTGCCTTGGCTGTATCATCTCTGGCGGAAATCAAGTGAGTTACGTCTTTGGTGACACTCCCCTTCAATACACCACCATGCTCCTTGAGGAGGGTCTCAAATTCCGCTCGTTTCATCGACAAAGTTCCAGTAATGGCAAAGACCATGCCCTCTAATTTTGCCCCACCGCCTTCACTTGCATCCTCTTCGTTGTCTGTCGCATCCTCCTGGGTTTCTTCCTTCTCACCTTCTTCATCATCTTTGGCAGCAGGTTTTCGATCTAGGCCACCCTTTTTCTCTGCTTCCAACAAGGGTTTGAGAGTAGCAATCCCCCCGGCACAGAGGATGCCACCATTAAAGCCAAGTTTCGTCAATACTTGCTTTGCCTTTGCCGATCTCCTTCCCCACTTGGTACATATGATAATGGGGGCTGGTTCAAATCAGACAAATAGTTAGATAGGCGCAGAGCACTGAAAGAGCAACAAGGTGAAGGTTGACTCACTTTTCCTGTCCTCTTCTCCAATCGAGCCATGAAACTCGGTTTCATCCCACCCCGAAATATGATTGCAATCGTGACTACACTTGGGAAACCAATCGTCGTCAGCCTCGGGTTCATCGGATGTGGAAATATCCAAGACCATGGCCTTTGGCTTGTCCTTCAAGAATTCAATCACAGCCGATTCACTTTCGTTCAAAGCCATTTAGATAATCCTGCAAGTATTTCAAAGCAGCGTAGGCACCCGCATTGTAGACACACTGATAATTGAGTTTGGTCAAGACCTTTTTGGCCTCTGCAGCCTTTTTGCCCGTTGCACAATGCACAATAATGGGAGTACGACAGCTGTGAAACCGATTGAAAGCCGTAGCCTTGAGGAGTTTCCAACCAGCGTCCATGCTTCCATCCACGTGGACCCATTCCACGAAGCATCGTTTTCGGATTTCCCCGGTATTGGCACCCATAGTGTTCAGAAAACCATCCTTCAGTATTTCTTCGGAGGAACGCACATCGAGAATCACCACGCCGTACTTCTCTTCGTCTTCGCCTTCATCTTCTTCACCCTGATCCAGTTCTTCACTTTCAAAAACTTCCAAGATTTCTTCTGGTTTTGTGTCGGCAAGACGATTGTCGATACTGGGATCTTTTCCGTCTCCTCCCTTGCCACGGCGAGATGATTTTCTGGATCCAGTCGTCTCGGCCGATCTGGCTTTTCGCTTGGAGCTCATCTTGATGGATTGGAACTTTTTATTAAAAAAACCTAGGGAGAGGAAACTGTTGCTTCTTGGATTATGGTACCGGTACTGTACTGCTTCTGCACAAGACTTGTAGTCGATAGAAATCCTTGATGGATCTTGCGAATTGGATTGAGGTCTGGAAGCCGAAATTGAGGAAAGTGCTTGGACACAGCGACAGACCCCCATACCGGTACCGTCGCACTGTACCATACTAGCTAGCTACAAAGATTCCATGACATACCATTAGAGTTAAGGGGCTGAAATTGAAAATTTGTGCTTTCTCGCCAAAGTTTTTGGCCAGCAAACGGCCCGGGAAGGATCCACCATGACATGTCGTTCTTGTTCTCGAGAGGCAAACGGCGGTAGAGGCAGAAGTAGTGGGCGCGGCGCGCTGGATAGTCTGAGCAACCACACAATCCATCGTCGGGGATCAACTTCTCCGATACGGTAGGAAATAATGATGAAAATGATGAAGCTTGCCGTGGTATTGGCGCTCCTTTCCTTCTTGCCTGCCGTCCATGGCCAAGGAGGAGCAGTGAATGATCCCATCTTGGCGGGTTATGATTTGGTCGCCTATCATTCTCTGGATTCTTTGGACGATGGCGTTCCTGGCAGTCCCGATTTTCAGACTCGACACAAAGGGTATCTCTATTACTTTTCCTCCCAAGATAATCTGGATATCTTTCTCGCGAATCCGGAACCGTATCTTCCTGCCTATGGAGGGTTCTGTGCCTGGGGTGTCGCCTGGGAATACGAAGACGATGGGTGGCCATGGGCTGCAGACCACATGGGACCTCCGTGTGGTCCTCGCGATGGCTGGGCCTTGTTGACGGATGAATCCACCGGGCAGCGTCGCCTCTACTGCTCCATTTGGCGTTCCTACCAAGATGATTTCAATCGGCGTCAAGAGGAGGGAATTCGTTTGGCCAATCAGCGCTGGGTGGAATGGTACGGCAGTCTTGATGCAGGTCCGATGAATCATGGCTGCTACGCCTGGAACTGGCAGAGTTGCTTTGCCGAGTCCATCTATGATCCCTCCAATCCTGTTACTGAGGCAGCGGATCCAACGGCCACACCAACCATGGCTCCTACTCAATCACACACGTTGTTTGAACCAGGACAAGCCAGTGGATTAACCACTGTCTGGTCGGATCCCATGGCTGCCCTCGGTGGAGTCTTGAGCTTTCAGTGGACACTCGAGGATGTGGACTCGATCCGGCCCTTGTTGATTGTTGACCTCTTGTACGAGATGGACGAGGAAGAGTTGCCTCTTGCTAGCGGGGACAACTTTTACTTGGGTTTTGGAGTGGCGGAACAAGTCATGGAAGGTGCTCTGGTAGTGTGCGCTCCCACCACTGGCGGTGCCACGACGGTGGCCAAGTCATCTGGGTTGGACGGTGCTGGGAGCGGTACCGGTAGTTCCTGCAAGACGTACTTGGGATCGGGCATGGGTATCACGGCACCCAACTCGGATCCTGTCCAGCCTACCGTTTTGGAATCCGAGCGCAATGAAACGCACTATCGCGTCCGCTTCTCGGCCAACCTCTTTGCCTGTTGGTCCAATCCTGTGTGGCCGGCTAGGGTCTTGTTCTCTCGGGGATTGGTGTCGGGGAATGGAGATCCCATGCCTCATTTGAACAACCCCTTGCATCGACAGGCAGTCAAAGGTGTGGAGTTCTTGTCGGTCATTCGAGGCGACAATGGAATGGCCGCTAACGCCACAACCGACGGTCCCCCGCCACCGCTCGAGTTAGATCCACTCCCGAGCGACGTAATCGTCAATGTGGGTGGAACCCTTGGTTCGTTGGTGCTTCTGAACGGGCGTGTGACATTGAACTATGGGCTTTACCGTTACTCCAATCAGGACGAAGAAGTTGTGCACATTAAGCTGTTGAATGTGCCCTATAATCCATTGGATGACGAGGACGAGGAGCACACCTACATTGGATTTGGATTTGCTACTGATACCATGAGTGGTCTAGTGATGACTTGTATGCCCAGTTCCCAAATCGACAATGACGGCAACACTACGGAACTTTTCGCTACTTGTCACCAGTGGCGCGGGCTTGGAACGAATCTGTATCCACGTGCTCTCGAGACGGACGCAGGAGGCTGGTTCTTGACCAACTTGGAAGGCAATGGAACGCATCTAAACTACACCTTGGCGGGACGCGTGGCTGATGTGTTGGACGAGGCAGAGACTGTGGAGGGTCGCATCGACTCCGACAGCAACTTACGGGCCATTGTTGCGGTTGGACGTGCAGCTCCTGACACTGGCACTCCACTCATGCACACGTCGAGAGATCGAACCCCGCTGGTCCTGGACAAATTGGCCGTCATGGCACAGGGCAGCGTTTCCCAGTTGAAGGCTGGTGATAGTGGCTCTTCTGCTGCTTCCTCTCACGCGTCGAGCTCTTCAGGCACAGCTGTGCCCACGTTCCAATGTTTGTCCCTCGTTATGGGCCTTGTGGCGTCGTTCCTTATTAGTGCGGTGTAAGACAGAGGATTGGTGACGTTCGAACCCTTCATCACCTCTTCTTTCATCAGGGACTGCCGTGGAGTAACTAACTAGTTTCTAGATATTTCGACATCTCTCATCACTTCATCGTCATATGTGTAGCAGGAGAAGGCAGCACATACAGTCGGCCAGACGAAGAGGATCGAATGATAACGAAGTCAAGGAGCACACGACCAGAGGTCGTGTTGCTTTTAGTCGCTGCATTGGTGCCCGAAACGTTGGTCTTCAGTCGTGTAATTCCCGGCAACAGAATAACTCCCCTTTCCTCGTTGAACACAAAACGAAGACAACCCGCTCCCAAACGAAAGATCCTCATCCAACATAAAGATGTTCAGCGACTTCTTCAACGAAACCGAATACCGGTACAAAGAAACGCTCCCCAAAGGAGTGGCTAATAACCATGAAGGAGAAAGCTACCCGTGTTCTTCCACCAAAGGTGTGCGTGCTGGCGCAGACCATGCGAGTACTTTTGAAGTTATCCCAAAACATGAAACATTGTCAACGGGAAATGGAGTCAGGTTCAATGTTGAGACTGTGCCTGGAGCCTTAAAGGAACACCTTCAGAAGCCACACATCACTCGCCAACAACTCATTGAGAGCCTTCAGAGCACTCTGGCTGAAAAGTACACAATGGACAGAGGAGAAACAGACTCATATGGTTGGCCCACCTACCCAGGAAAACAGGGTTCGGTAATGGCTTCAGATGTAAAGATTGAGGCGCTCTCAGAGTCTGGTGCAGGAGGAGGCAAGAAGCTGGTGCATGGTGGGACGAATGGATTGGTCATGGCCATGGTGACTGCTTTCGCCCAGCACCTGCCATTGGAACTCTCCCCTGACTCCATCTGGATTGCAATCTCATATGCTTTTGCAAAGCATGTGGATCAGAATGCTGAATCCTTGCGCAAAAACTTTGTGCAGCATGAAGGCAAGAAACGTCTCTTGGTGGAAACCCCTGCCAACTTTGCCATGAGCAATGGTCAGAACCCTGACACCGGAGCTTCGGCTCAAGAATGGGAAGCTCTTGTCTTTCCCAATTTCTCAAGTCAGATTGAGGATTATATTGGCAAGACAACCCATGAGGCAATTGCCGCCAGCTTCAGCACCACAACCACCACAGGGAAGGCTTGCCACGAAATCACCCTCATGTCTGCCATGAAAAACTACTTTAGCTATGGCATGCGCACAATGTGTGGCATTCCCCACATCACCTTGTTGGGGACAGAGCGTGACTGGGTTCAGTTGCGCGCTCGTGCTGAACATCTGGGGAGCCTAATGACAGAAGAGTTTTCTGAGTATTGGATGCCCCTATTGCTTCCAGTTTTGGATGAATTTGTGGAGAGCTACAGAGGAAATGTGAATCATGGATTTTGGCAGTCTGTGGTAAAGCTTCGCGACACTGGAGGTGGGTCAGGATCCCATGATTTCATCTCTGGGTGGATCCAAATCTTGTTCCCCTATCTTGGCTCTGGCGAGCTCAACCAGAGGCTCAAGCCGTGGAATGAAATGTACTTCTATGGCCCAGAGCTTGACAGTTTTCCGCTTCTTGCTTCATCTGCGCCTGTGGATTGGGAGTACCATGGTACCACCTTTGACATTGATTTCTACGCGGGAGTCCTTGGTTTTGCCCAAGACCCGTCTGATGGCACCATTTCCCCGTTGTTGGGCTGGTATGTTGCTCATTCTCCTCCGAAGTCCCCATCCCTTCAGCTCAAGGAAGCCAAAAAGGAGCTGAACGATCTCTTGTTGGGCCACAAGGAAGAGGTGGCCGCTGATACTGTGGACAAGAATGCACCATGGTACGGACGAGTTGCGTATCTTAGGGATCTTGTCCTTGAGTTGGGTGGTAAAATCGCAGTGTGATTGAGCTGTGTTGGTCATGGAGAAAGATGTGTTGGCGATGCGGAAAGAGTTGAGATGCCTGGTGTTGTCCAGCCTCTGTATGGATGGCTGTTGGTTGCTTGAGGGGCATAGTTTGGAGTAATCTAAGATCCCTCTTATCCCATTTGGACCGTGTACTAGTTCCCGAAGTGGCAGTGATTTCTGGTAGATCCGTCACTATTTTATTAATTAATAAGGCTCTTGGAAACTATTGATCCCCAAGGCAGGCACGCAACGAGCGAACTTCCAGTTCCAGTTCCACCTACCTTTGTAGCTACCTTTGCGGTGACCCCAGCTCGCCCTCGCGTTGCCACACTGTCAAGTTTCCAGTTGCAGTCTGAAACTACATGGTGATAGTCGCTGGATAGCTTGCTGTCCCCACCGTCCGTCCGGAGCTAGCTAGCTAGAGTTCGGTGGGGCTGGGTTTGCTGCAACTGGATTCGATTCGATTCAGCATTATTTGTCAGCATCAGATTCAGAGCATTCAGCAAATTCAACAAATCCAGCAGCACTTTTAATTAAGCATTTTTACAGGTTAGTCTAGCTAGCATGATTCAGCATTTTTCAGAAGATTGAAGATTCTGAAGGATTGAAGATTCGTTCAAATCATTCCATTCAATCATTCAAATCATTCTGATCGGAAAGATTTTAGCAAAACTGCTTGTGCGGTTCCTCAAAACTCGAGACACGCGTGACTCGGAAGATCGAAACGTTGGCCAAGTCAAGCGTGGAGTTGTTGGATTTGTCCCGCGTTGCGTTGATACGATTGCCAGGCCAGCTGCCTCGCTGCCTCCTGTCGTTGAGTTCACAGCTGAACTTCTCATAAATTCTTCTGAAGCCCGAAGAAGTAACAAACGAAACAACATTACGGATAAATCCCATTGCCGAACCTTTGAATCATGCAGGTAAGCACCATGGCGCGCTCTTCATGTTGGAGGTTGTTGCCGGAATCGGGTGGCCGCTTGTTGGGTTGGAGTATTTTTGAGCGCATGGTTTGTTTTTGCGGTCATTGTGACGAAAGCGGCGGATACGACTCGACTCGACTCGGATCCACTTTTGGCGATGACCATGACGTCGTGGGCTGCGGTTGTTCCGACATCAGCACCAAGAACGCGACAACAGTCATCGCAACCGCCGCCTTTCCCTCCCTTGATCCGATCCAGGGCGTTGTGTGGTTTGAGTTGTCGTTGTTTGCGTGGACCGTGGCGGTCTCGCGAAAGGCTTCGCGCGTCACCAAAGCCGCAAGGACACGACAGCATGGACCGCTCGAGAAACCAAGACAGTGCCCGCTGCTCTGTAATTGTTACATATTATGTGACCACCCCAACTCACCTCTTTGTCTTCTGTAATTTAATTCACAGATTTTTGTGAAAACCCTGACTGGCAAGACCATCACCCTTGATGTCGAGCCCTCGGACACCATTGACAATGTCAAGACCAAGATCCAGGACAAGGAGGGAATCCCGCCCGATCAACAACGTCTCATTTTCGCCGGAAAGCAGTTGAGGATGGCCGCACCTTGAGCGACTACAACATCCAGAAGGAGTCTACTCTCCACTTGGTTCTCCGTCTCCGTGGTGGTATGCAGATCTTCGTCAAGACCTTGACCGGAAAGACCATCACCCTCGATGTCGAGCCCTCGGACACCATTGACAATGTCAAGACCAAGATCCAGGACAAGGAGGGAATTCCCCCCGATCAACAGCGTCTCATTTTTGCCGGAAAGCAGTTGGAGGATGGCCGCACCTTGAGCGACTACAACATCCAGAAGGAGTCTACTCTCCACTTGGTTCTCCGTCTCCGTGGTGGTATGCAGATCTTCGTCAAGACCTTGACCGGAAAGACCATCACCCTGGATGTCGAGCCTCGGATACTATTGACAATGTCAAGACCAAGATCCAGGACAAGGAGGGAATTCCCCCCGATCAACAGCGTCTCATTTTTGCCGGAAAGCAGTTGGAGGATGGCCGCACCTTGAGTGACTACAACATCCAGAAGGAGTCTACTCTCCACTTGGTTCTCCGTCTCCGTGGTGGTATGCAGATCTTCGTCAAGACCTTGACCGGAAAGACCATCACCCTGGATGTCGAGCCCTCGGATACTATTGACAATGTCAAGACCAAGATCCAGGACAAGGAGGGAATTCCCCCCGATCAACAGCGTCTCATTTTTGCCGGAAAGCAGTTGGAGGATGGCCGCACCTTGAGCGACTACAACATCCAGAAGGAGTCTACTCTCCACTTGGTCCTCCGTCTCCGTGGAGGAAACTAAGTTGAGGATTGAGCAGTTGGTCTCCTGTTGGTGGCTGTTGATGGCAAACAATGTTGATGGCCAAGGTGGATTATCATTGAAGAATAGTATAACGCTTTAGTAGTAGTTATTAAACAGAAACTCCTTTGGTGCGCTTCGTTGTATCGTGCTCTGCTGTGGCTTATAAAAGATGGAGTTCACGACGGAGTGCTCATGGCTTCGCTTGTTTTGCTCGATACCGTTCTGGGTATCTTTGTAGTCTATCCAACATGGGCTGCAGAGGCAGCCATAGCTTTTTCGATTGCAGGTCTTCTCCTGCAGATGCATTACTACTCGATCCAACATTGGCTGCAGAGGCAGCCAGAGCTTTTTTGATTGCGGGTCTTCTCCTGCAGATGCATTACCACACGCAGAATCTGGCTTTTTTAACCTCGCTTTGGGACTGCCTTGATAATGCTATTGATGATGCTGGCTTCCACTGCCATTTCAGTCTGCAGCACCGACTCGACTTCGGCAGGAACTGTTGCCAAACCACTTCTAACATTCTATATTGCTTACTGTATACAAAGCTTACAAACATTCAACATTTCCATTCTAGGCTGCCTTTGCGCCTCATCCGTCTCTTGCCCGTACAGTACGGGTACCAGTTCCATGTACACGCTGACTGATTCGATTGAATCATTCTGATTGATTGGATCTCTTTTGCTGCGTATTGCTGGCGGCAACCATCTTCGAGTATGGCACGATACTGTTAGCTGCTTGTCTTCTCTCATCCGTTCAGCAATTCGACTTGCACACTTCCATCGTCGTCAAATGTGATCTTGCCCTTTTTCGGAGCTCGGAACCGATGATACCCAACCTGTTTCTTACGGCCAACGAGCAACTTATTCGCCACAACACCCCACATGGACTTCTTCTTTTTGGTTGTGACAAAAACTGGATCAGGACCAAGAGAAAAATCATCCAGGTGCTCCCAATCCATGTCGTCGTCCATTGATCTAGTCCGGGCAGTGCGAACCTCGGGAACACCTTCCCGCATGCTCTTTCTAGCCTGTGTGGCCTTGGTAGACTTTTTCTTGTTCATTTTTCGAGCCATGTTGTCAAATTCGAAAACGGAATCGTCGGTAGAAGTGTTCGGGGGACTTCGCCCCCGAGGCAACGGTCTGGTGCTGACTTGCTCCATGCTTCGGTCGGCCTCACTATTCACTCGTCCTCTGGTCGCTGCAGTGGAACTACCAACTCGCCGAAGCATAGATCGGCGCCTTGATTGGAGGATGGGATCTCCGTCATCTGGAATCTTGGCCAAGAGATGGGCTAGAGCATCTAAGGTTTCGTCGTCAAGACGTTTCTTTCGGCTGCCCTTGGTGGGCTTGGTGGGGCGTCGTGGCCTCTTGATGCTGCCGTGGTTGCTATTCGTAACGCTGCTAACATCGTCACCGAGACCAACATCGCATTCTACATTCTGTACTTCTTTCAGCAGGATGTCGCACAAAGCGTCTCCCCCCTCTTCAACTTCACACGATGTAGGTGCCTCCTGGCAGTTGTATGGTACTTTTTCGATGTCAACAACTGTCGGGAAATCATAACTACACTGTTCCAAGAACTGAGCGACAGTCTGGAAAAGGTCATCAAAGGCTTGGTCTCCTTTGATATCAGTTCCAGCGCAAAGCGTCTCGCAAAAGGACCGGATATCATCCCTCAACAAGTCGTTGGCAATCGAGTCAATGGCACTGGTGCTGGTGTTGTCGACATCTGTAGTTTTCGTCTCTCCACGGCGACCCATTTTAGCAAACCCAATCCCAAGCACTAACTAATGACTACGTTGGCACAGCTCTTGGCAGAGACCTAGCTTCTAAAGTGTTTGTGTCGCAGGACTTCGTATGGCCTTTTTCTTGTTCGAAAGATGGGATGGGGGCAAAGCAAAGTTTGTGCAAAAGGGATCCAGGTCCATTCCGAGTGGAGGGAAACTGTCGCCATGCTCTCCGACGTTGCCAACGGATTTTGGCTGGGACTTGATTTGATAACCCAGCTCAAGCTGCGAAGAGCTCACATTTCTTCTTGTTGAAAGATTCCACGGTGCATTTACGAACAGCAGACTGGAAGCGAAGACCAACCGGCCGTCTCCGAGCTCAGAACAGTCGTCCATCAAGACGTTTGCAGACGAGCATCGCAAATGGGGTAGGTCTGTTCACAAAAACCAAATCACCAAAGCAAAAAACAACGCAAAGAAAAGCTGATACAAAGATGTGCGACTTTCATTTCATAGTAAAAGGACCTGCTTCTTCAGGAAGCATCTTCCAGGGATACCACGGATACTGCGAGAACAGGTTTTGTCTTTCGAGCACCCATCTTTTTTCGGCCACATTCACCGACGTTCAACGACGACATTGCCATAGGCATAGACGAAACAAAACATGTGTGCTTGAATCCGGATGCAAGGACCTATCCTCGGCTCCGAATCTATTCCTCGTCAAGTCTGTCTTCTCATCCTCACCGCATCTGGACAAGCTGGTTGTTACCCAGGAATCACGTGAACCCATTTCGGCCCAAACCGTTGGTGCTTTCCTGAGCTTGGTCCCCAGACAAAAAGTTGAAGTGCCTCGAACTCCGTGTAACTCATGTTTCGTTCGAGCCTTACTTGGGTAGCATCTTCGTTGATGCCTTGCGAAAGCATGCTGTGACAAAACATCTCAGCCATTCAGTTATCGACTGTGGCGATCTTTCATTTACGGAAAAGTGTTCCTTCACACGAATGGCGTCGGCGCTTGAGAAGATGTATGGGCGGGGTTTTCGTGAATGTCCTTCTCGACCAGGACGCTTCTTGCGTCAAAACGAGCTTCAGGGTGAACAAGTTTCGTTTTCATGGAACACCGGCAGTGGAACCCCGGAGTACGCGGCAAGCGTAGTCTATACAGGAACACGTCTCCTCTGGTTAAGAGGCGAGATGGCTACTTAGAGCGAGACTGGCCGGGCGAGAGCGGAAAGGAGAGCCAACGGCTCGGAACGCGCGAGACCGGCCAGGCGAGATCTAAGTGGCAGCGAGACTCAACCAGCGGAGATGTGTTAATGTTGGAACCAGCGAGAAGCGCCACTTAAGTAACAAAATGTGAGCGTTAACAAGTGTCACTCCAGAACAGTCCAGACTGAGTTGGGAGTCGTCTCGAAAACTTCAACCTGTGTAGCAAATGTACCAGAGGCTACACAGACTGCACCAATTTCTTCGAGACGGGTTCCAGAGCAGCAATTGCGCGCTGCGCACCACGAGGTGTTCGACTGCCGAGGCTGCATCCATGATAACGAAACTCGGCTCGTCGCTGAAAGAATTCCACACCTCGAGGATGACGGTGAACGGGGCTTCTTCTCTGGCGCCGTTGGCACTAGCGCTGCGACAGAACACACGTCTGCAGATCCTTGACTTGCGGAGAGCCCCCTTGCTCCCTCGAGATGTGGACCCCTTTCTCACTCTGTTGGCAAAGCACAACTCGACTCTGGTTGAGTTGAATGTGTCCTTCGATTACCTTTCCTCAAACGAAATTTTGAAGAGGAAGTGGGATCGAATCCAGCTCTTACTGAGACTGAATAAGTACGGTCGCAAGAAGAACGCCTCTCTCTCCTTCTTCATCAAGACTCTCATATCCGCCAAGAATGACACACCCGCGGTGTTCTTTTACTTGTCAGCGAATCCACACCTTCTGATCAAAGCAGTCGGCTGAGGCTTTCACGTGCAGTTGTTGAGTGTAATTCCTTGAAGCTAGCTAGTAACAAACTCGTACTGAGTAAGCGATACGGGATCTCAGAGAAGAAGAAAAAACGATGCTGTACAGCAGGCCCTCTAGCTAGCTACTGTAGACTCTCCACTTGCGGTTCCATGCGGCAAATCCAGTTCCGCGGCGGCCATCCTCTGCTCTTCGGAGTCGAGTCGAGTCACTCAGTCGAGTCACACACCACACCAACCTGCGATACTAATATTAATAATACTTTCCCCGTACCGGTAATCGAAACCCTTGTCTGTGCCATTGCATTGTCTTGCCTCACAGCCCCGAGGACTTTACAAAGTTTGGGGTGGGGTGTTGCATAACTCTAGGTGCCGGTCCTGCTCCATAGCCAGACAGGCTACAGCGTACATGTCCACGCTCCAATGGCCTGCCCGTTGGCGAGTCTACTGCAGTATTGCTTAGTACCAGTACCTTGCATTCAACACTACTCTATCATTCGCATATGAGCTCCAAATTGCAACTGAGCTCTACCTTGGTTTTTCGAAGAGAGGCCGTAAAGCATGAAAGCTGAGTGTCATGACTGAAAATGTGCAGAGGACCAAGGGCACAAACGTCTGCAGGAAAAGAGGTATTGAAACACGGGGCAAGGAAGCAAATCGTTTGACGGACTTCATGGCACGTTCTCCCTTTGGTCCTCCTGGCAGAGTAGGACTCATGTGGCAGTCCCACTTGGGGTTCACGTAAATTTGCTTATCAATCGAAAGGTTGAAGCCAACATGCTCGCATCTGTGTCCATACTCCCCAGAATCATATTTTGGGTGATTTTTTCGAATGAGTTGAAGAGGATACAGAGTCGCACCGTTGTAAGCGGATGCCACTGGATAGAGGTCATCATTGGCTCTGTCCAACTGAATGATTTGGAGAAAGTGGACAGCGCTAGGCCCCACACAGTTGAACGCCCACTTGTCATTGGGTGGCATGAGTCCACAGAATTTCTCGTGGATTTGAAAGAGTCGTTCATTCTCTTTGGTTCGAAGAGGCTGAAAGGCATTGAAATCGTAGGGAGGGACCAACGTCCCGAGCCCACCAGCCCATGGTTGACGACAGGAACTGGCAACTGCAGCCGAGTCTTTAGCTTTGCCAATAGAATGCAACACGCCAAGGGGCGACAATGACACACCAATATCCAGATCAATCTGCATCATGTGACTGAAATTGTTGTATTCTGGTTTGTCGATAATGTAGTCTACCATTCTTTGTCGGAATTTGTGCATGAGACCAATGGATGGAGCGGTGAAGAAGTCTTCGTCCTTTTTTCCGTCATAACGATGTTCTCTTTTCAATTTGCAATCCTCGGCTTCCGGGCAGGACATGAGGTCAACTTCATATCCCTTGTTGGGTGCAGCGGCCCATGCTTTGAATGCCTCTCGAGAACCGTCTGTACTGTCATTCTCAAAAATCACCACGGAAAGCTTTGGGAAGAAGAAACTCAGAGCCTGAACGTTCTGCTGAAGCTGTTCGATATGATCGGCAACGTCTCTGGCAAGGACATTGACAATGAGTCCGCTGGTGTCTTTTTGAGCAAATTCAATTCCAGCCATGACCGCTTCGACATCTTCTTTATTTTTGCTGGATAATGCGCTGGCACTGAGAAGTTTCCATTTCTTTTCCGACAAGCAGAGAGGATCCTTACTGAGGTCTCCAGTTTGTTTATGGAGGCAAATATCTTTCAACGCATCGTGCAACTCTGATGGCCAGACCACTTGGTAGTTGATCAACAGAAATGGCATCCAGATCCAGCCTGGGTTCACCAATGTCTGAATGCTGGTAACGCTCGACAGGTACACAAACAAAGCAATGACTAATACAGCAAATCGATTGTGTGTGCCAATGACATGCCAAACCTTTCCTCGGAGAGATGAAGAGTCCAGCTCTTTCTTGTCCTTTTTGAGAGTCGTGGGGCCCGATGAATTGGCAATATACAGGTACAAACACGCCGTAAGGAAAGTGACGCTAGCCACCAAGTAGATTGACACGTGAAGGAAAGAATCCCAAAAATTAATCATCGCATGGTAGAAACCCAACGGTGAGAATCCACCAGGGATATGTCCGTAAATAAAGCAGGGTAGCACCAGCAAGCAAAAGAGAGACAATCCAATCTGCAGCTTGGCATTATTCCAAAGAGCCGAAGGCTCTCTGCGAGAATAAGAGAGGAAATCCATCGTTAGGCAACCAAATTTCAACAAAGACAATCCAAGAGATCCAGAGATGATACCTACCTGGATTTGCCCTGCTCTGGGCGCTCTGAATCGATACCGGCATGAAGGGGCAGTAACGTCTTCACTTCGCTATCATCGTCACCGTCGCAAGACTTTCCCTTGCGCTTGTACCCATTGCTTTGACCTGTTGTCATCCTTCTCTTCATCTCCGCCATTGCTCTGTTCAAAGAGATTGTGGTCTCTAATAAGTGCTTCATTGTTGCGAAAGGTGACGGCTTAAATAGGAACGGTTATCGAACCCGCCAATGTAAAGGGCTGGACGTGGAACCGTGTTTTCATAGAGTTAGTGTTCTTTCTTCAACCCTGGCAGGAGTGGCTGGCTTACTTCAATGACAAGGGAAGAACATGAGGCAAGTCTATGCATACCTCTCGGCCACTGGAGGATTGCACTGCTTCAACAATCTTCAACACTCCGGGTGGGGGAGGATCGGCACCTTCCATTATGTGGGCACCTCAGGTGCAATAAACCTACCGGTACACCTCCAGGGTGTGCACCTGAGATACCGTAGACTACTAGGGTGTGCGCACCGATTGAATCATTCCACCACAGACTGCCTTGCTTAGCCCCAACTTCATTCACTGCTTCCTAATAGTTACTTATTTTGAAAGGCGTAGGGATGGGAATGGCTGTATTGGAACCGGAATCCTCACCAGCGCTACCTGGTAATCGGCTGCTTCCATGGCTGCATGTTCAACTACCTTTCTGCATCGCACCATTTCGTTTAGTTTCTGCCACTGAGGTTGTTCGAGTCGTCCTCGGCTAGCAGCTGGCATTATCACTACTGTAGCCTCCCAGAGCTGGAAATCCACCAACTAAAGGATTTAGTTGGCTGCTTCACTACATGAGTACCTCAACTATGGTCTCAGAGCGACCGGAAAACTTGCTCTATTTTTTACCGTAATGCAAATGTTTCAGCGGGATCCACCCCCCTGGAAAGCGCTTGAACAACTCTGTGGCTTCATGATGACGGTAGTTGCCAGTACTACGGCATGCGCGCTAATTGGGTTGAGTTGTCCCTTTAGCCTCTGTGATGAGCAATGCAAAACACATTCTCGGGTACACTGATTGTAGTAGTCGCCGCGTACTCATAATGGCGCTCGTCGCCCTTGCTGTTGTGCTTTCCCTTTTCTTGACGAAACGATTGGAGGTATGACTTTCCACCAGATTGACAAACTGCGGCCACCAGCTCACTACTAGTATCCTCCATACACAAAAAGTGTCGAACGGGCCCCTGGATGTTGTCGAGTGCCCCCTGCGGTTGCAGGACTTGTCCATCTTGATGAATGGAAAAGACACGAATACCGCTCTCGGCGCGAGATCCTGGCACTTTAATGTCACCTCGGTTGGATACCAGTAGTGTCGAACCATCATTGGTCACGTACAATTCCGCTGCCAATTGCAACGCAATGCCCACGGGACGACACCAAGGGGTCTTGAAAAAGGCAGGATCCAATGTGGATACTTCTTGGCAGCATGAGATTTTGAAATCAATCGTTCCGAGATCATCTACTAACTTGTAGACTTGTATCCGATTGAGGGATTCGTATAGGACGTAAATGTACTTGCCATTGGGATGAATGGCCGTTTTGCGGGCCCGTCGTTTGCATTTGAGCACGCATTGAGTGATGAGTCTTTGAAAGTACCCGTAAATGGGGACATCGGAATAGCACTTGAATTTGGATTGTGGATTTCGAGAGATGGGTAGTCCCGTCTGTTCATTGACGGTATACGTAAAGATGTAGTCTTGCGAAGGATCCACCGTCACTAGGCACTTTTGGCTGGGAGAATATTGGACGTGATGTAACGATGGTAGGCCTGGAAAGGCATCCTTGGGCTTTGTAATGCGGCGTCGGCCTGGATTCACTTCTGGCGTCTCAATAACCAGAATGGGCTTGGAAGGAAGAGCCTCGGCTCCATTGCTGCAGTCGAAAAAGACGAGCTTTCCATCATTGTGATGCGCCATGACAAAGGTGTTACCATCCGGAGAGAAGGTAGCATGGGCGGCATGTAACCCATGGGTAGACGATGATTCACCCAAGCGAATCAGTTTGCCACTTGGTTTTTGGATTTGAAACGTAGTCACACATGCCTCAGAAGCATTCCAATAAGATGTCAATGCGTAGACGACGGGAAATCTGGGGTGACAGGAGACCCATTCTGTGGAAATCCCATTGTAGACACCTTCTGGGAGTCCAAGAGGATTGGGCGCCACAGGATGGATGGATTGAATCACCTCTCCATCTTTCACCACAAGGAGCTTGTTCGAGTCAGTGCCAAGGTACAAGAGGCCGGTCGATCCAGTGCTCATGGTGTGTATAGGTCTCTTGAAATAACAGGAGACAACAAGAAAGTGAGGTGCTCTTTGTTGGCTTTTCCCTGAGGTGGCAATATTTGTGCGAAGCATGTTAGGGTTAGAACTTTGGAGATGGAAGAGCCAATGACGAATGCTGGCTGAGCTGTTGAATGTTTCCATCATCAGCAGATCGGAGGAGACAATGGCGTTGAGTGAACGCCACATTTCCCAGCGTTTGACGATCGACGATCACCATGAAGTACGGATATAGCCTCGTCGCATCCTTGCTTGTGCTGGGACTCCAACCAAGTGGTGCCTTTACTTCACTGCCTCAAAAGCGTGCTGAAGTCTCCAAGATTGGTCGCATCACTCCATCCATCAGCAGCCCAATAGTCTCCTACAACGACAACAACAAAAGTGCTAGTGGCCTCATTTTGGCGTCTTCAGAAAACAGTAATGAGGCATCGGAATCTTCGTGGGCATTTAATCCACTCTATGCCTCTCTGTGGCTAGGATTCCTCGGCTTTGCTGCCGCGGGACCTGGAGATTTCTTTTCTCCTGCCGACACGGCCATGATTACGTCTTACATTGAAAACCCGTCGGATCCAGGCTTTGCCGAAGGATTCCAGTTGGTGTTTAACTATCTAGGATTGTTGCCCATAATTATTGCCTGCACGGCAGTACCGCAAGCCTCGCAGAGAGGGTTGCCTCCATTGCCATTCTTGGTGGCGAGCTTTGGCGCGGGATACGCAGGCGTCGGTAAGCAAACAAAAACTACTTTCATCTGATGAAATAACTGTGTATTGTATTCGAGCACACTCACTCTCTAATTGCTCTTTGTCGTGTGTGCACAAGGTCCCTACCTATCCTTTCGAGCGCCACCAAGGGAAGAATTCATTCCTTCAGAAGCGGGCTGGTTCACTCGTAATGTCCTGGAAAGCAAACTATTGGGATGGGGGGTGGTAGCTGGAGCTCTGTTCCTCCCAATCTACGTCGGCTTTGCGGATGCCCTGCTGACAGACGCTTCTGCAGCGGTTCAGAGTTATGCGGACTTGTTTAGCGCTTCCAAATTCGTTAGTGCGTCCAGTATGGACCTGCTGATTCTCAATATCGTTGCCGCTACCTTGATTCCTCGCGATCTCAAACTTCGTCTTCCCGACATCGACGAGCAAAAAGCCAGGCTGATTGGTGCATCCACGCTGTTGGTGCCTGTCGTGGGAGCGGCTCTGTACTGCGCCCTGCGACCGGCGTTGCCGGCTAATGAAGACTAATAAATCTTGTCAACTTGACGGCCAAATAGCTCAGATGGATCTATTGCCTCTTCTCACTTCCAACTGTAGTTGTATTCTTGCGCCATGCAACGGGGATCTTGTTCATATCAAGTCCACCGACGACATCGGCCATCTCTTCCGGTAGCCTGGAGCCAAGCAGCTGAGGTGAAGCCTGCCCCAGTATCGTCAAGCATTCTGCAGAAACCAAACCATCCTTTGCACATTTCTCAAACTCATTCAGGAGCAGCGAATCGCGACGTTCACCTCCCTTGCAGTTGAGGGCAATCCCACGAAAGACTAGTGGATAGGTTTTGGGGTTGGGACGAACCTTCGCACGTCGAAGGTGATTCAAAGTTCCAAGAATGCAGTCCAAGGCGGTCTCGCGATCGTCGGATGAAGCTTTCAGACACCCAATCAACACTGTGTTGAAAGGTATGGCGTTTGGCTGGGCAGCCCTGTTTCCAGACTGGTACGATGCCTCCATACGCCGTAGCAGCTGTGACATTCGATCATACTTTTCTGGCTAGAACAGTATGTGCCGTTCATGTGGTTGGTGAGTCGAGTTGACTACGATGGGAGTTGTCGATCATGTATGCATCTTCACTTACCAATCTTGTATAGCCCCAGGCTGTTATGCACGTCGAGTAACTAATCGCATCTGGCCTGCTTATTGACGAAACCGATCGCTCTTCCATTGCCTTGAGCAGCTGTTCACATCGTAAAGCTGAATCTTCCAGAGAGCTCTTTGCTAGAATCTTCATGACGGTGTTGTAAGTGGCAGTCGTTGCTTCCACGACGACATCAGCAATATCTTGTGCCTTTGTCATTCTCTCCAAAAGTTCCAAAGCCAATCTCGGTGCATCTTCTCCCTTGCATTTGGACATGGCGTCCAATGCAATGTTGTACGAGAAAGAGTCCACCAGAGACGCGGTTCGGTCAGCCCTGATTTTCTCCTCCAGGTTGTAAAAGTATTCCAGAGCCTCCACTGGCTTGCCATTCTGTATCATTGCCGTCATGATGCTATTGTGTGTGACTGCATCGGCTGGAATTCCAAGATCCTCCATTTGGTCCAAGAACTTCATTAGTTTGGCGTGCATATTGTTCTCATCCTGCCCGGTTCTAGCAACCGCCATGATGAGAGAGTTGAAGACATGAGTCATTTCCTGTTTGGGCTTGTCGTCGTTGTAGATTGTGCTCATGAGATCGACAACCGCCACAGCCCGATCCGGGCGACCCGTCCGTGACCAAGCCTGAACCACCATGGAGAAGAGAAAAGTGGCATCTCCTCCAGCAAGAAGGTTTAATTCTAGACACTGTCGGAGAATGGCCTCGGACCGTTCAGCGGCATCGGCATGGCCACTCTTGGACCAAGCGGATATGACCGTGCTGTAGCTGATTGTGTTGGGTTTGATGGCATGCTGTATCATCCAATCCAGGACTTCTTCTGTTTCTTGTCCAGCATCACGACCTCCACGTTGTGCAATGGCGTTTAAAAGACCATTGAAAGACACTACCTCTGGCTTTGGCAGCTTGTTGCTGCTGTTTTCTTGCAACATTTGAGTGATAATTTCCTTGGCCTTGTCCACTTTTCCTTCCTTGGCAAGCGCACTAATCACTGTGTTGATACCGTGAAGGGTGGGTCGTAGAAATGGGTTGGTATCGGCTTCCTGGATGATCCCCTGTAACGTTTCGTAAGCCAAGTCGGCTTGTCCGGAACAAAAGTAGTAGTACAAGACGGCATCCATGGCCAGAGAGTCTGGCACCAGCGGTACCACAGGATCGCCCCAGAGCCGTTGCATGGTTTGGACAAGGGGTTCTAGACGAGACTTGGTCTGAAATGTGAGTTGTTGCCTATTTCGTCGTCGTCTCTGCTGCTTTCCATCGTGTTTGCAAAAGTGAAACAGCACCATGGCAAATGCCTCATTGATATTCTTGACATTGTTTTGCAGATTGTGGAGGCAATAGAATCGATTCCTGTCTATTTGTTGCTTCGCTTCGTCGGCATTATTCAATAATTCCCAGAGCAGCCTTTCTGCTTCATCCCACGTCTTTCTGCCTCCGAATGTATCGAGCCATGCTTCAATGGTCTGAACTACCGTAGATGACAACATTAGAAGATATCTATCATATTGGGACAAGAAACCCTCATAGATAGGCCTACGGTATCTATCATTGGCTCAACTCACCAATTGGTACAACTTGGCTCTCAAATCTTCTCGATGGCGATAGTTTGACCTGTTCAGATCAGTCTGGGCATGGGATAGCAGACGATCTGCAAGTGGGCCCTTCTCCGCATGTCGAGGTAGATTGACCATTCGAATGAGCAATTCCTTGACTTGGAGTGCTACCATTCCAGCTGCCTGGTTTGTGGAGGTTCCCTCCAAAATCCTGTTGGCTTCTTGCTCAGCGCGCTTCCATTCTTTCGGACTGTTGGAATGGCGTGGTCGAGACGACACCACCACCTTGGGAGGAAGGGACGGATCGGGTGTGGTGGAAAAGCACTGGAGTGGAAAATCATTATTCTGACTTTTTGGTCTTGGCAATAGCAGTCTCTGGCAATCGAGACTTGAGAAGGGCGCCAATCTTGACTCCGGCAATGTGGTATGGCGGAGGTATTGACGACCCAGACTGTACCATGCTCTCCTCATCCTGGTCAGTGCGTCGAATAATTCAGTCATCGCATCAGCTTCAGCTCTCTAGCTCCTCTCTCCGTTGGGCTCTCGTCATTGATGCCAAATACAAGCCAGTGAGGCGGTTTAACAAAAGGGGGGGAATATAGGTACTCGTATCCTTGGGAAATTACCTCCGAAGCCGAAGGGGGCCAGGCTGGCAAAAATGTCATTGGTTTTGTGGCTTCAGCGGGACAAATTGGGGGGAAAATGCAGAGGCATTTATCTGAGCACAGTGGATCAGTATATGTACTAGTACGGTACCTGGTACTATTAATAGTAAGCACCGTCAGACGAAAAGGATTGATCGTCAACATGCCGGGCAAAATCGAAAATCTTGTGGAGGAAGGATCCTGGGAGGAGATGAGAAAGAGAATCAAGACATTAAATGACAGATATAGAAGCTGGAAGCTTCTGAAGCTTTGTACAGGCAAAGAAACCCCCGACGACATTATCGAAGCATTGCTTTCAAAGACAGAACCTGGCCATGGTTGTGATACAGACAACGGCTTCCGGTATATGTTCGGCAGCATTCGACGAAGTACAATGGGCTTTCATGCTCTATGTCTCCAAGCATGTGCATCTCCCCTTCGGCTGATATTGAAGAGATACTTCCAGACTTCAGGCAAACCAATTTGTTTGAGTGGCAATAGCCCACTTCGTGCGATATGGAGTGGCTTCCACGCTGCCTGTTGGAAGATGGATGACTTGCTCCAAGTTCAATCGATCCATGACCTTAGAAAGTTTTCTAGGGGAAAGCAGGAAGCATCAGACCTAAACAATTTGTGGGAGAAAACGGTACTTCTCATCAGGGCTTCTCAGGAAGATGGCATGAACAAGCCTTTGGAAGAAATCAACATTCTCGGCACACTCATTGAGAAACGTATGTCTAATCTTTGTATTTGGATGGCTCTACGATTGCTGCCATCTTCATGTCTTTCCCATCGAGATAGTCAAGGAAGGATGCCACTGCACTTGGCTGTTCTCAGCCACAAACAGGATTACTACTGGCATAACTGGAGCGGTCTCCCGGCTTGTACCAGAGCTGTTATGGATGAATCAACAGTTTTTGATATGTTGATTAGCGCCTATCCTGACTCTGCCACTGAACCCGACAGTAACGGCTCTCTGCCTCTTCCTCTGCTGCTACGGGAATGCAATCGTTCTTTTGCTGGTCTAACCACGAAGGGTAAGGAGTTTATGATGAGATCTGTTCAGGCTGTTGCCAAACATGCGCCCCAAGTCTTGACCCTACCAAACCGAGACGACAATATGCTCCCTTTTATGTTGGCCGCTCGTTCTAGTCTTGATCTGACATTTGCCATTCTCATTGAGCATCCATCAGTTTTGGCTTGTGGAACCAAGAAGGCCACTGACCGTGAAATCTGGCTTACCCGAAAGTTCAGCAAAGCCCAGACTCAGATTCAAAAGCTTGAGGATGAGAACCGGCAACTCAGAGCTTTGTTGGCTCAGCAGAAGCAACAAGAACCCGCCCCGCCCCTTCCACCGCGAGTAGCCCCTATCAAAATCTACAATCTACCTTCGCTGCAATTCCCTACTCCAAAACGCCGCAATGATATGGTTGCTGCCAGTGACGAGGATGCTCAGGTCTGCAGCGATCGCCCTTCAAAAGCTCGCCGTCTCGAACCTGGCTACTAGTAGCCTAATTGTGTTTGAAGGTGAGTGGTTGGGCACTGGGCGCAGCGAATATACCCGCCTGTAACAGGACAACTAACTTCTCGTGTCGACGAACTAGGTGACACACGCTTATGCCTATGAGAATCCTGCAAGCCCAAGCACTTTGGCCCTCGCATTGTGTGTCACCCCTGATTCACCCACATACACTTCCTATCTTTGCATATTCTTCTCCAAAGCTTGGCCTACAGCCAGCTTTCGTATCCTAGCGAATAGCTCTAGCTAGCTAGGCCCCTCTATAGTAAAAGTTAGTTCACACAATTCGATAAGACGTTGCACTACCCATTACGCCATGTACTAGTGTTGTGCTTGCTTTTGGGACTGCTATGGCTTTGCCGGTCTTCAGTGAGCAGTAATTGGAGTTGGGCTTTTTGTTTCCCGTGGTCAGGGTACCCTTCCAGGAGAGCGACGAAGGGAAGATTGCAGAGGACTGTTATGTAACGTTTTGTAGGAAGGTCATCATGCTAGCTAGATTGTTTATCTTAGGTAATGGAGTTTTCAAGTGTATCTGCAGGAAAGATGTTTTTCGATGTGCAAGATTATCTGTGTGGGTGTGTTTCTTGGTCCGGGCATCGCAAGGATTGCTGGACGGGAAACTATAAAACCAAAAGCTGTAGGGATCGAATGAATCGATTCGATCGGAGGGAACCGCGACCCACGACGTGTTGATCCTCATGTGTACCATACAATCGTGTACATCATCTCTTTTGCGAGCCCGGTTTTCCGTGTTGGTTTGTTTCCGTGTTGGATCGTCAAACTCTTGTGTGATTTCCCTGGCAGCGACGCCCCTTGTGCTATCCCCTTGTCGGTGTTCTTTCTTTTCTCAGTTGGTTGGTTCACTTCGCTTGCTTCACTCACTTGTGTTTGTAGTAGACATAGATTCCCGACAACATGGTAAGGAATCCACCGAGAATAAAGAAGGAATCGGGCATGATCCATTCTTCTCCGAGATTTTCATCTCCCACGGCATAAAACAAGACCAAACCGAGTACCCATACGAGCAATGTTCTACAATTCTTCCACATGTTTCTCGTCATGGAACTGGTGACTCCGGTGGTCATAATGTTGAAAATCCCAGTGACGGTAAACACGGTCGTGAGGAGGAACAGGTAGACCATGGTCCAAGGAGATTGTTGCATCGACACTAGTGTCTCCATGGGCGGCGTTGGCGCGTACTGCAAGTAGAGTGGAATGCCAAAGAGCAATCCAAAGAGTCCTTCCATGCCCAACAAGAGTGTGGCGGGAAAGTCTGTTTCTTGCAAGAACAATTCTTCGGCCATGTCTTGTCCCACAGCCGTGATGCACTGTCCGACAATGAGAAGCGCTCCAATGGTTTGATCCCGTTGCAACTGTTCCGGAGACGCCGACGACACTCCTGCTGATTGTTGATCCTTTTCCAAAATGACATCGGCGGCATGCACGAGCCACAATCCGACAGCGACAATGGCCACTCCCGCCCACCGCCACGGATGAATGTGTCGTTTCCGGACCATGCGTGCCACAACGACACTGAGTACCAGTTCGAGTCCACTCATGAGCATTTCGGCAATGCTGGCGGCGCAGTAGATGAAGGAAGCCCATTTCAAGGCGGCATTTGCTAAATTGAAGAGACCGGGAATGAGAGGTTTGAGTTGCCACGGAATGCAATGGACCCATGCAACGGCCTGGTGGGATTCCGCGGTAAGACCCGTTTGGGAGCCTTGGCGTTGCAGCGAAGGACGTTTGCTGGTGGTAGATTGTCGTTGTGATTGGTCTTCGTTCTCACTGCTGCTAGAAGATGCGTCTTCTTCTTCGACCGTGATGGAACAGCAAGTGTCATCTTCATGTTCTTGTATTTGCTTTTCAATATCTCCGTCTTCTTCTTGGATACTGAGGCGGGCATATTCGCGCTTGGGAGTGTTGTTATTATTATCTCCTTGGCTGCCTCGTCGACAGTACTTGGAAAATGCGTAGACCAGAAGAGCCATGGATTGCCCCGCGAGATAAAAGAGTGCTACCAAGAGAGGATGGTCAAATCCTAATTGATATAGAACCTTGACACCCACACTGCGAGCCGTGCCCGAAATGATCATGCCCAGAATGATCAACGACGTCTGAAGAGAGTACATGGTTAGTTGCCGTTGCTGTTCTTGCTGTCAAAGGGAAAATTGTCGAGTTGGTTGCTTGGTTGGGTTGCTTGGTTGGAGTTGATGTGGTTTTGTGATCGATATTCTCTGATCGCCTTCCTCAAATGGTGCCAGCAAGAGATAACAAGGACCACACCGTGACCAGTGACAAAGGTTGGAGAATGAAGCAAGATCCGCCAGCAACACTCTGGCAACACAAGCTCCCCACGAGCTAACCACGAGCCTTGGTTGTTATTACCAGCGTTGACCTCCTCTCAGTTGTTTCGTGCAGTTTGCGGAAGCAGTCTTGTGGCCGTGTGGTCGTGATGTCCGAAGGCAAGCTTTTTATTCTTTGAAAAGACTCATTCAGAAGTTGAAAAGACACTTCCATCATTCATGCGAGAGATCTTTGATGGTCACTCGACTAACTCGACTCACTCGTCATCCAGGAAGCGACAAAACCAAAGCGACAGAAGATGATAAGGTCGCCCCTCGCCGGTGGTGCGGTACCTTTAGTTAGGTTCAGGCTGGCTAGCTAGCGAGGCTGAATGGCTTTGAAGGCTGTGGTTCGATCTCTCTACATACCTGCCTACCTGATGGAGCTGGTAGCCACCTGGTGAGAGCAACGAAGAAAGTGTGAACGACTGATGGCGGGAATTCGTCGACGCGCAGCACCAAGCGTGAAGGCAACTGTGAATGGGATTTGATTTCCCTCTCAAGAGGGTTGCGCTCGAGGAAAACGAGAAGGGCAATCGTATTCGTGTAGCATTGGTAGGTAACCTACAGGCAGCTGCAAAAAGAGGAAAGATCCAAACCAAACGAGCAGCTTCATTTCCAATCTCTCATAACTTGCAACTTGGCCACTTCGAAAAGCTGCAAGGGTCTCTTTCTTGCGATCTCTCCTTGGTAGATTGCTCGATGGAGACACCAGGAGGTTTTTTCGGAGTGGCCAAACGACAGCCCCAAAAACATCGACCATGGCGTTCATCCTTCCCTTGGCCGCCGCGAGAAACTAAAATCACTGGATACAACCCTCTCCAGCTCGTTGGCCGAAACAACCATCGACCATGACCATGCCGTTCATCCTCTTTTGAGCCACGGTGAATGGCAGCAAGTGCTCTCTCGAGCGAACGTCGTTCCATCACTTTCGTGAGTGATCGTGCTTCGATTGCTTGTCGGAGTCTCTTTGCTTTCATGCACCGTGTCAGCTTTTGGCAATGTCGAGGAACGCAAGGTCTCTCTCTTGTGGTCATCTTGGATCACGCGATGGATTCCCTTTGGTGGTCAATCATATCTAAACTTGACCACTGGGAGTCTCTTTCGCCTGCTCTCTTGCGCGATCCCTTCGATCGCCCGTTTGAGTCCGCGAAGAATGGCGTTTCCGTGGTCAAATCATATCTATCAACCTTGGCAATGCCTGGTCAACAGCGGAGTGCATCTGTCGACATCGCGAAGCCGTAAGGCCTCTTTCGTTTGATCGCTCCTTGGATCACTCGTTGGGGGCCCTTGTTCACATTGGCTTGCCCGGAGATGGACATCAAGGTTTTTCTCTTTGGATCAGCTTGGATCAATCGATATTTCGTTGTGGCCAATCTTCCGCAATGGGATGTTTTGGCCACAGTCATCTTTGCATATCCATATGATCCCTCCTTGGATCACTCGTTGGGACGCTGTGTAGACATGGCAGTGGCCAACTTACGAACAAACCATGGTGCTCTCCACACATACTCCTGGCCACGATGGCTTCTTCATGGCCTCTTTTCGTTTGATCGCTCCTTGGATCACTTGTTGGGAGCCATGTGGATATGTCCGTGGCCAACTCTACCAACCATGGCGCAGTACTAGTACATTCAGTTCACTGTGGCCAACTCTACCAACCATGGCGCTGTACATTCATCGTCTTGGCCACAAGGGGGGCCACTGGGTTCTTTCCCTTGATCACGTCTTGGATCATTCGATGGAGCCCCGCGGCTTGCCTCGTGTTCATGGCGCTGCTGCAGCCCTCAAGTTTTGGAGGTCGCTCTCTTCGGGTTTTTTCATTATTTTGCTGCCTCGAACGACACATCCGTCGAGCAGCGCGATGACTGAGGAAACAGAAGAAGGTGTCCGCATGAGGTTGAACTCAGCACTGGTGCATCCTTTTCTTTGTGTCTCTGCCACCCAGCTCAACTAAGCTGTGCGGTCTGTGTGACTCCGAGGCAACGGCTGGCTCCAGTGCAAGTTGGACGCAAATCATCTCTGTGATAGCTGGTCTGGAGCGAAACATCGCGGCCACGGCGCTCGACGACAATGGCAGTCATTGGCCATTATAACTGTGTTTCCTCCTCTGGCAATAAATCGAATCTATCTTGGACTTGGTACCAGCCTGGCTCTCTAGTGTCAGCATGTACCGGTACAGTACAGTACAGGTTCGGTTCATTGCTATCCTACACCGACCATGAAGAACATCCGTTTTTAGTGGCAATGGCATCGGCTTCCTCGGTACAGCCTCCCTTTGACAAAACACAACAGTAGGCTCTACAGGAGGAAAACGACGGTCCTTGCCAAACGAAAGAATGAAATTGCGACCACGGTAGACCGTACCAGTATCGATTGCTTCACACGCCCTCGTTGTGCAAAATTATGGCCACAGTGATGTCTGCATGGCCTCTCGACTCGACTCAGTCAGCTGATGTATCTCCACCTATATAGCGCAAATAGTTTAAGTAGAAAAGATCCGATCACTCCTTGAAGGTCGTGCCATGCTGTGTCGAGCTAGGTAGTGCTCGGTGTAAGAATCGTTGATTATGGACATGCAGCAACGATCTTTTAGGATTGATCCAGCGAGACCCACCACGGGCCAAAAACACGACTGAGGCAAAGATTTGCCACCCAACAAATCACACAAACCGAAGAGAAAACCCAACAAAAGCAAACGATGCCACCCACACCACTTCCACATGACGCTTTGCTGGCCATTCAGCAGCTCCTAGCGGACAAACAATTTGCTAGGGTCGAGACTACAGTGCGAGCTTTGCTGGAAACGTATCCGAATGACTTGAATCTGCTTTCGTACTTGGATCAAGCGCTCTACGGACTCCAGAAACCTCCCGAGGAACTGGACGAACTCAAGACGCAGATTGTCAAGGCGTGGACGGATGGCTACCGTTCGCTGTGGGAATCTCAAGGCCGACCCAAGAAGTTGTCGTCTTGGGCTCGAGCCCAAGGCGAAAGCGAGAAGTACTCGCAGATTATCGTGAACGAGTACTACATCCCAGAAGATAGTGGTGGTATCATTGCCTATTTCAAGGTCCTGGCGTATCCCAAATCAGACGGCAACAAACAACGACAACCGCTCCCCCGCTTGTTCAAAGTGGAAACGTCGGCTATTGCTCTTGAGCTTGGTGGCAGCCGTCCTTATGTGCTGCGTGAGTATTTCGTCACGGGCGGTGGGGGCACCACGAGTTACAGCTTTTCCAAAGAAGAGCTGCGTTGTGAAAAGATCATGTCGGATGCCGTTGCGTTCTTGGACTCGAATTGGACTCATGTCGCTACCATCATCCCCATGACTGCTCCTATTGGGCCTGCAAATGTAAGCAATGACGGCTGCTTCTCAAGCTTTATGAAGCACTGTGGATTGAACAAATAAATACTAAAGATAGATCGTGAAGCTTGAAGCCATGCTTGACCATAGCTATCGATACCATAGCCTCCCTAACAGAGGGGTGGAGCCTGACCATAGCAAGAGCAGCTGCAACAGCTATTCATAATTCGTTCGCACCCACGGTGACCGGATGGCCCAAATCCGTTGGCTAAGAGCGTGGTCTAAGTGACAAGACCGTTATTTGAGAGGCAACAGACAAATTTGGCTATGTCTTTAGCTACCGATAACAATCTCACGGTTTTGGAAGCAAATGCCAGACTTCCCGAGTTGGGCCTTTTTCCGTCGTCATCTGGCACTCGGTCACACCTCTTACCAGCGCAAGAGACAACAGAAGAGAAACTCCGCACACAACATCAATCCGATCAAGTCCACTCTGGGCACCATGATGAATGATATCAATATCTACGCTGCTGCTGCGCTGCAGGAGCAGCAGCGGCACTCGGATAGTAGCCAGCTTCGATATACGGATCAGGAAATCTTTGATCTGCTTGACTTTTGCAATCGAGCTCGAGGGCCAGAGGATCCCTTGTGGCGACGGGTACTGCAAGAACTCAAGCTGTTGGAGACCAAGAAGGTCCATCTCTTTGCGACCCACAAGGACGAGCATCATCACCACCGGACACCTCTTCACCAGGCGTGTGCGCACGATGCTCCGGTCGAATTGGCATCAGCTCTGTTGGACATTGCACCCGATACGGCCAATTGGGAAGACGCCGCGGGAATGCGTCCACTGCATTTGGCCTGCCAGGCAGGGGTATCGCTCAAATTGGCCGAAACGATTGCCGAAGCGTCCTCCAACCCCAAATACTTCACCGCACAAGACAAGCATGGACGAACGCCGCTCCATGTCGTCATGGATAATGCCAGCAAAAAGGAATCCGTCGCCATGGTACGGCTCTTGCTCAATGGGAGTCGTGCGCCCAAGAAATACAAAGATCGGCGCTTGAGATATCCACTCTCTTGTTTGGTGGATGTCGATATCGCATTGAGCAGGGCATCTGTAGAACAGACCAATGTCAAGGAGAGACAACAAAATGTTTTAAATTGCTTTGATGCCTACATCGAATATATTAGTCTTCTGGACTATTATTCCCACGACGATCCTGACCGACGGTTCTTTTTAATCATGGGGTATCTCCCCGATTGGATTCTACATCACGCGGCTATATCATCGTCGGTACAACTATTGGTCAACAAAAAAGTTTGCAACATTGTCACGGTCGCTAGTACATCCATCCATTTTGCCTGCTTGGTATCCATTCTCATTGGTCTCCAAGTGATTTGGTCGTCCCGTGATGAACACTCCAAACTGGCGGGAGCCTACACGGCCTACGTTGGTGCCTCCGTCATTATTTTATCCAAGGTTGCGCGGTTGGCCGTGCGCATTTCCAAGGGCAAAGCAACTACCTACGTCCTCCGTCACCCCTCCGATGTCGCCGACTTTGTCATGGGCATCCTGGTTTACGTCATTTCACTTCGCCTCGCATTTGATGTGCTACCCGACTCGGAAAGCGTACCCTATCTGTGGAGCGTGGCTTCGGTGGTTTGCGTGGGATTGGCATGGTGTAGTGTGGTCAATTTCTTTCGATTTGTCTCGGTCGAGTAAGTCCGGACTGCACAATCTATCACAGAATCGTGTGCATTCATTGGATACAGTCAGTCTCACCATGGTTTCCTCTTGTATTTGTAGCTTTGCCGAGTTGATGGATGGTATCCTGTCAACACTGCGGAAAACCGTCATTTTCATGATTGCATTTACGATTGTACTCTTGGGCTCGGCACAGGGGATGATGATTGCCACGGTAGATTCGGAAGAATGCATCGACGGAGAGAATGACTTTTGTACCCTCTCGGGGGCCATGATGAAAACGTACACCATGAGTGTCGGTGAAGTCAATGTCGACGATATCTCCCAACTGTGGCTGGCTAGAACATTGTTTGTGATCTTTATCTACGGTGTTGTGGTCCTCATCGCTAACGTTTTGGCATTTATCATTGGGAACGATATCTGGCGAAAGCAGTTCAGTGAGCGGGACTTTTGGTACAACCGGATCCAAGTCCTTGCGGACTGGGCCAGCATTGACCGATTCGATATGCAATTGGAGTCGCGTATGAGCAGCGGCTTGAAGTCTAGGTGGAGAAAGTTTGCCTCCATTTTCGAGGACAAAAACTTGAACATGTGGAACTGGGACTTTTGGAAAATTCTGTCGTTGCGAGTATTGGCTTTGGTTGCCATGTGCTTTTGGGTCATCGCAGGCTTTCTCAGTTTTGGAGTGCTGTGGCCGCCGCAAGTACGAGAATATGTCTTTTGGGTGAACGTCAAACTACCCGATACCAAGACCCAACCCAAGGAAACTCCAAAACCAAAGAGGGGCGCCACAACTAAGAAGATTACGCCCAAGAGTACTCAGTTTGTGGAAGCCATGTCAGGGAAAAAGTTTGAAGGCTACGAAACAATGAAAAAAGACATTAAGAAGCTGGAAGACAAGCTCGATCATCTCCTAGCATTTTTGGAGAAGAACAAGTCATCGCTGGTGTCGACAGATTCGTCGCTTGGTAGCAACAGCTTCTAGCTGCTGCATACCGGGAACATATTATGTGCTGGCATAGGGAAGGTGCAACACGGTTCGGGCGGAGAACCATGTTGCAAATTACACGGGAAAACGGAGGAGAGGACGGTTGCTCTGATTGCAAGCACCCACAACGCTGCCTGATTCGATTCCGTTACATACGGTGCATTCTTGTATCACTAATGAAACATAGTCTAATTGTATGAGCTACTTATTGATGGAAAACTACTGGCTTTGGGACCTCCCGCAACAAAGAAGCACATATAATAATATCAGTGTTACGTCTTGAAGACTCCAAAGTCAAACCGCAGGTACTAGTAGTTTGCACCTTCTCGTTGGCAGATCCTGGCAGTACTGTACCGGTCCTTCGCTCTTCGTGAGACGGCTGCTCCAGTGGAAGTGGAAGACTTTGGCTAGCTAGTTCGCTTTCAGGTTGATCGGCATAGGAATGTTGAATCCTTCTTCTTCCTCATCCATATCTTGCGAGTCGTCCACCTCTTGCGATTGGGTTTTGGACTTGGTGGACACGGGATCTCGTACCGACGCCCGGAGCATATCCTCGACTCCTTGGGGGTTATTCAAGAGTCCTTCCTTGGCCATTTTGCGCTCCAGTTCTCGTAGTGCTTGCCGTCTCTTGCTCAGGTACGAGAGGCCCACAAGACTCATAGTCGTGAAGATAAACATGAGAATGCCCACAATCCGCAGCGGATGCCAAAATGGCGGATCAATCGGTTCCGTAATGCCGTATTCGTCCGAATACCGATCGTCATCGTATCCATCATCCTCCCCGTCAGCAATTTCCACCACCTGAACCGAAGAGGAAGACGAATCGGTGGCAGTGGTGGTGACCGTCGGCGGAATCACATCGGCAGGATCATTGCTAAATGTCACCGCGGGTCCGGCTTGTGCATTGCCCGATACTGTCGCGCTGCCATCCGAAGGATCGGTTGCCTGTGCCAGTCCCAACCACTCGAGCTTGGGTTCAAATGTCTGTACTTCTTCTCCATACACACTCGCCAAGACAACGCCCAAATCTTCTTGTCCCAGCGTGCCCATGTTGGCGACAATGAGTTGATCGTACGATTGTTCTCGAATACTAACTTGCAGTGCCAATTCCAAAATCCCCTGCATGGCCTGAACACCAGCCCTGTAAATTTGTTCTTGCGTCAAGGAGCCTACATCCTCGCCCGCGTTTTCAAGCCCTTGCAATATGTAGGAAGTGCCGAGACGCATGACATCCCAAGTGATGCGCCAAGTGGTCCATTGCAAATCTTCCTGCGATTGGTCAATGACAACCGTGTTGGGCGGTTGAAAGAGAATGGATCCTTCCGTGACTTGTCGGAATTGATTGTTGCTATTGTGCAGCTCGGTATCGACGACACAGAGTTCTCGATCTTCTTCATCGGGATTGCTCTCTTTATCAAAGAGTGTCATGAATTCCAGATGTGCTTGATTGGCTTCCTCGGCGGTATCTTCTTGACAAATAAGGCTGTGGAGTGATTTCAATACCGCCTGTTCTACGGCACCGCCCGAGACTTGGGAAGCGGATGAACGATCTTGAAACCACAGGGAGAGACGGAGTGTGATTTCGGTGCCCCCAAAGTACTGAATCTCCTTGAGATCGTCCATGGACAAGGAGATGCTACTCGACTCGACTTCCCGCGGCGACACCGTAGGGAGATCTACAGGAGCATCCGTGGGAGGTAGTGTCGGATGTGGAGTGACAGGAGATAATGTGGGGTACTCTGTAGGTTGTTGCGTAGGGTGTTCTGTGGGCTTTAGAGTGGGAGCTCTTGTATTGACAGTAGCTACATTGCTGTTCTTGTCGTTGTCCTTGTCGTTATTATTCTTGTCGTTGTTTTTGTTGTTGTTTTGCAAGTTTCGTTCTTCTTGCAGTTGTTGTTGACGACGAGCTTCTCTCTGCGAACTGGATATCACCGTCTTGAGCTTGGCACTCTCCACTGACGATATTAGTATTGAGAAGCTCAGCAGTGAAAGAAGCAGTTGGCTGCGAGAGATCATCTTGATGGGTATAATGATAATGAAGGTAGAATGGTATTAGGCAGGTGAGGTATCAAAGGAAAGATACTAGTAGTAGAGCTCCGTTGTGGATCGAATCAACTCGCAGCTGGACAAAGACGGCAGGTTGAAGGATTGAACAGCTTGATGTGGCTGTTGCTCTCTTGCTTGTAACAGTGGCGGTGAACACACGGGAGGCTTCTCGTGCTACACGATTTTGTGCGAAGTTAGCATGTGGATGCAGTCAAGGAGGCACGGGGCTCTCACAAATTGTTGGAGGTTCTCATCCGATGGCACGCTCTCTCTTGTACTTAACCAAATTTCAAAAGCACCGCCAAATTTATGTAGAACATCGTAGAAACCCTTCAAATATTTCAAGGACAGCTGCACGTTATTCAAGGATTTAGTGCTTATCTGAAGCAAGAACGACTATGCCGCGATTAAAAAATATCTTTCGCATCATTACATCCATGTATTGGCTACTGGCACTCTCATCAGACCACATGCCACCATGGGGGGGACGGTGTCTGCGGTCTACGGTGCTGCTGATACCTTGACACAGCTTGATTAGTATCGTTGGCCTTTGAGCACAGTTTCACCAACCATGACACTCTCCATCTCCTCATCGTCTTCCGTGGAAGATCTCAAGCAGGAAATGCTTCGCAGAATGCAGAATCCCGACGCAAAAGCTTTGCCCCGAAGAAGTTAGACTACACTCTATCATGTGGTGAAGATCTTCATTCTTCCGGCAACCGCCCAACGTAAATGTAACCATGTCGAACTGAAAACTACGGAAGAATATCAGATTCGATTCGATTCCCGCCCAATTCTGATCTAAATATTGGGGAGAGTTTTTACTCCACCTTGTGGAAACCCTCCATAAAGCTGTCACTGTTGAGCTCGAGAAAGGCCGACGAGTCCTTGTTGGCGACAAGAACTTGATCCTCAACAGTATCATTGGTGGCAATGACAATCTGCTTAAGAGTGCTCCCAAGTAACTCGAAGAATACGATGATTTGAACGCCACACTTCAATGCAAGTTGAGTGAAGCAGTCTGCCGAGTCGCTGTTGAGAAGGGCACCAGGCTAGATGACTGACTAAAGATTTGTCTTGTCCATGGCTCCTTAATCTACCAATTTCGATTTCATTCGAAGGTTGCAATGAGTTCCTATGCGAAGCTTAGCATTCATGAATTCAGTGCCCGCCTCACTGACCCAGTTGGACCTGAACATTGGCGGGATCGGTTTCCGTGTCTCGGATGTGGTTGCGACGGGGCATGGTAAACTGCAGAAACCTCCCTCGTTTGAAACGAAGCTTCTCAAGCTGCAATGGTGTGTTCACGGCCAATAGATTTGGTGGATGTCCTTGGGTGGACCATTCGGGTGCTTCCAGACTGCCCGCCGAGGATTCTGATTCCGCTGGATCTTCCAAAACGAAAATCGAGATGCCCACATCTTCTGGACAAGTATATGCTCCGTTTATGTTGAGGGATCCCAACGATGCCTTGACCTACTGGTATGTTGTGGCGTATGTCTCCCTGCTTACTGTGCTTGCAACCGAAATAGATGGTATGGGACTCGACTGAGACTCGTCACTCGACTTGACGCTGACTGGACTGCCACTCAAATATCTTTACTTCCACTAGGGCTGGGGTTGACACCCACTAAAATGACAAGCGCGAGAATGAAGTGTTTCTTCCGACAATGACGTCATTTACATTATTTAATACTGTTGCCGTTACAGTGGAATGTTTTGTCTGACTCAGTCAACAAAAGTGCTCAATTCCAATTCGAAGAACGCATCAAGGCATCATTTGACCGCATCGCACTCCGTCGCTCTTTCTGTTGGTTTCGATAGAATTTCCAAAGTGCGTCTTTGTGCGCAGATTGCCATCTCAAGCCAACCTATTGCCCCCATCAACAATCGCCATCAGTCATTGCTTCCGTTTGATTTGCGCCACTGCTCAAAATCTTGGATCCCATTTGTTTCGAAGAAACACTGCCGCCATGAGATTCGTCTTTTTCGCCGCCGCTTTCCCGGTTGCCGCCGCCGCCCTTGCGTCGTCTGACTACCTGTCCCAGCTCAACACGGGAACCTATGAAGGTATCAATGGACGGACTCACACTCCTGGATTTTTCCCGGACCCAGCCGAAACTCCGTCGAGTGTTTACTCGGGCACTCCTCCGTCCGCCAGAGAGATTCCTGATGGTCACGTCTCCATGTTGAATCGGGGCACCTACGAGGGTATCAATGGAAGAGGCGCTAGAGGAGCTGCTTTTTTCGCTGATCCAGCGGAAACCCCCAAGAGCCAATATGTTCGTGCTCCTCCATCTGCGAGGGAGATCCCAGAAGGGACTGTTTCCATGCTCAACAAGGGTACCTATGAACGCATTAATGGTAGAGCCAGCGCCCCGGGGTTCTTTGCCGATCCAGCGGAAACCCCCAAGAGCCAATACGTTCGTGCTCCGCCATCTGCGAGGGAGATCCCGGAAGGGTATGTGTCCATGCTCAACAAGGGTACCTATGAAGGCATTAATGGTAGGGGCGCCGGAGCAGCGTTCTTTGCCGATCCTGCCGAAACTCCCAAAAGTGTATTTGCTCCCAAGGCCCCCGTTGCCAGAGAAGTCCCAGAAGGTCAAGTTTCTCAGCTCAACAGGGGCACCTACGAGGGTATTAACAGCCACCAAACAGCTAAGCTGACCAGTTTGTACGGATGTCCCACCCGGGGCAACACGTACGCCGTGGCACGGGGTGCGATCCCCCCTCCTGTGTAGGCGAAACTCCATCGAGCCAGTAAAACAATCTGTTGGCGGCCAGCGTTTCGTTCAACGGCGCTTGTATTTCATTTTCCATGATAAATCACAACGCACACAGGCCTCCACTAATTGATTTTCTGCAGGTGACAAACGAGGGCGAAAAGCAGACTATTAATAGGTAGAATCTAATGTATACTTTAAGAAAATATCGAAAACCAAAGGGGCATGTACGGGATAGTCGGTGACCTCAAGAAGAGTCACGGCCTCGAATGGATCAGAACATATGCGTCCTACCGTTGATTTACCAACGTGAGAGAAATGTGAATGGGCGACCTATCTCAACTGAGTTCCAAAATGAACCCTGCAACTGTAGACCAGGCCCAAAAAAGGAAACAACGACGAATGCCTATACGGTAACTGCTGCGTCAAGTGCGTCAACACTAGAATGAATACATTGGGGCAACCCAACAAACCTCAAAAGCTGACTAGCTAGGCGGCCACTTTGTCGAAGTCAAAAGACTTCGAACCAAAGGTAGGAAATCAGCCAGACTCCTACACCGAACACCTCAACCGAGTCTTCAGAAACTTTGAAGCCAAAGACATCACTCGCAACCTTCAACAGAACAGCATCAAAGTGAGCATTCTACGGAAGGCAACCCAATCAGCGCCCTCTAGACCTTCAAGACGCGGCAGCCACTGTAGCATATGCAAATATCTAGGGAGCGACTTGAAATCCTGAAACGATCTTGGGGGATGAAAAAGTCAAACAACCGAAAAGTGACCACAGTAAAGCCTGTGTTTTAGCCATTGGGCAGTCGTATCTTGTACTCAGCCCAGTCACTTTTTGCTACACTGGTATAAAATGTAGGCATGGTTCGAGAAACTGTTCGAGATTGGGAAGTTGAACTGCTACTTGTGATTAGTTGATACTCATAGCTAAGTTAGATGCTGTGTTAGTTTTGAAAGTCAATGATGCAACGGAGAAGATTGAATAGAAAATAAGTGCAAATAGAGAATATAGATGTATCTCTCTTTACTTCTGATTTGAACTCAAAAGGAGTGCCACAATGAGCCCATACAATCCAATGGCTTCCAAAAAGACCAACACGCACAAGAATCGCCACCCCACAATCAAGGGTTTGCTGAAATCAGACGAGATCAAACCATCTGTGAGACCACCATCGGTGTTGTTTTCGCTTGGACGACGTTCCTGTTTGGCGTAATGAAGCTTCATGTAGCCGGCCGTGTACTTGGCAATTCCCATTCCTGACGCCAAGCAAGTCAATCCAACCGCCAAACCAGCGGCAAAGTTGCGGAATCCCTGTGCTTCGGTCATGTCGTCGTTCATGATATTGTGGCTGACAATGACACCAATGATGCAACCGTAAATGGCCAGGACACCGCTAATGATGACGGGGGCCCACGCCGTGAAGCCCACGGCGTGCTGGGCCATGAGACCGGCTGGAACAGACGCCATGCTGGATCCAGCAGCGGAAAGGAACATTGCCAAAGAGGCGCCAAGTCCGGAGAGCAAGTGAGGATTGGTCATGATTGAATGGATTGAGAGAAGGGAGAGTGGAAAGAGGATGTTTTCTTTCGTCTCTTGGTGGTTTTGTGAGAGTCTTCGATTGATGTTGTGTTCTTGATTGTTGAGTCGAGTGCGAAACTGGTGGGAAAGGAAGATACACGAATGATATCTTTTTGAAATAAGTCGTGTAACCTGATCCCTCAACTTGATGACTCAGGTTCGGGATACCGGTAGGTCTGGCCTTCCAAGCTGTGCCACAAAGCTTTCTTGCTTGGTTGGCCTCTTGTTGGATCCAAGGTGGTGGTATCGCTCGGATAATTCAAAGAGCACAAGTTAGATCTAGCCGAAGAATCTCAGTCATCTCCGAAGGCAGAAACAAAAGCTGTTGGCATTTGTTGAGTTGTGCCATCATCATCGTCTTTTCCTGAATACCCCTCTATTTCAGTGGAAGCACTAAGTTTTATTCATTAGAGTGACAATGTTTGGATGGGGCAATAAAGGACCGACTCCCGCTCAGCGGCACATGAACGATGTGTTGACGAATGAAGGCCTACACGTTCTGAGTACCTTTGAGCTAAATCGTATTGCTTCCTTGACATACGGTGATGAAGTCTGCGAAGAAATCTTTGAAATGCTCGAACAAATCCAATCCAAGCCCATGGAATACTCCCCCTTGACGGTTCAGAAATCACTGGTCGTGACCAAGCACGTTCTCGTGTACGGGTCGGAGAAATGCGTCAATTCGTCGATTGCCCTGCAACGAAGCGTGGAAGCACTGCTGGAATTTAATACAGTCTTGTGGGCACAAAAACTACAAGGAGCTGCAGCTTTCATGTACAAACTCAAAGGTGGTGGTGTGGATCAGGTGTGTGTGTGTGTGACATTATTATTTTGATTGAGGGAATGGAAATGATGTTACCATTGGAAAATTTTGTATCACGCTGACCTTGGGTAATCTCTTTATCTTTTCTTTGTATGCAACTAATTTTGTTTTTTAAGGGATATCCCGTGCGAGAAGCTGCCAAAGAAGTATGGCCACTCCTGATTGATGTCATGAAATTGCGAGAATTGAGAAATTCCAGTGCGGATCCCAACTCTTTGGTGCCAGTAGGAAGCCAAAAAGTTGGATTTCTTTCGGATGAAGTGCGCCATTTCATGTTAAGAAAGAAGATACAGGAGCAGGCTGGTAAGAAAGAAAAAGAGATTGTGTCACCGAGAAATTTTGGTGGTTCTTCTCATGGAGTTTCAATTTTTTCCTTCATTTTGCCAGCCTCGCAGGTCAAAAGTAATCTAGTCAAAGCAGAAGGTGGATTTGGAAGTGGTTATGCCTCCAAAGACGGAAAAATGATTGTCGGGGCGGCACATGGCCTAGACGAAATGATGAAACAAGCCCAACGAGCCAATAAACGTTTTTCGGACGAAGGAGAAATACTTCCATACGAAATGCCCACTTATGCAGATCCAGCTTCCATGAGAAAACCAGGAGCAGGGCCACGAACCACCAAGGCCAGCAACAGCAACAATAAAAGCCCGCAGGCAAAAAAGCAACAACAACAGCAGCAGCAAACCCCAGTCGGTGATTTGTTGGATTTTTCAGCAGGTATGAGTGGTGGCACTACAACCGGTGATCTACTGGGGACTGGCGGCACCAGCGCTGATTTAATGGGAGGTGCCGATCTTTTAGGAACCGGTGGTGGAGCAGATCTGCTCGGGACCGGCGGTGGCGCAAGTGCTGATCTTTTGGGAACTAGCGGTGCAGATCCATTTGGTGGTGGTGGCACTGCGGACCTCTTAGGAACGGCACCGGCTTCTGCAGCAGCATCAGATACCCTTAGTATATTGCTAGACCCTATGGCGGCAGCAACGTCACAAACCAGCAACAATACACAGTCTTCTGGTTTACCAGATCTATCCCTGTTGAGTTTATCTCAGAACGGAACAAGCGGCACCTCGACAACGACAACACAAGTCCACGACCCATTTAGCGCTGCAGCTGCAACCACGGCGGCTGCAGCAGAGGAAGACGGGACCATACCTTCCATCTCCATTACGAGTCCTCCCATGGGTGATGTATCACCGTCAGCTATGAATATCATGGGATCTGCTTCAGTCGATGATGACCCGTTTGCGGCGCTGGAAGTCCCTGCTGCCAAGACATCATCAACAATGCTGTCGGCAAAAGAAGCAGAAAACAGACTATTGGGCGGTGGCACCATCGCAGCTTCAAGCCCTTCAGAACCCATTTCATCGTCGGCAACGAATGTCGATGGAATAGGATCGCTTTACGGTGGCATGTCCCCAAGCATTGGTCTTGGCAGTGACGCTCCTTCCATGGGATTGAGCATGGCAACGCCAGGAATAAGTCCAGACGCAACAACTCCAGCGATGGGAGCAGGCGTTTCGGCTCCAGGCCTAGGTTTAGAAGCGACCATGACAAGTCCAGGCATGGGTCTTGGAGGATTGTCAGGAACTAGTACCGGAATGGGTGTTCCTGGAGATTTGCCAGGAATGAGTGAGTTGCCGGGTATGGGAGCCATTCCTGACCCGATGGCGCCATCTGGAATGGGTGGTTCTGGCCTGAAAGTAGCGCAAACAGTGACCAGCCTCGATCTATCATCATCATACCACAACAATGCTCCCATCGGAGACGACGATGAAGACGGATTTGTGATGGGTGGGACGTTTGGAACTGGCTTGGACCCTACGGCAGCCGCACCGGCAGCTCCACCGCCGCCGCCACCTCCACCAATGTAGTTGTGAACCATTCGGCTGAAGCCAAACAAAGCGCACAGTTTGCTCTATCATTCTAGGTCTTTTGCTACTCTTTTCGAGCTTTGAAAATTCTACTTTAGGTGCCACTCTGCAATGTATATTTGGAGCGCTTGCGCAGGAAAACCCTGAACATGACGAGTAGGCGGCCTGCCAGAAGTGCACCACCAAAACGTGGATTTTCCTTGTGGGAAAAGATGGGCTAGTGGCTGCTAACTTACTTGGAAAAAATAGGTGACAATGAGTTGCCCATATCACAAAGTCCAATGAACAGAATCACTACTTGACAATATGCTTTGCATACATACAATAAACTTCTACTCATAAAGAAATAATCAGTAGTTCGTTTCATGCTGTGTCCCAAGTTACTCCGTAGGAACGTAGGAACCGATGAACTCTCTCTCTCGAAACTTTCATCGAAGCACCAATATCAAGAAAACTGCAACACAAAACCAGTACCAGAGGTCGTCTTCGTACCAAAGGAAGAAGTGTCGAATACGATTCATCACTTCAACCAAAGAATGCCAATGCTTGGAGCAGCAGAGCGGGCAGTGGACCCAGGGACCACCTGAATAGCATCTTCTTGCACAGGACAGCATTTTCGTTGTTTTCCTAATTGCTTTTGTCTTCCAACGTTTTGCATTTCGCACAAACTTGCGCGCAAACTTCGACAAGGACAGATGCAACTTTTGTTTATGATGACACAGGAGATGCCACAATTGAATCATTGAATGAGCCAGAGCGTGGAAGTGCTTGTAACAATATTGCTGAAAGCTGATCTGCGAAACAGAAGCAAACCAAAGCCTTGAAACGGAGAAAATTTGATTTGCTCCCTTGCTTGCTTCTTTCATCCCTTGTGTCACCCTGACGCCTAGCTTCTTGGAACAACTATCCAAGAACGTGAAAAATAGATGGCAGAGTGGAGGTTTCTCCTTTGCTCGGCTGGCGAGGACGCTTTCGGCTTGAGCACATTTGCTTGGCAATGTGCCGATTAGCTGTCCCCTTTCGTTCATCCTTGCCCTTTGGATGACTCGGAACGTGCTAGCCATGTTGCCCTGGCTATAGTGTTCATCGCTACGGACGGATATTTCTGCCAAAGCGAAGCAACCGACATGCTGGAGCGCAACATTCCGTGGGTAAAGGTCCATGGCTCTAATGATCTCATGAACACCAACCAAAGACAGAAAGTCCATTGTTGCTCTGTCGTCAGCATCTACCATGGACGCCAGACTTCCAAGCAAACGAATTGCATCCTCCTGGAGAAAAGGCTCCGTCTTGTGATTTTGCATTGCTGCCATGACCACCTCGATCCCGCCAGCATGAATAGTTTCATTGCTTTGGTTTTGATACCCAGAAAGATAGCGAAGGATTTGGCAGCCTTGTTGCTGAATCGTCGGATCCAATGGTTGTGATCGCATTGAAGCCACAATCCTATTGGCGCAAGATCCACATGACTGTCCGTTCTTCAATGCCTCAGTCGCCAAGTCTAGGAATCCAACAATTTTACTGTCTTTCACTGCAGAATCATTCGAATCCTCTTTAAAAACGGGACCTTCAAGGATACCACTTGCGATTGGAGAAGCGGGGGGAGAACGTGTGGTGGCCGAAACCAAGAGCAGACACAGCAACACTGGAAAGCCGAAGCCAAGAAGGAAGCAGACTCGTGCATCCGCATCCTTGGTACCGGTAATGCCTTTTTCATTCCTTGCAGGAGTTTCCCTACCGGTACTTGGAGCGGAACAATCAGGAAAGCGTCCCGACTGATTGTCAGCATCAGATAGACTATCTCTGTCACTCTCGTAGACGTGTGCATCGTTGCACTGGCCCGATGAATGCCATGGGTGTTCAGGTTTGGTTTTCATCTTTACAAGTTGCAATCGATGAGAGTTCGTAGAGCAACGGGCGTGGAAGTTTGACTCGTGGCAATGTCGTGGAAACTGCCCCGTGGCAGATTCGATTCTCACTCCTTCGTTTAGCATCAAACCAAGAGCCAAGGCATTGTCAGTGTCTTTCGCTCTAGCTAGATGATAGATAGCTAGCTAGCTAGATGTTCGTTGCAGTAGATTGTACCAGTGGGGGGAGTCAGTGGAGGCTAGCCAGGTATGGAGCGAACAAACTTTGGATTTTGGATGACTGCCTACGGCATGGCATGTCGGCGACATACTTGGGTGTGTGCTAACTACCTAGGATGCTTGCATTCTAATATGACAAATGACAGTACTAGTGGGCCAAAGGGACCTGCTCCAGGAATGCTTCCTGCGCGAAGGGCTACTAGTACCGGTAGAGGCTCCTGAGTTGTCGATCACAAGCCTTGTGAGGGACCTGCCGTACTGTGTGTACCAGTACCTGGTACCTAGCTAGTATGGCAGCTCACTCGTAGCTGCGAAATTAATTGTTGGACATTGGATACCGTTATTCAGCCATCCCTTTGTCGTGTTCGTTCCAAGGTTGGCGACACTCTTGCTAGCCACCTTGCTTCGCTCCCTCGGCAAATCCTCCATCCTCAAGCTGACAACCATTGCTGGCTAGCTAGATAAAGAGTTGCCGATACCAACACGAGTTGCTGCCTTCTTCGGCTTGCCTTCCCGTCGGATTTCTCGAGAGAGAATTTTGGTGGCTCGTGAAGGGGGTCCACAGGTGTGTGGGACTGAGGTGCACGAGACCACGTGGGCCCAACCTCAGGTGCACCTCGACCGTTGGAAACAAATTTCCGATTTGACAACTTTCGCAATGTATTTTCTTCGAAGACAAAGGGGCCATCAAGTGGGTTGCATCCATCTAAGCCACACGAGTATCAGTAGTGCGCAGACGCATCCGAGAAAGGACCGACAATGAGCGAGATGCAGGACCGTAGCTGTGCGAAACCAATCATGACACCGCAAATTCGATGGAACTGTTTGGCAATGCTGATCCTGACGGTGTTCCTTTCCCATGCAATGCCATCCGTATTCGCTTTTCCGATGAGTGATCAAGACTCGTTGACGTCGGCATCGTTTGTAAATAGGATTCTGAAAAAAGAAGAAACCGATTCTCCAACCATGTCGCCAACGGCGATCTTCAATGGGGGCAGAAACAATGACAAAAACAACAACGACAAAAACAACAACGACAAGAACAAAAATGACAAGGACGAGAATACGTGGGCGCGACCATGGGATGTCGTTACAGGTCCTCCCACAGACAAGCCTTCCAAAGCACCGACGACACCCAGGCCCACCAAGGCACCCACAACCGATAAACCATCACAATTTCCAACGGTGGGGCCAACGTCAGGTAGGCCAACATGGGCCCCAGTTACCAGGTGGCCATCTCCAGCCCCAGTGGCTGCAGTTGCAGCATCTTCAGCTGCACAAACCCCTAGGCCAACCCCCTTTCCCTCGAGTTCTGCGATCGAGACTCCTCAACCAACACCACTGCCAACACGATTACCAACAACACCTCGACCCACACGATCACCAACAACACCTCGACCATCGCCTTTGCCATCGCAGATGCCTATCACGGCAGCCCCGATCACACGGCAGCCAACCCCTTTACCAGGATTACCAACGAGGACACCGACGACAAGTCCGCCAACGTTGTCACCGACTCCAAATCCTTCTAGTCCGCCAACGTTGTCACCGACTCCAAATCCTTCTAGTCCGCCAACGTTGTCTCCGACTCCAAAACCTTCTCCTTTGCCTACGAATCCTCCCTCGACGTCTCCGACCGACAAGCCCACATTCAACCCCACGATGCCTCGAACGTTTGCACCCATCCCTGGAGTTCCAAACCCAACATCGCCAGCTCCGACGTCAGCTCAACCCATGACTCCTGACCCGACGACACTGGCGCCAGTTCCCCCCGCTCAAACAGCAAAGGCCAAACCAGCAAAGACAGAGGAGCTGGAAGCAATGCAAGTCATCCCCTTTGGCGCCGAGCTTCAGAATATATCCATTGCTTTCTCCGTGTGGTTCCCTGATCGATCCGGTGTCAACGAGGCTGACCACGACAGCATGTCTGCTACGATTCAGACCGCATTGAGTTCAACGTTGGAGTATCTCTTTTGCGACAGTAGCAAGAGCAGTGACTACTTGGATGATCTGACATATTGGGACAATCTAGGATTGGAAAATTACAAGGAAGAAAACCGTCTTTGTGCTTTTGTGGAGAATGTTGTTCATGGAGACGGGCTGATTGGTGCTGTGGCGTCGCCGGCATCGGGCGAAGCGTCATTGCTGAAGACTGCTGAGAATGGTGGTCGATTCCGACTTCTGCAGGGCGGGCAAGGGAACAATAACCTGCAAGCCTACGAAGAGGGAAAATGGGATGTTGATGAGTGGAAGGATCTGGACGAAAAGTTTGCGACGTGGGAGCAATCGAACCGTGCAGGCGATGGAGGAGGTCAAGCCATATACGCAGTGGAACCCAACGACAACAAGAACAACGACAACACGGATAACAACAACAAGGATAACGACACTAAAGATGACACCAAAGAGGACGAAGACAATAAGGACAACCAACAGCAACAAGTTAAGGAGGACGTGAACCAGGGTCAACAGAACGAGGAAAGGGCGAACGACGCAAAAGCCAATCAGGAGAATCCAAATGATGATAAGAACAAAGATAAAGAAAACGAGAAGGAGAAGAACGACAAGAAGAACCAAGGCAAGGCTGAAACAGCTCCACCCATTGCCGATGTAGCCGTCATGCTGCAACCACCTCACCTGCATCATCATGTGCATTTCAATGCTCACAAGAATCTGGCATATACTTCCTGGAATGTTTCCTGGCCCGTTGTCAGGCTGACAATGAGCTATCTCGAACAATCCTGGAATACCCAGTCTAAGAACGGCGACACGGAAGCCGAAGACGTAGTTGCCTATGGGATCGCACTGATGCAACAAGAGCTCAAAGCATCTCTGAAAGAAAATGTGAACCTTCGCGTGTTGGATGTCATTCTGGAGGATCTCCTCAAGGAACCCGTCCGAGTGAGTGTTGTGGGACACGAAAAAGAAACCTTTGGCATGGACATTCTCCTTGAGGAAGGTGATCATATGGGTTACAACATGACGGCGGCCGAAAAGCAAGAGATGCTGAACCCGCATCCGCTACATGCAATGCGACTCGTTGGTATGACGCTCTTGCTCTTTACCTTGAAGTTCATTGCGATTCTACTTTTTCTAAGCAGAAGGCGGAAACTTGTTCGGGAAGCAGAGTTGAAGCGGCATAGGGAAGGAAAGGGTATGCTGGAGGTGAATGGAGTGGAAGAGATGCTGAAGAAAACCAAGACAGCCAGGAGAGACGTGATTGCAACAATGCACGATAATCCAAGGAGGAGTCGCAGTGACTCTCGAAGTGAACGAGAATACGAGATGCGCATACCAATGCCGGCTGGATTGGGTAGCACTCGTCGCTCAGTAAGAGCGGCGGCATTCTAATTAAACTTTCATCGATCCATCTACCGTAGAGTACATTGCCTGGTTCATGAGATTTTGGTTTAGTAGTTGATTGTTTGATTATCGGGAGCTAGCGTGTGCTCCTTTCCATTCCATTCTCGCTACTAGGACCTATTGTGCTTGCACGCGTTCGTCTCCGATTCTCATGTTGCGCTCCAGCACAAAACGTACACTTGTCTTGTTATTAGAGAAGCACAATGCCCACTTTGCCGGGTGGCATTTCCGGACAGGCCCAGTTGTAGATGTAATATTGCAGACACCCGTCGCCCTTTCCGAACTTGAGATCCTTCAAAAACTCTTCATTGTCCATAAGGTTGAGTGCATTGAAAACATCAGCTTTGCATTGCTTGGCCAGGATCAAGCAGTCTCTCATGAGATCGGTCAACGACATGGTTGTAGCGACATTGTAGTACGAATACGCAGCGAAGAGTGTGTCATCTTGATTCAGGATGGAACTGGGCAAATGATAAAAGGAGCAAAAGTCGGTAACGATTCCATCCCCTTCCTTGTCAATGACATAACTGTTGATGACACCTTCTCTTGGCAACAGCCAATGCGCCACTTCTGCTTTGGTAAAGAGAATTTTCAATTCGAATTTGTCCAGGTAGCTGACCAACAATTTGTGGACGCCTTCCACGTCCTTTTCTTCCATGGGTCGCAATCCTTTGGTATCGGGTTGCTCGGGGAGTCGGTACAATTTGATCATGCGTGCCATGGTTTGTCGAGGGTTCAACCGGGTGAATGCGACCTTGACCAACTTTTTTGGATTGAGGTTTCGATGATAATACCGCGAACTGGCGACTGGGACGGGCAAGACAGCACCAGCCGTGTAGACGGCCTGAAAGACTCCCGTCTTATTGACGCGTCGCGTGATTTCTTTGATCAAGACCGGAGCCAATCGTTTGGACCGCAACTTTTTGTGCACGCAGAGAAAGTTTATTTCGACAATGGGCAATTCATTTTGGTAGGCCCTGACTTTGGCAGGAATGGCACTGATAAAGGCGACCAATTTTTTGTTGGACGAGGATCGTACTCCAAACAAGAAATCATCTCGATACCCAGGCGGTGTCAATGCCCACATGAGGAACTCTTGGGAGTATTCGAATCGAAAGAGGCATTCATCGTCTTCGACGTAGTTTTGGGCCAGCAAATGGTAGAGTTCATCTCGTTGGGCTGGATCACCCACATTCACATTGGACCATTCGAATCCACCTGGCATGGTGTACGGTTCACTACGGACCTCCTCCACAGGTCGATTGGGGACAATAGGACCCTCAGGATGGTTCTCGCGTGATCCATGGGGCATTGGCTAAATCCGGGAAGAGAGAAATTCGGTGAGTGGGTGAGTGAACAGCCGTGGCAGAGCAAAACAAGTCAGACAGGTCAGACCACCAACATCAGGCCTCTTTCTTTCCAAGCAGAATCAGCTTTGTCGGAAAAGCACTCACTTGAGTATCCCAAAAGGCATGCTTCTTCTCTCCATCTCCTCCTTTGCCATTCGCCGCCTGCCTCTCCGATTCCAATGATTGCTTCTTCATCATTTCAATGATAGCAGCCTCTGTAGGAGACAACTTGCGCTGATCGCCATTGTCATTGCTGTCCCCACCATCGTCGGGAGTTGTCATCGTCAAAGATTAGACAGTTGCGTGACGGATCGGGAGAAAAGCTGGTGCTCTAAAGACTCAACTCAATAAATGATGCAGTAATGATAAATCGTGCACCTTTTCAACCAAAGGCAAGAGTTTCTGGCTGGCACAACACGCGCTAAGGGGTGGCTCTTATTTGTGGTACTAGTACCTAGCTAGGTAGAGACAGTCAAGCAAACTTCAGAGAGATACACAATGACGCCGCGCAGGAGATGGCCATTGTCAGCCCTTCAAAACCACAATCTTCGATCTGGCTCTTTCGTCTGGCCTTCCTTCTGAAAGAAGGCAAAGTATTCGATCAAGATTCGAATTGTTTAGCTTAGTTCGAACGGATACCGTACAGTTCAATTGCTGGTTATACAGTAAGCGGTACCAATTACCGTACAGTACTGGTACTGGTACTGGTACGGTGGCTTGGTTTCGCCGTGCACTGCTCTAGATTGCAGTTGGCCGGCCACCATGTCATCCTCATAGCATGATCTTCCCGCTTTAGACCGCACCAGGCCAAACAAAAAGAGCATACATCCTAGCTGGATATTCGAGTACTATGTCATAGCTTGTACCGGTATAGCAGAGAGGAAAGAGGAAGACGTCAAAAAGCCGCTCTACATGCCGTCAAGCTAGTTTACATGCCGGGTTTTACCGACCAGTTTCTCTGTAAACAATGTAGCAAAAATGGTTATAGATCTTTTGGAGGCGCAGCGGATACGCTCACAATTTCGGTCAACGCAAAAGCATCAAAGCAGCCAACCAACAGCTATAACCAATAAACTCAATTCAAGCAACCATGTACGGCGTTCTCATTGAAAGAATTGTTTCCATCCTCTCTGACCGGTACGATGCAGCAACCAAAAAGGGCGGGAGAACTTCTAGGTCAATTTCCACTTTGCCCAGTCTCGACAGAAAGATTCTAAAGAAAGCCTCGTCCTTCGGGACAGATTCGTCGGATAGTTCCAGCCAAGCAATGCAACGATCCCATCATGGCAGAAGTGTCCAACATCCAAGAAGTGGGAACCGGGATGAAAATGATCACGTTCAAACTCAAGACCAAAAAGATGAAGAGGCGTTTTGAAATGGTTCAATACGTGAGGATTGAGGAGGTTGCCTGCTTTGAGTATGCCACCGGTGTTGTCGAGAAGAGAACCTTTCATGTTGTGTCAGCCAACAGTGCTCTCCGCTCCATCAACGTGGTGGTGAAACAAGACAGGAACCCTGATAGCATGGCTACCTTTCTCTACTGCCATGCCAAGGAAGGATTCCGTGTTGTCGTTGCATGAGCGAGGAGCAGCCAAGCAAAGAGCCAGTAAGAAAGAAGTAGACTAGATAGATAGAAAGGAGCTACCGCTCCAACCCAGACTATACATACACATGTAAACTAAAGGAAAGAAAGTGCCTTGAAAAACAAGCTCTTCATTGGCTCCGAGATCAGTTACCAGTATGCCTGTGAGTCAATCCTTCGGTTCTGTTGGTTTCCATGCGTGCTTAAGGTTCTGTTGGCTTCAGCGAGTTTCATTGCTTGTTGGTTTCAACGTTTCTCTCTATTCACACACTAACACTGGTGCGGTGTGAGGTCTCAAGTGTGAGCAAAGTAGGCCAGGCTGGGCTCAATCCACTTTGTCAATCTTCTTGGAGTTGCCAAGTTTGCCTCTGTTGCTGAATTCCAGTAATTCTGCACATTGTCGCATGCCGAAGTAATGTGCTATGCCAGCCCCCAAATGCCACACAGGATGCAACGACAGAGCTCCTGGAGTATCACAGGCACCATCTCTGTAGAGTTTTCGTTCAAGTTCCCAGCATATTTTTGCAACTGCAATGAAGGTCATAGCAATGTACCAATTCAGCTGGGAATGTTTCAACCGTCTTCCACAATCACCTAGCATACCAAAATTTGTACAAATTTGAACACTAAACACCACAGTAAAGAAAGCATAGTCGTTGGTGTAGACGTAGAGAGCCCAAATACATGCCACAAAGCCATGCAACCAACGGTAGAACGGTGCTTGTTTCCCCTTGATGGATGACGTCAACCAAGGGTGCGTTCCTTCCATGCCATTGATCTGTGCAATTAAAAGCAAAGTCATTGGAATTTCATCCGCATACTGGGCCACTCTGGACTGGTGAGCATGAAAGAGTGTGCTGCCTATTCCAATACCAAGGAACATGACAACTTCAGCAGCCCAAAAGGATCTGTTCAGCTTCATTTCCACACAGCGCTTCATTCCAAAAATTGCCACCATGTAAAAGGGCAGATTCGACCAAGTGTTGTAGTATTCAGCAACCCAGTCACTGTGAGCATGTTTGGCAACCAAATCCTCACACCACTGAATATTGGTAGTTCCTCGCCGAAAGTAGTCTGCCAAAGTGACGTTCTCAGCCATGTTGATGGTGTTCTGCTGCTACACAACTCTAGAAACTTGATCTTTGTCTGGCTCGGTAGCTACCGTACGACCACTGTAGCTGCTAGAGTAGTAGTACGCTCCCTTTTGGAAAAAGTTTGGAAAAAGAGTGGTCAGCCGTATCGTAGCTTCCGCGGATGTTTGCATGGATGCATTGTCGGACGTTGGATGGTTGGATTTGGCACAAGGATAAGATTATCACAATGTCCCACCGACGCCTTCCACAGACTGGTACCGGTCGAGATTTGGATTGGATTCATTCGATTTGATTGAATCATTCGGTTCGATTGAATCGAATCATTCATCAACAAAAGCTTTCAAGGATGGGGTAAACCCGTCTGTTTTCACTCCGGATTTTAAAAAGCTTAAAATTGCCACAACTGAGAACCATTTGAAACATTCCATTAAACATTCCCTTAAATCCTCAACATTCCCTTAAACATTTCTTTAAATAAGCAAACATTCCCTTAACAACATTCCCTTAAGGCTTCGAAACATTCCCTTAAGCCTTCCCGTAAACCCCATAGAACTTTCCCTTAGCAGGAATGAACTTCCCCTTAAATAAACATTCCCTTAAATCATTCCCTTAAATCATTCCCTTAAACCTTGAACATTCCCTTAATCATCCCCTTAAATCTGGAACATTCCCTTACAGATGCCCCACGTGGAAGGGCCAGTTTCAGTCGCACTTAAAAAATAACACGAGAATAGCACGACAACAACAACAAACCCTTCATTTGGAGATGCTGTCTTCAACCAATTCATGCTTGACACCTGTTGAGAGTTTGCATACTAGAGTGTTACAGTATACCTTGTAGAGAAGGATTAGCTCTATCTGTATGACCTAAAAGAAAGATAAAACATGTTAATGGGCTTCCACAATCGTTAGCTGAAGATGATATCTCAAAACTCGTCGAACTGTCACGGGGCTGTTAACTTCGGCGATAGAGTGCTAGTACTCATTATCCCCTTTTATGTTTCTTTTATCAGCATCAGATGTAGATAAGGGTCATGTACAAGATAGTATATGACATGTAGTTCTCAAAACAAAGCTATCACATGTCTATTGCCTATACAAGCTGGGATAATTAGGTTTTTCGAGGTTTGTTGTTGTTCTCGTGCTTTCTCATGTTATTCTATTTCTTAAAACTGAGGAACACAGTATCCCCCGTATGACATCGTTAAACAATCCTTTAAATCTTCAATATTCCTTTAACCAGAACCAGGATTTGAGTCAGTCGTGCCAGGTGTTAAAGCCTGAATGAAAACCGTCGGACGGTCCTGTCCCACCCGCTCCGCTGGCTGGTAGCCCCTGGACTGATCTGGAAGTCCCCCGATGACGTCACTTTCGCGACTTCGACCCTTAGTCGGGCTACATGTAGTCACCGTTTCGCGACTTCGACTAGTGCGACTTGCAGCGCGATTTTCGCGACTTGCGCGACTTACTGCGACTTTACTAGCTTTTTACTAGTACAAAATCGCGACTTAGAACGACTTGAATCGCGACTTGCGCGTCCTGTGCGACTTTGCGTGACTTAGAACGACTGCTATCGCGACCTTAACGACTTTAGCGACTTTTTGCGACTTCCACGATCGCCAACGGGGGACTTCCTGGTAGCCCCCAGTAGCCCCACGCCGGGCGCATGCCTGCCGCGAAACGCCCGCCAGCGGACGTCGAGAACACTTCAGCAGCAGCAGTCGTATCTGGTATGTATGTACATTATACCAGTATATCGTACGGGTACTAGCTCACATAGGTTCACAGGGGACAATAGCTGCCCGGCTCCGATTTTCGTGCTATCGTTCTGAAGCATTTGCCTTAAATTATTTGCTAAAGACATATCAAGTGTTATACAAGGCCCCTTGTCATAAGCGAAGTCAACGTTTGTCATGATTCTAATGCTAAACAGTTACAACCGACGTACAGTCCTCGGAACGATGCAACAGCGAACACATATTATTATTATTATTAAAATGGCAGTATCCAGAAATTATGTTAAGTCTTTTTCTAGGCATGCCCAGCGCTTTTTGTCCGTGTTCCTCCCTTCTGAACCTATGTGAGCTAGTATCATAATAAAAGAAGCACGCAAGCAGCTGAACCTCTGTGGAAATTCGAATCATGCTTCCGATCGTCTCCTAAATCCTTTTTTCGTCTCCTAATTAAACTGAATCGTCTCCTATAAATAGGAGACGTTCCGTTTCGTCTTCTAAATCTTTCGTCTCCTCTTTTAAAAATCATCTCCTATTTTCAACGGGTTATCTCCTATATTTAACAGATCGTCTCCTAAGTGGATTATGTAAACTGTATGGTATCGTCTCTTAAAGCTTTCGGGTCGTCTCCTATTTCGAAACGATCGTCTTCTAATTGGAAAGTCTCCTATTGAATCGTCTCCTAAATATAGGAGACGAATGATTTCGTCTCTTAAATCATTTTTATCGTCTCCTAAGCCTTGGTGTTTCGTTTCTTAAGTTTTTTTGCCACAAATGACGTTTCCACAGAGGTCCAGGACCGTCCGACATTTTTCACTCAGGATTTTAAGAAATCTTGAAATTGCCACGACTGGAAACAAGCCCTTAAACAAGCCTTTAAATCTTCAACAAGCCATTAAACAAGCACTTAGAAAACAAACCCTTTTAACAACAAGCCCTTAAGGTCTCAAAACAAACCCTTAAGCCTTCGTGATATTCTCATAGAACAAGCCCTTATAATGAAGCAAACAATCCCTTAAATAAACAAGCCCATAAAACAAATCCCTAAATCTGCAACAAGCCCCTAAATAAACAAGCCCTTAAAAACAAGCCCTTAATTGTACTTGAGTCAGTCATGTCAAGTTTTAAAGCCTGAGTGAAAAAGCGTCGGACGGCCCAGACCCTTGGTTGAATTAGTCTATTTATATGGTTCACAAACAGGAAGAGCAGCAGCAGAAACAACGACCACGACAACAACAAATCATAACGATCCACGAGCACGACGTGACAGTGTTTCGGCCGTCGCCCCAACAAGTATCAACCACAATCCAGGAGCAAAGGAAGCAGCAGCCAACTACAGCAGTGAAGCAAGTGCTGCTCGCACTACCACCTACGCGACAACAAGAAGAGATCGACCAGTACGATCATCTAGTGTCTGAATTATTTGATTAACCTACCATGGAGGGAACCCCACAAACAGAAAGAGCGGCAGCAGAACGACCCCTTATTATTGTTAGTCCATCCATATTTATCAACATGGTGTCAACGACGAAACGGATCAGTTACAATTATGAAGGATTCTCAGGTAACATCAAGATTAGAGACCAGCGGCACCTCAAAGAATAGAGGGCATTCTGGCTCTCAAGGAAGATGATGAAAGACTGGAAGGTGACGAGGGTGACGAATTCAGTCTTCTTATGTTTAGTTCTGAAGCCTCTCCTTTCAAATATACTCGCGGTCGACCATGTGAGGATGGTGGTCAGAAAGCAAATGGTAAGAAGTGTTGAGATTTGATCGTTTATTGATGATTTATTCAAATCGTCCCTCCCTGACAGTGCCACTCTGCACCAACTCCATTTCCGCATTTCGATATGACACATATTTTCAAAAAGAGGAGCAGCAGCAGCAGAAGAAGCAGAAAACAGAGAAATCCTTCGTCGCAATGCTGAAAAATGTCCATACTGGAGAGGCCGAGCGTGAGCTTTTGAATGTTTCATGGGAGATAGTCCCCACGACCCCAAGGTCTACCGGCACCCCCCGTCTCCAATGACACATGGAACAAAGAAGCAATGGGACTGGGTCTGAAGAAAATCCGCAACATCAATCTTCCCAAATCAGTTCCTGCTTATTCAAAGAATTACAGGGAATCCGTTTCCATTGGTTTGCGTCTGGGGTCTGGTTTTGGAAAGACACATGTTCTAACTGAGGCTCCTGCTCTCCTAGGTCTTGCACAATGCAGCAGCGTTTATATCACCTACAATCACGATCAACAACTTGGAGCAGACAAGAAAAAAACAAAGGAAGCAGCCCTTCTGCGACTGATTCTGGCGAGTCATGGGTTTAGCTCCATTGCGTGCGCAAATTTTTTTGAGGATTCAACTTCAGAACGGTTGTTGGAAGCTCCTATTCAGAGTCTTGAAGATCTAGCTGTGACCACATTCCGAAAGGTGGCAAAGAATGGAGATTTTGTGTTGGCCGCAGATGAATTAGCACAACTAGGCACGGAGGCTGCAAAGCAAGTTGTTTCGCTCCTGTCGCTTTTGTGCTTCCGTTATTATGAGGCCACGGGGGCGATATGTACAGTTTTGGTCTCATCGTTGAACGATGCAGTGTTCACGACCACCAGCGGAAGAGGAATAATTGACTGGGTACCAGATCGTGCAACTGCTGAAACGGTTGATTTTTTCGGGCGCAAATTGCCCCAGCAGAGGAGGGAGCACTTCAGTGCCCTTGCCAAATCCATATGTGGTGCTCACATGCGCTCGATTGTGATCTGCTTCACTGAGATGAGCGTGGGCAGCCTGCCATCCGTGGAAACAATGTTTAACCAGATGAAATCACACATGGGGGTCAAATTGGGTGACCACCATTACAGTGCGATTGTTAAGCGTGTCCAGGAGGATTGTATATTCTCGATGACTTGAACCCTAACTGCAGCCAGGAAGTTGAAGAGCTCGTTGATGACAATGGGGTGCTGTGCCCTGTCTTTATTCAGCAAGCCTTCGCCAAGAAGAGGGAGGAATCGAGCGATCACTTGAAGAATCTTTTCCAAACTTTTGCTGAGATTCATGCTGACGGGAAGGACTTCAAGGAAGCAGCGATGCATTTTGATCTGTTTCGGGCCAGCCTTGGAGTTCCTGTTGTTCCCAGAAGTGCCAGAATTGGATTAGCTACAATGAAGTCGGGCTTCTCCCAAGAGTGGTTTCGGCAGTTGAATTTTCCAGACGTGATGACGCTTAGCACCAGGGATCTACTGAAGTGCCTCCCGAAGCAGGGCAGTCCGAAGAAGGAAGTTGTTCCATCAGAAACTAAACCAACTGTGGGAAGCTACTATCACCCTGGAACCGAAGGGCACCCCTTGATTGACAGAAGCTATGTCGCAGTGCATTCTACCACTGGAGAATATTGTTTGCTTCTCACACAGGAGAAGGTGAATGATGACTTCGGTGCTGCATCCAGTGCCCTCGACAAGGCAGCGTCAATGTTGTTCCAAAAGTGGAAGTTCACCAAGATTCTTCTAGTCGTCAATGTCATCGGCGCGAACCAGAACACTCGGGCTCAACGAACGCTTGAATGGCCATACATTCTGATCCGCGACAATGATGAGGCCAAGGCCTACTATTCGGTGAACTTTGCTGATTTGATATGGTATGCTTGTGACAGCCACCTTCTGAAGCACTCCAAGAAGGTGAAGAAGTGAGTCAACCCTACTATGGGGTGTCCGCGTGGGTAATAGCATATGCGGAACAAGACACATGAACAAGTGGTCTGATCTCTATCTAGAAGATTCGAGCCCCTTGACTAGATATATTTAAGGATGTCCCACGGGGTATACAGTTTTAGTTTTAAGAAATTATTAGCTCACTTTTTTGAGAGCTCTCGAAATAGATAAAGTGGACCTTAGCTCTCACATTTATTCTATGATTTCGTGGGAATCCGGAACCTCCGACCTCATCATTGAATCTCCAAAGCATGTCTCACCATTCACTTCTGCTGAAATGTTGGCTTTTCGTCTCACATAGTTGGCGACTTGGTTGGCTAGCCATTGGCTTTTTGCCAACTATGAATGAGGGACAGGTAATCTGCCCTTGATGAATGTGTCGGCATCACCAATTTGTTGATTTTGGGCAGAACAGACATTAGACAACAGCCACAACAAACATGCATAGCAGCAAGAGGAGTAGTAACACCGCTTTGAGGAAGCTGGATCACCATGGCAGATTTGGTGGTCCTTCCTGGGATGCGAAACGTCTCAATCAAGGAACTTCTTCGAAAGTGGATGGAATAGAGGGTGTAGACCTCGTTGAAAGGGAATGTACAGGCACTTTACCCAAGTCTGGTAGAAGGAAGGTTGCAGTTGCAGTTGCAGTTGCAGTTGAAGAGACAGAAGAGTCAGATGACGAAATGGTGGAAGAGAAGGATGTTACCAAGCTTACAGAACCTCCATTGCCAAACCGTGTCATTCTGGAAAGTGTTCCACTGTCGCGGCTCATCGAAGCAAACTGCAACTGCTGCCGTTGTCACCGAAATACCTTGAAGTTGAAGTTTGTGTCTGTTGGTGTGGCAACAACACCGGTACTGTCATGCACACACTGTGAGGAGGATGCCACAGTCAAACCTAAGAGTGCACCACCCAAAAGAACAACAATGAGGAGTTCCCATGGACGTGGTGATGCCAACATCGACTTTGAAGTGAATGTTAAATTTGTACTTGCCTTGTGGGTAGTGGTGGGGATGGTGGTACTGAGGCGGCAAGGTTCCTTGGCTTTTTATCATTGCCTGGAGCAAATTCCATGGAAAGGAGAACATTCTCTCAGATAGAGCGGCACGTTGCTCCTTATGTTGAATACATAGTGGATGGGTACCTGCATGACAATCTGATGGAAGAGATAAGACTCATATGCAGAGACAGAAGTCAATCTGGACAGTTGGCGGGAGAGCCTTGAGACTGGGGATGCACTGGTGGACGGAACCTCCCTTCCCTATATACTAGGAACCTCCACCGACATAGGATGGAACAAAAGGTCCAGCGGCAGAACATACGACTCTCACTCTGGCCATGCCTGTTTGGTGGGAGAAAAGACACGGAAGCCAGTAAGTCTTTCCACCAAGTGCACCTTCTGTCGTATCTGTAAAGTGAAATGGGAACTTACTGAGGAGATACCTGAACATGAGTGTGTTATCAACCATGACGATGGTGCTGGTGCAATGGAAGCTGCGTCATTGTTGAAGATGACTCAAGACCTTTACTTCGACAAGGCTGTTTGTATTTCCAATGTGGTGACCGATGACGACAGTAAGATGAGAGCCAGGTGCAAGTGGAACAATGATGACTGACTAAAACACAACGGGCACGCACCAGGTGACAGAAGACAGTTGATCATTGGGACACGTGTTGCTCCTCCCTCTCAACAGAAGATACCAGGTCAAGTCGAGATGATACCGGTCTACCGTAGCTCTGGTGTGTTGAAGTATCCGGTTCCGCAACCTCATTTTCTCGCTGATCCGGCGCATCGTAAGAAGACATTGAAGAATCGCTTGTACAAGTTGAAGGCAAGGTCTGTCAAAACGGCCAATGACATGCAGGAGGGTGACATCCTAAGAGTATCGTTGTATTTTATCTTCTTCATCCGTGACATGGCAAGCATCACAGAGAATGAGCGAGTGGTCAGAGCCCAGTGCATCTACAAGCATCATTTTGACGTACATGATCAATGTGTGAGTGCTGTAAAAGGAAAGTGGATACAACAGAGGAGCGATCCAAGTCGCAAAAGACTTACCCGAGCATGGAACATGACAGTCTCCTGTACATTGACATCAAAGAGGTGGTGGAGGAATTCACCACGGCGGAAAAACTGGCTGAGTTGTTCCACGACGGAGACACCCAGGTGCAATACACGGCTCTTAGCCTTATTCGCGACTCGATCCTAGATAGGGTTTGAGTTCGACTCATGACTGAGTCTCTCGTGAATAGTTATTGAGACAGGGTTCTCAATGACCGCTCTAGTCATACTAGGTTGATGATGAAACATCACTCTAGATATTTAGCCAGCGTGGAGTACTTCCACGCTACTAGATCCATGCTAGACGAATCTTCCACGCGTTCCGTTTTAGGATCGTGGAGATACGTAGGATTACTACCGCAACCTACTCTATCACACTTTATAGTCTCCCGCGGGAGACCAGATCTACGATCCTTTGATGGTGATCTCTCTCGTTGATTAGTTTTCATAGCTTTCTAATCTCTCTCATAACTTTCATTCTCTCAAACACAAAACACTCGAAAGATCTTTACACTAGCTTTTAGCGTAGTGCACAGGTGAACGAATTGCTAAATCAACAGATCGCATGGTTGGCCCCGAAGACGAAAACGTATTGTGGTAGCATGTCACTGGTGATGCGGGTACGCATTGCTATTGCCATTCATCTCGTGGGAAATCTGGTGTTGTGGCGTGACCTCTTCTTCAGCATTGGGTTGGATGCCGACATGTTGACAGAGTACCGACTGCTAATGCGCGACAAAACGAGGAACAGTAAGTTAGTGAACTCGAGGAAGACAGACTATCGTGTCAAACGCAAGAAGACGATGCATGACAAGGTACAGGGGTACATGAAACAACTGAAGATAGACCGAGTCAACGGCATGGCTTACCAGTCTGGTTTGGCAATGGATGCAGACAACGGCACACCGCCATTGTCGGAGGTAATGTGTTCGAAGTGTCATCAACTTGGCCACAAAGATGCAAGGAGTGGAAAGTGTCCAAACAATGCGAAGAATCGATGTAAACGGAGTAAGGCCAATCCCAGCAATCTCATGAATGCAACCTCAATGCTCGAAGAAGAAGATAGCAATGTTCTTCCCATGCATGAAGAAGAACATAGCAGGGACGGCGATGAGAATGATATTTCGCTCATAGATAACATTCCCCTCACGAGCGATCCACACGTCGCAGAATTGTCGGAATCGCTAGCCAACAATGGTTGAACATCGCCGAACACATATAGTTACACCTTACTCTAGACACCCGGAATAGCCAGAGTTCGCATGCATCGACTTTGCAAGAATCGTCGAATCTGAGTTGGCGAGATCGCGAAACTATGTGTTTTGTCAAATCTACGTAGCTATTGGGTACGACGATGTATGTACTAAAATAGTATAGAAAGTCTAGCGTTATCAATAGCTAACATTCATTGGTGGTGAAAACCGGTGTTCTTTTTCGACAAATACACAACACATGTTTCCTTTACGGAACTCATCGTTCCGAGAAGTCGCTCGAAGGTTCCGAGACGTCGCTGATTGGACCATTGACAGGTTGAGAGAGGAACAACGGTGGTCTTTGGAACAGATTGAACGAGGAGCAACGATAGTCTTTGGTACTAGTCTTCCCATAAATCCAGCGACTTGCTTTTGACACCACCTTCCATTGCCTTTGCACCGTTGCTCATGACACTTTTCGCCTCCACCACCTTCTTTGGATCAGCCGGCATGAACGTACTGTAACGAACACCTTTTGGATTGGGGTACAATGACCGAACAGCCTTGACGAAACAAGTGGGCAACTGCTTTCTCCCGTTGATGAACTTGTACCCATTGACGGCGTAGTACCAGTAGAAGCACCAGCGATTGTGGTTGGCAGCCAAGTCATCGAAGGAGTCACCATCGAGTTCTCCGTTCAACCTGCTGGAAACAGAGAGATACAAGTCGTGCACGTCCACATCCTCAAGAGGCAAGGTAAGAAGAATGCGCCGAATGAATCCATACTCTGAACAACACTGGCAACTGTTGTGATGACCCTCTTCTCCAACCGCTGGCTGTGTCACAATGAAATAACTTCCTTCCACGCTTGTTTTCCTCTTCGTCATACAGATCGAAGGTATCCAGGAGATTCTCCCGCATGTCGCATCCACGAGACTTCATCATGTCAAAGTCCATTTGCTCCCTCCAATGCTGACGGCTGAGTTCATGCTGGATCCAGTTTCCATGGAAGTAAGGCCGCTCTCTACCGGAGGGACTAAAGTAGGGACTAAAGGAATCCTTTAGGTGGTTGTTTAGTTCAAGATTTAGTCATTATCCTTTAGTAATGGTGGTGTCTACCAGCAGATGACTAAATCTCGGACTAAACAATTTAGTCGAGTTTTTAGTCAAAACGTGGTGTCTACCGTGGCGACTAAACAAATGACTGAACAAATGACTAAACGGAACACTACTGGACTTAAAGGACTCAAAAAAGATGTAACGGACTCAAACAAAGACTTAACAGAAGGGATTAAAGGACTCAAACAAAGACTTAACAGAAGTGATTACTTTTTTGAGATAACAAGACTGAGATAACAAGACTCAAAACACACCATTGCCATGCACCTCGATCGTTTGCACCTCTACTACTACTATACCGGTACTACTACTATCATTGGATCGTTCGATCGTTTGCACCTCTACTACTACTATCATTCGATCGTTCGATCGTTCGATCGTTTGCACCTCTTGGATGGTTCCATGGTTCGATCGTTCGATCGTTTGCACCTCTACTATCGGCCGAGCCGATACTCCTCTTCGATCGTTCGATCGTTCGGAACTCCCACGAAGGCACCTCTGTGGTAATCCTGTTGGAATTTGTTATCCAACTGTGGTGTTAGGTTTTTTCGCACCTCTACTCTATCAGCTCTGTCGCGATGCCTGCTGATAGTAGCTGTCCAATG